TTCGGTGATTTTTTTTTTTTTTTTTCTTTTGCTTCTTTTTTTATTTTACTTTAATTTTTTTTTTGTTTTGTTAGTGATACTATATTAGGTAGTGTGTTTGATCCCCCTCATCACTTACTTCATCCCATCACCAGTCTGGTCTTCGTACTTCTACAAGGACTGCTTTGCATAACCCAAGACCCCCAAGAAAGCTGCCCCCTTCACCACCGGTTGTCCTAGTTCTTGTGGGTTTTGTTCTTGTTCTATTTACTGTTCCACTTGTTCACATTTGCATCTACAATTTCTGTCTTTCCTCTCTGACATCATCCAAATAACTGATCGTTATTGTCTTGACATTTAGGTCCATTATTCTCATAACAAGCAATAACTCATCTCGTTGGGCTAATTCCCCTTTACAACTCACAATTAAATCAAGAATTGCAATTGCAACCTGTTCAAGTTGAAAAAATAAAAAAATATCAAAAAAAAGACAAAACAAGTCCTAGCTATTCTTCCAAATCATTACTGCTTTATTGACTCTTGTTACACCCTCAGCTTGACTTCTTTTTTTGGGTTATTTGTCTTTTTGTTTTTCTCTTTGTCGTTGTTCTTTTCTTTTTTGTTTATTTTGATTTCAAATCACCCATCAAACCTCAATTCATTCTCATTCCTCGTTTGTTGTTGTCGTTATCATATCTATCCATCTTTGATTCATTGATTCCGTGTTGTCCGCTAAGTTTTGTTTCCTGTTTATTTTAAATAATAAAAAAAGTTTAAACAATCCTAAATCTCCCCTATACTCCTGTTACACGTCAGTTCTTCAGTTGTTACTATCTCCATTAACCCTTTTACTCCTATCTTTGATCCAATCTACGTTGTTCTTTCCTTTTTGAAGTACCTGATCTATCTCCACACTTCAAAAAAAAAAAAAAAAAAGTATCTCGTCAGATTAGAAAGAAGAAAGATTAACTTCCCGTTTAAACTATTTCATATCCAAAGTCTATTCTTAATCTCAAATCATTCCCCAAGAAAGGCCCCGATCCTTTTTCGAATCTTAATCGAAGTTCAGAAAGTTTGTTTTACTCAATTCATCTATCGAACTCGCATTTCAATCTTTGGATCAAGTCAGGTCATCACGAAGGAAAAAAATTAAGTTGCATTTGTGCTATTTCTCCTTTTTTTTGGTAAATATTGATCCCGGTTTCCATTAACTAGTTGATCCCTAAATTTGATCCCTAATTTGATTTGATCTTTGAACTTTGGAAAACAAAGAATTTTCATAAAGTTTATTCATTCCTCAAAATTCCTATAAATTAACTTCTTTCTTTCGGTTTTTTTCTAGAATTTTTGATCCGTGTTCTACATACTTCATTCTTCCTTCTCCCTTTTCTTAAGAATTCTTTTCTATTGGTGTTTGGTGAAACTTTTTTTTTTTCTCTTGGTTAGTCGATTTTTGAATGTCCACTTCATCTTCAAGTTATCATCACCTTTCAAACTTCTACTAGTTTTGTTCTTCTTCTTTCTGTTTTTTTAGATTGTCGGTTGATACTTTATTTTTCAAGAAAGAGAAGAAGTTAAAAAAAAAATTTACAATCATTTCGGACTTTGGAATATTGAATCATTTCATAATTTTCAAATTTCGAAACCCTTTCCACCCGCTCATTTTCTTATGAACTCAAGTCAAGCAAACAATCAACTGGATCAACTGAAACAACAGCAACAACAAAAACCGGAATCACAATCGAATCAACAAAACAACAGCCGAACAATGAACAATCAAGCATACGTCAAAGTCGAACCTAATGAAGGGGTTTTGGGCTCTCCAATAAATCATTCTAATTTGCATCAATTTAAACATCTTCAAGCTCACCCTCAACCTGTACATCTGCCCTTAACTCCTTATATGCAGAATTTTATTAACCAAGACACTCAGCAACAATCTTTGCAACCAATTCAAGCACCCGCTTTTGATTTTAATTCTTCTCAATTTTCCCATCAAAGACAATTCCCCTCTAGCGTTGCACATTTACCACAATCGCATCACCATCACCAACAACAACAACAACAACAACAACAACAAGCTTATCAAACTCAATCTCCTTATGCTCAAGTTCAATCTTTGAACTATCAATATCATCCATCTCAACCTCAACCTCAACCTCCTTCACTGCATCAATTTGGTAATACCTTTTTACATAGACCAATGCCATCAACTGACTCAAACTTAGGAAAATCGCCAATTGGCTCAAGATCTGGTACTCCAATTGATCATGGTCTTCATGAAAACATGATGTCTGGTGCTTATGGTTTACAATCAGCTCTGAATGACATTGGTGGTCTTCATTCAAACCTTTCTATGCTTCCATCAAATAGTAGAAAAAGACAAAGAAAATCTGATCATGCTGTACCTGGTGATGATGGTGATAATGAATTAAAACAATTAGCCTTTAAAGCATCTAAATTACCACTTCATGAATTAGCATTAAGAATCAAATCAATTGAAAATGATGATTCAATACCAGAAACAAAAGCAAGTGCTTCTCACGTTAATATTTCTCGTGATGATAATTCATCGAGTAATGATAATAATTTAGATCATGGAAATATTTCTTCTTCAAATAATGCTAAAGATACAAGTAAAGAAAGACAACGTCAAATTTTTGGTATGGTCTGGTTACTTAATTCTTGTGAATCTTCTGCAACTGCAGTGGTTCCTAGAAATAGAATATATGCAAGATATGTTCAAATTTGTGCAGATAATAGTTTAACTCCTTTGTCCCCTGCAAGTTTTGGTAAATTAGTTAGAATTCTTTTTCCAAATTTAACTACAAGAAGATTAGGAATGAGAGGACAATCCAAATATCATTATTGTGGAATTAAATTGGTAGGTGATCAAAATTTTCAAGGGGGTTCTCCAATATCTAACTCATCATCATCTTTTGGTATTGACTCTCCTCAATCTTTAAATCCAAATAGTCCTTCAATATCTGGAAGCCCTGCACCAACTGCAAATTCAAATTTATTATCAACGCCAGTTAATTCAATTTACATAACTGAACATTTTCAATTACATACCTTAAGATATATTCCAAATTTATTTCAGTTAATTGAAGATTCACTTAATATGGAAGATATGAACTCTCCACTTCATTTACCTTCAATTTATCCCTACTTGCCCAAAGACACTGATTATGATATTGCAGATACTTTGTATTCTTTATATAAAGTTCACTGTACTTCAATTTTTGAAAGTTTAAGATATATGCATATTAAAAAATTATTTTCATCTTTTGCAAGCTTTAATAGTATTTTAACTGCCCCAGTTTTTAAATTATATACCAGTGAACCAGTTCTTGAATGGGTTAAAGAATGTGATTTGGCTATGTACAGGACAATGGCTAAAATGTTAACTAAATTGCACTTACAAAGTGTTCCTGATGAAGTTTTACAACAATTAAAACAAGTTTCAAAACAATATGTTAATAAATTAAGCGCTTCATTACAGACAAAGGTTCCAAAAAATTTTATGAACTTAAAATTGAAAAATGCAAAAAATTTTATTGCAATTTTATCAAGATTAATTAAAGTAATTGAAACTGGTCAATCAGCTGGAAGAATTTTGAATAATCCTTCTGAAAAGCAAGCAATGGTTGAAGATTGGTTAAAATTAGATATCAATGAAATTGTTTTAAGAGAGGTTCCTTGTTCTAAAGCTAATATTGAACTTTTGTTAAGTATTTTGAGTAATGATTTTATCAATTTATTACAAATGGAGCTGGATAGTCAAAAAAGTCAAAAGGGCCAAGATGGAAGTCAGGAACAACATATGAATCTAGCAGCTTCCTCAATTATGAACAATTGTGCTAGTTTCATTTCTTCTTTACCATCAAGATTTTCTAAAACAAATCCAAGACTTTTCATTTTGGTTGTATCCAATCTTCTCACAACTTGTCTTCGAGAAATTAGTTTGAACGGTGGTCAAGGGTTTGGTGCATGGTGGATTGTTAGATGCTGGGTTGATGAATACTTCAATTGGTGTTTTGAATTAGGTGGGTTTCTTCAAGACGAATTCCAGTATTCGTTCGAATCAAGTCATCATCACAATAATCGCCACGGTGCCACTAGAACTCAAAGTGATACACAAGCTGCAAATATCCTCACTGAAGCTGTTCAAGGTGTCAACCCTTCCACTAATTCTCAAACTAATTTCTTACAATCAAATCCCCAAATTCAACAATTTCAGCAACAACAAAGTCACTATGATGATAATACTTCTGAACAATTGAGAAGTACCAGCATGGTTGATCTTTTGGATGGTGCTTATGGAACTGACCTCAAAGATGAGTCTCAAAATCAAGAATTGATCTTGAACTACGATAATGTTGGTGTTGAAAACATTTTGGGTAAGAATGAAGACATTTTGGGTTGAGATGTTAGCTCATCACTCCCCGGCATTAAAGCTTTGAGTCTTGGCTCATAGCTCATTTTACTCACTTCTCTTTTTCAAAGCTATCGCTTTGCTGTCATTCCTTTTTTTTTTTTTGCAGTCCTATTTTTCGTATTTTTGCATCGGCATTCTCTCAGTTTTTTTTATACTTATTTATCATTGGATTCTTTTTTGTTCAATCCTTCTAGTTTCCTCATCTAACATTCATTTTCACGTCTATACCCTGGCATCTCTTCAAGTCTTACGATTTACACAATCTTTCGTTTTTTTTTGTTTTTCATCGTTATAATTCACTATATTTCATTTGTTTTTCACGATTGCCTTTCATTTGCATTTCACTAGAGATCCCAATTTACCATTCACAAGTGGTTCTTTGCTTTACTACTTCATTGTGTCTCTCTTCACGTTTTATATAGCCAAGTATGCATGTACATATCATTTATTTAAGCTTTACTTGTAGGAACTGTTACTATTAAACATATATGCTTTGAAGTTTAATGAGTCCAAAGAACTTAGGATTTGTGACAACCTTTCGAAACTGAGGGAATTGATTTTTTTTTTTTTGGAAAGTTGCAGCCAAAAGTTGCAGTTTTTTTTTGGTGGACACTTAGCCGCTACTCTTTCTCTTCTTCATGAACTTCGAGATTGTTCACAGGATCTACAGCTTACTTGTTTGAGGGTGAATAATTGGTACTGGTAGAAGTTTGAATCCTGAAAGACCCATTTTGTCATCGAAGAATCGAATTTCTTAGTTAAAAGTCAAATTAGCCGCTCAAACTATTCCCACCTTATACATTCATCCATTGGTGAAAATGGATAGCAAAAAGCTTGAAAAATCATCTAAGCAAATGATGACCATTTATAATGCTCACGGAGGATATGCAAAAAGGGGCATCTGCTTGAAGAATGATATTTCTGCTTTCAAAACCTTAATTTGTTTCAAACCTTTAGTGAAAATTATCAACAGCACAGTTCAAAATAACAGTGGATACTCACTAGAAACAGCCTGTAGCTCCTGTTTTCATAAATTTTCCAATTCTCAGGATAGTATAACCTGTCCCAACTGTTGTTTAACTAAGTATTGTGGCCAAGACTGCTTGTTGAAAGATTGTAGGGCTACACATAAATACGAGTGTGACATTCTTCGATCATTCTTGAAAAAGGCACCCAAAGAAATCAATATCGGAGAATTTATTAGATTGGTTATTCAGCTTTTTGTTACCTGTGAACAATATCCCACTTACAAGAGAGAAATTTTCAATTTGACTTCTCATAAAGAAGAGTTCATCAAAGGTATACATGCTGACTTTCTTTATGATAATCTTGATTTAGTAGTTAATTCAGTGCATGAGTGTAACCCTCGCCGTACAAAGGACGAGTTGAAAAGTTACATTAACGACTTGATTTGCATCTGCTTTGTCAATGCAAACATTTTGATGGATGAGTATGGTGAAGCAATTGGGATGGGCATTGATCCATACTTTTCCCTTATCAATCATTCCTGTATTCCAAATACAACAGTGGTTCCTTTTTCTTCAACTTCGTTCCAACTTGTCACAAACTGTGCAATCCAGAAAGCAAAAGAAATCACAATAAATTATTGTTATACTTCGAATCCAAAAGAGTTGAGACAACTAGATTTGGCTAATCGTTTTTTCTTTACTTGCAAGTGTGGGTTATGTACAGCTAAAGTTGATTATTTCTTTTCTTATAATTGCCTTAGATGCAATGCGTTGATTTGCAGCCTTTCCTTTGATAATTTTTTCAATGAAGATTCAGCGGATACCTTAGTTTTCAAATGTTTGAACAAGACGTGTGGAAATTGCAGAATTCCCATTGATTTGGATCAAGTTAAGAAGACCAACAGTTTACATAAACTTATATTGGCCTATTTCATTTATTCGTTTTTTTCAAGAAATACCGTGATGCCAGAGTTGAGAACTGATTCTTTTGATAATTTTGTCAAGGGGTTGAATGGCTTTGTTAAAGAAGCTGGACTTCTTAACATTGACAGCAAATCTTTAGTCAATTATCTTTCTCTTATCCCTAATGGCTCACTCGAGATCCAGGATGCTCACTTCACCTATATCTCGTTAATATTTTCTAATTTATTAGATTTTAAAATAATACCAGAGTATTGCTTCCCTTTAAACCAATTCTTACCAGTTCTTGCAAGCTGTATAGAGCATAAAACTTTTGACAACAAGATGAAAGTTGATCTTATATTAACGAGGCTCAAATATGAAGTAAAATCAACAATTAATGCAGATCTTGCAGTGGATTTAACTGAACAGATTACTTCCAAATTTTCTCAGTACGCAAGTTTAACAATTACATTCTTAGATATTTACGAGCAATTGGCTCAAGTTCCTGATGACGAATGGGTATCCAATCTTTGGAACGAGGGAAAAGATGAAATACTTACTGTTTTATTAAAGTCTACATTTTTTTTTAGCATTCAAGCACTTGAATTTTTTGAAAGTAAATTTCCAATGCAGACTCACTTAATGATGCAAGTGATTGATTATGTTGAAGCGATTTTGAAATCAGGATTTTCAACCAGTAGATTGAAAGAGTGGTATTCACAAAAGCCAGCTGATTTTACCGCTGATACATTTCATGACGAGTTGACTAAATTATTTAACTTTGTCGGTGGTTATTATTCTTTCAAGCAGAAAGTGATAAAGTACCAATTTGCTGATAGAATGAGAAAGCATATATTTACTCCAGTAGCTAATTTGAATTGTCTTAAAAAAAATCGCTTTCGGTAAACGGATAAAGTGTATATTGAATAAAAAAATTATTAAATTGATGCAAATTAGAAATAGAACTGAAAAATTGTAAATTGTAAGCGATCAAACATCGTTTAAGGCTACGCAAACTGCTCCTTTATGGTGACCGTTATATTGTCTAACAGTTTCGCTATTGGATAGATCCCATAATCTAACATAATGATCCGAGCAAGCAGTTACTAAATAAGCACTATCTGCACTGAATGCACAATCCCAGACCCATCTTTGATGGCCTTGAAGGGTAGTCTCTAGGCTAAAGTTATCTTCAGTAGACCAAATTCTAGCGGTATGATCAGCTGAACAAGTAGCTAAATGTTTCATATCAGTCAGTAATACGACTCTAGTTATATATTTCAGATGAGATCTAAATTTTGTCACCGGAGTTAAAGAAGTTTCTTCACGATTATTTTGCATTTTCCATACATAACAATTACCTTTATTATTCCCGGCAACAAGCATTGAACCATCACTAGCAACAGATAATGAATTTATTGGAACGTCATCTTCAGGAATTAAATGATGACTACAATGATTTTCACCCAAATCCCATATTTTTATATTACCATCTTGATCACAGCTTATTAATTCTCCTTGATTTGGATGAATGACGACTTCGTTCACCGGACAATGATGTTTATAACTTCTTTGCACTGACGGAGACCTTACATCCCAGACTTTCACCGTTCCATCTTCTGAAGAAGAAACCATCCATTTGTTTTCTACTTGGAATGCAAGTGATGTAACATTAGAGCTATGGCCTTCAAAAGTCATGACTGGATTAGAATTATTATTATTATTATTATTATTGGAAGCACCCGGTCCCATGGAAGCCACCGAATTAGCAGAAGCGGTACCATTGCCAGAATTCCCCACTTGTCTTATATCGTATAATCTTACGTATAAGTTACCAGCAGCTGCCAAAAAACGTTTATCAGAAGTTATTTCTAATCGATTAACTTGAGAATCTGGGTGTTGAATTGTACGAGAACAAACCCCAGTTAGCGCGTCCCAGAATCGGATTGTGTGGTCGTAACCAGCCGACGCTAAGATCACGGACATGGCTGTATTAATATGTATAAGGGAACAAGGGAGTAAACTGGTTTAATCATTTCAACGAAGGATTTTTTATTCAAGAATATGCTCCGTACACCATCAGTAACCAAAAAATAAAAAATTGAAAAAATTGCAAATTAAACTTGCAAAATCTACAAAAGTTATTAAAATGTTCTTTTTTTTATTAAAATTAGGTATATATACAAAGCATTGGCAGAGCCAATGACAGTTATCTATAATCTAAGGACGAAGATAAGGCAAGAAGAAAAAGCGAAGCTAAAGTACAATTGAATAAAAAGGGAAATGCATTGGGATCATTCATGTCATATGTCATTAATAAAGATTAAAAGTTTTGATTAATGGCTTGTTTTTGTTGAGGGGTTAATGAAATTGGATAGTCGACTTTGAAAACAATTTCCAAATCACCTCTCTGGCCAGGGTTTTTACTAATTGGCATACCTAAACCGGGATAAGTAGTGGAAGAATTTGGTTGAATTGGAGAGGATCTTGAAAAGGGAATTCTTCTACCGTCGATGGTGGTAACTTCTCTATCGAAACCCAATAAAGATTCTTTGAAAGATAAAGGAACAACCATTTTCAAGTTGTTACCTTCTCTTTGGAAAATAGGATGAGATTTCTCTTCCAAAACGAATTGAATAGTTTGTCTTGCTTGACACTCTGGTTGATAATCACCTTCATTGGCAAAATTGATTTTAGTACCAGCTTTCCAGCCTGGCTTAATAGTAATTTCAACAACCTTACTTTCTTTAGCACCACTAATACCTTTTCTACTTAATTTCATTTTTTTAACTCCACCTTTATACAAATCTTCTAAAGAAACTGGTAAAGTCATGGTAACGGTATCCGGTTCCGGACGAGAACGAGCAGAACGACCACCGGCACCACCAAACCCACCAGGCATACCACCACCACCAAAACTGGACCCACCAAAACTGGACCCACCAAAACCTGAACCAAACATATCATCACCTCCCATACCGAAACCACCCATTTGGGAGAAGATATTGAAGGCGTCATTCTGAGAAAAGGAAGACCCAGAACTAAACCCACCAAACGGAGAAGCCCCTCCGCCAGCAGCAAATGGATTTCCTCCAGCACCACCAGCAGGAGCATTACCTCTAGCAGCTTCTAACCCATAATCATCGTAAACCTGTCTTTTATCAGGATTAGATAAAATCTCACACGCTTCGGAAATCTCTTTGAATTTTTCAGCATCCCCAGTTGGCTTATCAGGGTGATACTTCAATGCAGATTTTCTATAAGCTTTCTTTATTTCAGTTTCACTAGCAGATGGTGAAACTCCTAATAAGTCATAAAGTTTTGTTTCTCTAACCATATTGCAATCTAAAATTTATCCAAAAATCAAAGCAAAAGTCCGTTTGACCCCCGAGTATTCTCTTTAAAGGAAGATGCAATTGGATTTATACTATGCCAATCAAGTGATTTTGTTTTTTCATAGAAAAAAATGGCAATTCTTTTAGAGTTTGGGGGTTTTCGCCAGTGATTTTTCGCGATTTTTCTAGAATTTTCTATCAACAAGTGGGTTTGCCTGGTGCACGGGTGCGGCTTCGGTATTTGCAGCCATACCCTATTGAACTGATAGATATAAGTAATAGATTTATGTAATAGATGTAAGTAATAGATATAAGTAATAGATATAAGTAATAGATTTATGTAATAGATTTATGTAATAGATATAAGTAATAGATTTATGTAATAGATATAAGTAATAGACATTCAAGTAATAGATATTCAAGTAATAGATTTATGTAATGGATATAAGTAATAGATTTATGTAATAGATATAAGTAATAGATTTATGTAATAGATATAAGTAATAGACATTCAAGTAATAGATATAAGTAATAGATTTATGTAATAGATATAAGTAATAGACATTCAAGTAATAGATATTCAAGTAATAGATTTATGTAATAGATATAAGTAATAGATTTATGTAATAGATATAAGTAATAGATATTCAAGTAATAGATATTCAAGTAATAGATTTATGTAATAGATATAAGTAATAGATTTATGTAATAGATATAAGTAATAGATATTCAAGTAATAGATATTCAAGTAATAAACCAAGGTGGTTCAAGTTTCATACAGTTTCACTTATTAACGAAGATAAGACTAAGAGAGAATCCGAAAGGGGTCTAAATAAGATTAACAACGAACCTTTTAAGCGAAAGAAGGAGAATAGGCAATCTGTTTCCACCCTTTCAACGGTGTTTCCGAAGAGACTTCATTCACTGTTTCTACAATTGGATACTTAATCATATCTTCTTCAGTCTATACCCCGAGCTTAACTCTTGAAGACTATTTTATTTTCTTTAAGCTGTTAGCTATCTTAGTAAGCCTGGTTGACCTGAGTTTAACAAGAGCAAACAGCCTATATTGATCTAACAGCTTGGAGAAGGTGAAGTATTCAGTCAAGGCCATGGAGACACTTGTCATGGCATCAACGTACCGTTAGAAGCATATCCCAATGTCATCGGCGATTTTCTCACAAGATATATGGCCCTAAGGGGCAGTATCCGTTTGACTGAACGCATCGCTTTGCATGTATTTTCTACGGGCATCCTAGAATCCCAGATATAGTAAAAAGACTGGCTACTTCAATAAGGCTGCCTCTCAATTATTCCCTTTTAAAGGTACATTGTTCAGTATCACCGTTGTTTCTGGCCTGTTTTAAAATTTTTTTTTATATATATATATATATACGCACCTCTTCCCTTTATTCTGGTTCGATCTTTTCTCCTTACTCTAAAATGACCAGAAACCCAACTCCAAGTCCAAGAAGGTCAAGGAAGAGGATCCAGGGACCTCGTTGTCCGCCGGGGTGGCTCAATTGAGCTTGAATGAAAACGATGTTCGTCCAAAAAAGGAATTTGTGGGATTATTCGATGAATCTATCCCCGTTGACGAATTTCTCGAATTAGATTATAAGAATATCATTGCTAGTAAGAAAATCAAGCCTATTATCAAGAATGCTTCTGATAAGGCGGTTGATATCTATGAAGAGTATTTTGATGAGCTATTTGATTACGACTACACTTATGAATCCATGAAAGATTGGACTAATTGTTTTAAACTTTGTCAAGTCGAAGAGCCTCTTGCTTCAAAAGTTTTCACCATGAGAACCGTTTCACCTAAAAGATACAGAGCATTCTCCAATGAGTACACTGATACTCGTCAACAGTTACTTTGGGCCAAAGTCTTTTCGGATCGTTTGTCAGAACTCTTAGCACCTAAAGTGGATGCTATTAGTGAACACAATCCAAATCCAAATGTATCTGAAATTTATTATGCTATCATTAATAAAAGGGACAATATCTTGGGATATGGTTGCAATGCTCATTTCTGAGATTGGTAGAAACGCTCGATCCAATCCACCCCACAGATCAGTGAGTAATTATTATAAAGAAAAAGATTCTATTCACATAAGATACGGTAGGTCAATGGCTTCGTACTTTGACAATGGTGGTAACACTTACGAGCTTGCTCTTTGGTACTGTGATCAATGTGACACGAACCAAAGAATCGCTATTAGTTATATTGTTGGTAATTATAAATCTTTCATGAAGAAGAAGAAGAAGTCAAACAGTAGTGGGAAAAGATTTGATATGCGTGATTTACTTAATGCTGTTGAAAATGACCGGGGGTTTGTTTTTGATCATCCTCAACCACAGTTCAAGGTTCGTAGGAGAAAGCTAAAGAGAAGTCATGTCTCTCATGATAATCATCAAATTGAGTCTGATGACGAATTCCAGGATCCTTACACTTTTTACACTGACGTTGGGTCAACTAGATTTAAAATGGTACGCGATGAGGATGATAATGTTGATATATTCCCTTACTAAATATTATATAAGAATTATATAAACTAATCTTTCTTTTCATTGGCTAAACGAGCAGCTTTCTTTAAAGCTCTAACACGAATGCTTTTATGCATGTTGAAATTGATGGTATTAGCAATCTTTGAGTAAATACCAACTGAATTTGCAACAGCAAAATGCATAAGAGCATGAGTCCAGTAAGGAGTGTTTGTAGCAAATCTTTCTTGAGCACCACCACGGTAACCAACGCTGTTAATGGCGGATTTAACAAAATTTTTAGCATTTGGAATAAGTAAAGAAGGTCTCTTTATTTTAGACATTGCAGAAGTAACCAAATAAGAAAGAACTAATTCAACATCAATTTTTTCAGGAGCCAATTCACCAGCTAAAGCATTAGACCAGTTTTGTAAAAAAGCTTTGGAACCAGAATAAGTGGCTAAATAAGCAGTTGGAAATAAACCACCAAATGATCCCATGGTTAAAATCAAACCGCGAATCTTTTTATCTTGATTTAAAGTTTGCTTGATTACTGGAAGAACAGTTTGAGTGATCTTTAAAGTAACAAGATTATTAATAGTGACAATATCGGTTAATTCTTTTAACTCAGTTTCAACAAAAGGAACAGGAATAGAATGCGATTGACCAACGTTATTGATTAAAACAGTAACAGGTAAGCCATCAATTGCGTTACTGATTTTAAGATAATTTTCATCTTCATCGGTAGAAGCATCAAATGCTATGATTTTAGTGGAAACCTTATATTTACTTTCAATGTCAGTTGCAAGTAATTCCAACTTGGATTGTGTTCTGGAAATAAGCACAATATTCAATCCTTTAGCAGCCAACTGTAAAGCGTACTCCTTACCTAACCCATCAGAGGCACCAGTAATAACAGCCCAATTACCCTTTTTAGCCCCATATTTCGAATAGTTGGTTGCGGGTAAAATGAATAAATCAAAAACTAAAGAGACTACACTCAAGGAGAAAGTGGTGATCTTGAACACCCCAATTAAAACAGAACCAACGAGTAAGGATTGGCCAAGTTTACTCTGAGTAATACTCGAAAAATATTCAGCGATTGACATTATGACAAGCTTATAGGGAAGTAAAAGAAGTTGTTGGCTTCTTCCTTTTTTTTTTTTTTTCTTCTTTACAAGAAATCAAAAAAATACACGGTACCTACACGATTTTTCAAGGAAACATTATATATATATATATGATACAGATATATTACAGGATTTCATTAAGGTTATTGCAAGAATGTGAATTCTTCAAGCTTTTCATTGGTAAGCTGGACGTGAAGAGCTTCTCTTTCCATACTTCTATCCAAGGACTGCACGGAGTTTTGTAGTTTAAACCTGGTCAATTGTAATTGACTTAATTCCTTATCGACTTTGAGCAAATCTTCGTATCTTGACTCAAGAACTGCTTGAGTCTTGGGATCTTTGATGTGAAGTATTGGAATCCAAGGATTATTGAATACCTTCTGTTCGAGTTTCGAGATTGAGTGTCTGGATTTTGATATCGACAGTCTTTCTGAAGCTGGAGTCGATGCCCTTGAATTTTGAGTATTATCATTGTAGTTTTTCGTATACAGAGACGACCTGGACTTGTCGTACAGTCTGTTGTCATTATACCCATCATTGTACTCATGGGACGAAGCTGAAGTGATTGAAGGTCTGCCTCCTGAACCATTATAGTATCCTCTCCCCCGGTAATTAGACAGCGAGCCTCTGAATCCACCTCTAAACCCACCACGGTAATTGCTATTATAACTGTGACTACGTGGATCCTCTGCAGCGTATTCCTCATCTGGTTTCTTATCTTCTGGTTCATCATAAGTGCGGTCTCCAGTTCTGTAAACGTCTCTTCCACGATTCAGATAGTACGGTTGGTATCTGCTCGAACCACCTCTGGAGTAGTACAGACTATCTCCACGGCCCCTGAAACTGCCTCCCGATCCACGAACGGGCCGAGAAGAACCTCGTCCTCTATATGAAGAAGTGCCTGGATTATCGCTGGAATTAGCTGACGATGACGAGTTAGATGCTGGGTGGTACGCATCGTAAGCGGACCCCGCCAGCCCTGTACGGTCGTAGTAGTATCTTCCACGGCCCCTCCAGCCTCTATCACTCATTATGATTATGAATTATAAGTATATTGGAAGTAGTTTAGAGAAAAGTCAAGTAAATGGTTTTTCTGGTGAAACGTAAACTGCAAACTACTCGGTGTAATCTGCAGATTAGCAACATGCAAACTCGCGAGAGTCAAACTGCAAAACGTGAACGACCCGGACACCACGCAATCAATATGATTTCCTAATGCGTCCAAACCAAAATAGACTTCGTTTTGGCAACCCTTTGGCTTTACGTGAAAAGCACAAACTTGCAGTGAAGAAGGGATTATGGGAAGATTGAGTGATACTTAGTAAAAGAGGGCATAGAAGAATGCAGCTAGAGCAGGCATCAACGATTGGAGTAATGAAGAAATCGTATTTTGACCAAGTATGGACATCCTTGGAGACGGGAGGAGATATCAGGTTGGATAAAATGGCCAGGTTTTTAACTGAGTTGGAGACCAAGTTAGGGTTAGAAGCAGACTTTCTAGCTGATGATATCATTATCACGAGTGAAATAGAGGAGTTGGTCGAGGGAATGGAGAGAAGGTTAGAGAAACCCGCTAGTCAAATAAGTATTGAATATAGCGATATGAAAAATATCATGATCTCCTTGTTAAAGGATATCAAGGTGATAGATTTGAATCATGGGGTGATATACGGAGGGTTCAATGATGGATATGAGTACTACCAGGATAATTTCAATCACTATATATATAAGGAAACCGGTTCGATGTCGCTGACGCCATCGAATTATTCGTTGAGCGAAGATGATTCTGATGAAACTGCATCTTTAATGAACAACCACTCCAAGAGTGAGATGGTGGTGAATAAGAAAACCATCTTTAACCTTAACGAAATCTTAGAAGAAATCAATGATCACCATTCATGCATTGATGAGTCGTTCCATAACTTAGAAACTCGAGTGAATAATCTTCATATAAGAAATTATCAAGACTTACGCCATTTGAATCAACTATTGAATCATAATAATAGCATCGACCATCGACTAATTGCCATTAGAAGTGAATTAGAGATACTCCACCGGCAATTCCCCAAACCAAAACTAATAGTTGATGTGCTGAACTTGGATTATACCCCAGTTGTTCCTAAAAGCTTGCTTGGTTCACAACTAAGCCAGGAGGATATTCTTTTCCTTCAGAGATTCAACAGCAAAGCTCCGCGGACTAAAGACTACTCTACTTTGTTGATATTGGCGATTACTATTGTTACAATCATGGTATCTTATTATTTTGCCATTTGATTTGCATTTATTACGAAATTAATGAATACGTATATAGAAAACAAAATCTATAAACTTAATGAAATTTTTTTTTTTTTTGTTTTTTCAATTTTGATATTAAGACATTAAAAGACAAACAGTAGTAGTGATTTTTTTTTTCTTTTTCAATCCATATTGACTGATCTTGAATAATTGTCAAAGTTTTCAGGATCTTCTTGGAAATAAGGATGAACCAAAGCTCTTTTAGCACTGATTCTACCGCTTGGATCATAAATCAACATTTGTTCTAATAAATCAACCCCATCAGAGTCTAAAGTTGGAACAAATTCAGCCAAATTCTTCTTATTCCATTTAGGGAAAGTAGGTTTAAAGTCAGGTAAATAAGTAACGTCTGGCCAAATTTCTTCAGTTGGAGTACCTAAAATTCTGAAAATTCTAAATATTTCATCAATTTCTGAATCTCCTGGAAATAATGGTTTTCTATTACACATTTCAGCAAAAATACATCCAACAGACCACATGTCAACAGCAGTGGAATATTGTTTACCACCCAACAAGATTTCTGGAGCTCTATACCATAAAGTAACAACTTCATGAGTGTAAGCTCTTAATGGGACACCAAAAGCTCTTGCTAAACCAAAATCAGCTAATTTCAAGTTACCTTCTTTATTAATTAATAAATTTTGAGGTTTCAAATCTCTATGCAATACTCGATGACTATGACAATGCTTAATTCCTTTGATTAATTGGTTTAAGAATCTTTTAACCATAGATGATCCTAATCCAACTCCTTGTGGAATTGATTCCATATATTTTTTCAAATCCAAATCCAAAAATTCAAAAACTAAATATAATTTGTGACTGTCTGAATGTATTATATCATATAATCTAACTATATTATTATTCTTCATCTCTTTTAATAATGAGATTTCCCTAATTGCTGTTGATGGAACACCTTCATCTTCCAGTTCTAATCGAATTTTTTTTAATGCAACTACTCGATTATTATGTTTTGTATCTAATGCTTTATAAACAACCCCATAAGTACCTTCTCCAATCTTCTCCTGACGTTGATAATCTGATAATTCAACCATTCTATCTACTTTGTCTGTATTGTAGAAAAGAAAGTTAATTTAAACAGTTCGTTGATTTGAATCAGAACAACGTAAACAAAAAAAAAAATTACGGTACTCAAAGACAAAACGCGCAAACATTTTACCCCTTTCATCTCTGACAAAGGCTTTAGCAAGTGGATTTAAGTCAGAGCATATAAGCTGAATGGGCAGAAACATGCTTTTAAGCTTGCAATAGGTCTGATTATGCCTGAAGTGGGTTCAAATAGGCCTGAAATAGAAAAACGTACAAATAAATTAATGTAATGCTATGTATTAGTTAGTCTAGTTATGTTTACCTTCACCGGCTTCACAAACTTTGATTTCTCTACCCCATTCACTATTTAAGATTTGTTTACCATTTATTCTTCTTTCAGGCTTTGGATCTAAGATAGAATAAATGACGTTTCTACAACGGGCCCTTTTCAAAGATTCAATTGGTTCATATCCCGTAGCATCTTTTCTTTTAACAAGATATTCTTGGAAAAATTCATCCTTTTTAGCATCAGCCAATTTCCATAATTGACGACCAGTTCTCATTGCCATATAGATGACACCACAAGACCAAATATCAACACCTCTTGGATCAAAAGAAGATTGACTAAATTCTTCGGGAGCAATATAAGGAGAAGAACCACAAATACCTTCACTTAATTGAATATCATCTTCCCAGGCCATTTTAAAACATTCACCATTACCAAAATCTGTAATTTTCAAGATACCATTTTGAGTTAATAGTAAATTTTCAGGTTTTAAATCACGATGACTAACACCCATATCATGCATATAGTTAACACCTCTTATTAATTGTTTGAAAAAACAATCAGCTTCAGCGTATTCTAATTTACCCAGAGCAATAATTAAAGTATATAAATCACCACCACTACAAAATTCCATCACTTCACAATAGTCACCTTTAGCATCTTTTAATAAATCCAAAGTATCAATGATATTAACATGTTTTAAAGATGATGAAATACAAAATTCACTTGTTAAACGACGACTATATTTTTTTTCCAGTTCTTGAGGTTTTCTTTTAAATTCTTTAACTGCGTATAATATTTCATCATTAGTTATTGAAGATACTTCTTCATTTATTGAGCCGATTTTTTTATGGGAAATACGAACAACTCCAAATGAACCTCTTCCAATAACTTCTTGACATCTACCATATTTTTCAACAAAAGACCTTGAATCTTGTTTTTCCAGGGGATCTAAATATTGTCCGTGGTATTGACCAGTATTACTTTTAACTTGATTAACCAAACCGGCAAATAAAGTAGGAGGTTCTTCTTTTGGACTTTGATTTTGATTTTGATTTTGATTTTGATTTTGATTTTGGTTTTGATTTTGATTTTGATTTTGGTTTTGGTTTTGGTTTTGGTTTTGGTTTTGGTTTTGGTTTTGGTTTTGGTTTTGATTTTGGTTTTGATTTTGATTTTGATTTTGATTTTGATTTTGATTTTGATTTTGATTTTGATTCTTCAATATTTTGGGCACCGCCAGCTTTGCTTCATCTCTTAATTTTTTAGCTCCTAATAAGTCTTTTAACATATTCAGTAATTTTTCTTGACGTTTAGCACTACGTAAATTATGTTCATGATTACCATTTTCCAACATTCTAAATCTTGGTTTATGATTTACAGATACCGATGAAGTTGTTGATGGTAGATTACTTGAAGAAGTATTTGGACTTAAATTTGGTTTAGTAACCGATGAAGAGTTCCCTTTATTAGTGGATGATGAGCGAGAAACTGGGTTTGATTGAGGACGTGACGGGTTATTGTTCGTGGTATTATTATTATTTGATGAATTGATTTTATTTTTATTTGTAGTGGAAGAAGAACGAGAAACTGAAGGGGATCGTATTGACTGATTATTTGATAATTTTGCATGGACAATATGAGATAAGTTTTCAACTGATGAGTCCCGGGATGATAACGGAGGAGATGCTGATTTCGAAGTTGGTGATGCTATATGAGCAGCACCAGGACTTGATGGGGTTCGAACTGGTGAAATTGGGTGATTTGAAGGATTTTCATTGGGTAAAGGACTAACAAAATCATTCTCTTGTTGAGATAGTATGAAATCTTCGTCATTAGATATATCATGATCTTGAGTTTTCCCCTTCCCACCATTATACTCTTGCGCTTTTCCATTCCCACCATTCAAATTAGATTCATTAGCATTGACGTTAACAGTTGGTACGCTATTTGACAGCCCGAATATCTTGCCCAATCCCAACTTTGAAATCGTTTTTTTGGATTTGGAGTCTCCCATGGTATCGAAACTATGGTAAACCTACCCCTGGTGTTATAACAAGGGGCTAATTGATGCTATTAATCTGATGATTTGATGACCAAAGAGTGTCAGTTTTTTCTTTTCTTCCTGTTTTTTTTTTTTGTTCCTTTTACTCTATTTTTTCTTCTTTTCTGCTAACAAAACAAAAAAAAATTTTGTAAAAAGGATTTTTTTTTTACAGAAAAATAACGCATTCTTTGTCTTCAAAATAAACCGGTACACCACAACTTGTTTTGGACCCGTACACCAGTTGCCCTTGACAACCCTCCTCTCTTTTTTTTGCAGCAGCACGAGCCGGGGAGCGGCTGCATCCGTGCACCAGCACACTTGATCGGGCCTACTAAACCCTAATAAGTGAGTTCTTGTCACAATGCTAAATCACCATATGGCACCAAAACAAGATAAAAGCGTATGTTGTGACACCAGGAGGGGATCGTAGGTTGCTCGTATTTCAGATACTGCTCCCAATCAGGCGACCGCATGAACTATTCTAGAAACACTCTGGGATGATAATGGTATTGTTAAGTTTAATCAGAGTAATTAAGGAATCCCGCGTAAACCCTGGCTTGTATTCACGTGAGGATTAACCAAAATCTTAGCCGTTGGCGTTTTGGTACTTTATAATCCTCGCAAATGGCCCTCCACGGGATTTAGCCTAATTGTGGTGTTTAGCCATGTATTTAGCCCAGTTATGGCAAGATCAAACTTTAAAAAATTATACGGCCACCGATAATATTTCTTATTCATAACAAACACATTTCACAATCGGAGCAAAAGTCTCTTCATATTCTTTTGTTCTCTTAAAGTCACTTGTTCCTTCCGTAATATTTTCCTTTTTCCATTATGTAATTTCGTTTGTTCTTTTATAATACAATGGTGGTGGGAACTTTAAAAATGAAAATAAAAGCTGAAATCATTTATAATTTCTCTTTTTTAAGTGTCTCGTGTATGTTGAATGCCTCCTTGTAGTAGATATCGGTATCAAGGTATGTATCTGTATCAATGTATATATATGTGAACAAATCCTCCTGGAATCTCGTATCCATCCTCTTGGAATTACCTCTGTTCCGTCCATTGTATTTTATGTTGGGAGTCGGTTACGTTTCTTCATCAAGACCAATCACGTGCCGCTCGTTATATTTTTTTTGTTTTTTTCTGTTTCGGTTTTAGCCTTTGATTATTTTTTTGTGTCAAGTTGTACTTTGCAGCCCTTTTTTCTACTTAGTCAATTGTTCCTTTTGAACTTTTTTTTTTACCGCTAAAACTCAATCAGGGACCCACGTTCGCTATAAGGTCCCCACGAGTGTACACCCCTTACTGAATAATCAAGGAACTGAATTTGAATAGTCGTCGGAGCCCAGTTAATTAGCATACCTGATTTGGACTTGGTGATCTTCGAGAAAGTATAAGTATAGGTGAATTTGCAAGAGGAAGTTTGCCGGGAAAAGCATCCATATTCATCACCCAATCTGCAGAATGAAGTTACTTTCAGCACTCCCACTTCTTTGCAATATACCATCTCTAGCAATTGCCGATCACCAATCGACAATTTTCAGTAAGAGATCCACGGTTTCAAACCCAGAAAACTATGTTGACGTCTTCACTGGAACTGAAGGAGGAGGAAATGTGTTCCCAGGGCTGGCTCGTCCGTTTGGGATGGTCAAGCTTGGAGTCGACGTGATTGACTCTTCTAGCGGTAACGCGTATTCGGGATATGCTCCAGACGGGAAAATCTCGGGGATTTCAATGATGCATGAAAGTGGGACCGGAGGTGCTCCTCAATATGGGGTTGTTGCTCAGTTACCTTATACCGACGATATTGATTTTGCCACAGAATTAACTTTGGATCGTCAATCCGCTGATTCGGGAAGTGTTGGTCAATATCAAGTCAATTTTACTAATGGAGTCAACGTGGAATTGGCTGCTGCGGATCGTAGTGGTATTTATCATTATACTTTCCCTTCCAATGCTTCTGCTAAGATCTTGGTTAATGGTTCTCATCATTTAAGTTCTCCGCTGAGACCCTGGTGGTCTCAATATTCAGTAAATGGATCAATTGAGGCAAATGATGATTTATCTCAATATAAAGGTTCTCATACTTTGAAAGGTGGTTGGGGTGAACAATCTGATTGGACCATCTATTACTGTGGTGATTTCGATACCAAACCAACTTCAGTCACTAGTTATCAAGGTACTAACGTTAATGAAAATAATGGAGAATCTTCTTCCACAAAACAAGACGATTCCTTTGGTTTGGTTTTTCAATTCGATAAATCGGAAATAAAACTGAGAGTTGGTATTTCTTTTATTTCAAGTGATCAAGCCTGTTCAAATATTAAGAATGATTTTGGTAACGATTATGATACTGATCAAACTATCAAAGATTCAATTTCAAAATGGAATGATGAAGTTTTCAGTAAATTTGAAATTAATACTAATAATAATGATACTTTAACCGATATTTTTTATTCCGCTCTTTATGGCTCTCATCTTTTACCTTCAAATCGTACTGGTGAAGCTCCTTCTTGGAACTCGGATGAAGTTTATTATGATGATTTCTTCACTCTTTGGGATACTTTCCGTTGTCTTAATCCTTTATTTAATTTAATTAACCCAACTAGAGGAGGGGAAATTGTTCAAGCAATGACTAATATTTATAATCATGATGGTTATACTCCAGATGGTAGATCAGCAAATCAAAACGGTAGAACTCAAGGTGGTTCAAATTCAGATATCGTAATGGCTGATGCCTATGTTAAAAATATTAATGGCATTGATTGGGATAACGCTTATAAAGCCATGAAAAAAAATGCTGAAGTTCAACCTCCTTATAAATATGATCAATTTGCTCCCGATGCTTCTAACCAAGATGGTAGAGGTGCTTTACCAGATTGGTTGGATTTGGGTTATGTTACTAGAAAGTATACAAGATCAGTCACTCGTACTATGGAATACTCATATGATGATTATTCTTTATCAGTTGTTGCCAAAGGTTTAGGTAATTCAGATGATCATGAAAAATATTTGAAAAGATCTGCTGGTTGGCAACATATTTGGAATAAAGATGCTTCCACTAGTAAGTTTGATTATACTGGATTTGTTCAGCCCAAACAAGAAAATGGTTCTTGGGCCTATGATAATTATGATCCTTTAAGTTGTGGTGGTTGTTATTGGGGTGATGATGAATATGAAGGTAAACCAATTGAGTACGGTTGGAGTGTTCCTTGGGATATCGAAACTTTAAAAAATTTAATTGGTTCAAATGATACTTTTGTAAAAAGATTAGATGATATGTATGCTTTATATGGATCAGAAGATATTGTTGATGTTGGTAATGAACCAAGTTTCTTGACTCCATATCTTTATAATTATGATAATAAGAATTATAAAACTGTTAACACTATTAGATACATTATTAATTCTAAATTTTCTAATGGTAAAAAAGGATTACCTGGTAATTCTGATGCTGGTGCCATGCAAGCATGGTATCTTTTCGGTTTATTAGGTTTTTATCCAGTTGCTGGTACAACTACTTATTTATTATCTTCTCCTTTCCTTCCTTATTATGTTATTAATTTGGAAAATGGTAAAAAAGTTGAAGTGACTGCAAATAATTTAAGTTCCGAAAATTATTTCATTCAAAGTGTCAAGATCAATGGTGAATCTTGGAACCAAAACTGGTTTGACCACGATGATTTATTCAAAAATGGTGGATCCATTGAATATGAATTAGGTTCGGATCAAAAAGTTTGGGAATCTGGTGATTTACCACCTTCTCCAGGTCATTACACTTTGCAAGATTAAAAGTTCTGCTTTTCAGTTTTTCCTTTCTTTTCAAAACAGGTAATAATCTCTGACTACCTTTTGATTAGACTCTTGAAAAATTTTTCTTCTTCTTTCCTTCGTTTCTTGTATTTTCTTTTTCTGTTTTGGTATATAGTAAAATAGATACCCTTTTATCATCTCAGATTGTAGCAGAAGATAATCTCACCCCATACAAAACGCAATAACTAAACAAAAAAAAAAAAAATGTATGAATGCACCTAAGCAAAAAAAAAATGTATATAAATAAAACAACCCTCCTAAGCGAACACAGGTTTTCTTTATATTCCCAAATGGCAGTCATATCATTAATTCAGCACTATCTTCAGTATGTGCAACCGTATTTCCAGCAGTTGGCGTCGATATCGTACTCGGTGGTCAAATTCCCTGTTAATTATCTTATCCTACTACCTTTAAGTATCCTATACCAAATCATAAATCATTTAATCATCATACCAACGTTGATAGCAATACGTATTACAATCTATGCCATAGTGTACCTACCATTGAAACCGGTGTTATTCATATTGGGAATTGAACTCGAGGCCGGCCTTTCAGTTGACGAATCGCTCTATAACCTAATCATTAAATCCTGGCCCCATTTGGTTTTTGCAAGTTTGCAAATCACTCATTATTTCATAATTTGTTTGATTTTTGGGGGAATCGTAGGAATATTCAGTGGTATTTCGTTATCATTAGTGTCCTACTTGTTGACAAGTCTCGAGACCAAAACCATTGACTTCATTCAAGGCAGCGAAACAGCGATTTCCGTAAAGAAAGAACCCCATACTCCATATTTGGATAAGTATATTGATAAAATCTTTGAGAATGATTCTATTTCCACTTCCATTAAAAGGGATCCTCTGTCTATTCTAAATCACCGTGATAGAAGAGGCGACAACGGCTATCTGATGCCGCTGATAAAACAGGAATACCAACCACTAGCACAAACCGATAATGATAGTAGTGCTAACATATACGAAGACGATGACGGATATAGCTACTCTATTTATGACTCGAAAGTGAAAAAGGAATCAAGAGGATTAGACGACTATTTCCCGCTGGTGAATAACGATAGCAAAAGCGATGATACTGATGATTTCAGTGACGATGTGTTTACTAATAGACAATCCACCGATTCCAATACCATAAACACCGATGCTACAATCCATGAAGATCAGGGGGAAGAAGATAAGGGGAATAGATGAGGACTTGTTGCAACTCCCAAACAGATTTGAGTTTGAGTTGGAGGAGCACTTTTTTTTTTGCATTTAAAATCACCACTTTCCCGCGAAATCACTACGAAAGTTATACATCACATTTCAAGTTTATTATCCATTTGGTATTGGTTATGTATAGGTATATGTCGACGGCAGGCATGTCAGGGCCAGCTAGTAGTAGTAGTAGTAGCTGGAACAGTGGCGACGAAACCAGCTCTATGGTGGGGGTGAGAGGATACGGATTTAGCAGCCAATACAGTTCAGCGCCCACCAGTGCCCACTCGATGATAAGTTCGGTACCCTTGGTGGATGAATTCCCGTTTCAGATGGCGGCAAACAGAAACCGATACAGGTATATGGTGGGAAATCAGAGTGGCCCAAGTGCTGAGAGGGTCAAAGCAGATGGACTTTTGACAACAATACGGTTTATGGGTCCATGGTTAGCGGTAAACCACTCTGATTTGATGATTGACGGTCAGCGGGTCAGACTCAATTCTACCAACAGTGATGAGGTGTTGCTAGGCCGGACGTTGATGCAGAAGCTAGAAAAACTGGGGTTGAATAAAAAAACCAGAAGAGGTCCATGTAAGGATGAAATGATATATAATTGTCAAGTTGATTTGATGATCAAATACAAAGGGCGAGATTTAAAAGTTAGGATGCATGTTATTTTAAAAACTCACAAATCTATATCTATGGAGGTTGTTACAAGGTACTTGAAGGAGAAGGTGATTGAAGACAAGAAGCGGACCGTCTTAGATAATAGGATTAAAGTTGTGAAATTGGTTTGTTTTGTCAATAACTTGGAATTAGTATTATAATTCAATCAATTTTCATACGAGTTCTTTGAACACTGCTGTAGGCTTTTTTTTTTTCTCTCAATAGAGTGCACAATTAACAATGCATCAAAGGAGTTATCGTCAAGCATTATTACAAAATCGAGTAATATTATAAATATAATGAATTAAAGAAATAGATAATTATGTAGATAAAAAAAATGCAAAAAAAAGACAATCCTTTTTACAAGTTTTTGGGGGTAGAAAGAAAAGTGAATGAGTAATTAAAAAAAAAAAAAAAAAAAAAAGATATAACCAAAAGAAAAGAAAAAGAAACGAAGAAACTAAGAAGCAAAGAAGCGAAGGAACGAAGGAACGAAGAAACGAAGAAACGAAATAAACGGAGAATGAAACGAAGAAAGGAATGAAACGTAGAAAAGAAGTATCATAAACACGAGCACAAGAGTAAAGAATAATTAAAAGAAAAAGAATAACCAGTTTTCCCCCATGGAAACCCAAATCAAAAGCCTATTATTTTGAAGAATTTTTTAGATAATCAGTGTAGTAATTGCCAAAGACGTTCCAATGAAATTTCACAAGAGTAGAAATTCTAAGGGCGATATTATTTGATTCTGAATTAATTTTTTTGGAGTCTTTATTTGAATCATTTGATTGATCAGGATTTGAATTAATTAAAGAATTTTCAAATTCTAAATTGGTGATTATATCTTTTAATAATTCTTTAAAAATTTTATCCTCCATTAAGCCATAAACTTCACTAGAAGGTTGAATTTGTTTTATTAACCAATTACAACTAAATTCAATCATTGATTTTGGTAATAATTTAACTGATTCATTAGTCAAGGGATTAGTAGTAGCATTTTTAACTAATTGTAAAGAAATGGCTTGAACATTTCTGGTCCATTTAACATTACCATTATCATCAGTAACTATAGCCAAAATTTCTTCTTGAACTTTGTTGATATTGGAAGGTTTAAAAGATTCATTTCTATAATTTGATGAAGGGGAATAATTTAATAATAATTGTTTATATAATACAACACATAATTGAACACAAACTAATTGACGTACATCAGCACGTAATAAAACCAATCTGGTATGATCAAAAGCTAAAGTGGAAGGAAATTCAGTAGCCATATTACGACAGGATAATAAATCAATAATTGAAGAAGTAATTAAAATTTTTAAGTTTGAATTTGAAGTTAAATCATTTGAGTCATTTAAAAAATGATTTATACTTGACGAATTTTTCTTTTTCTCAACGTTTTTATCAAACCATTTGAGAGAATCATTAATATCAATTTTACAATGATTGATTAATTGATTGAAATAATCTTTTTCAAAATCAACTGCAGTTTCAGTTAAAACTGGTCTTAAGATTCTAATTTGATGATTAGCAACATCTAATTTCATGGCTTCTAAAATTGAAAAAATCATTCTTAAACCTTGAACCAATTTTTCAACCGAATTTGTTTCGTAAGCATTAACAAATTTTAGTATCATATCACTAACCCATTGGTCTCTCATTGGGGCACAATGACTTTTGAAGACTTCTCCCAACCATTTGGCCAAATTAACAAAATCAAAAGATCCGTGATTTAATTGTTGTATCAATAAATCAATATCCATAATTTCATTAACTGCCGAGCGATCTTTATACGGTAATAACGATAATAATATATCTCTCAAAGTAGTAAATAAGATTGGTAATGAATTAATTCTTATGGATTTATTATTTGGAATGAAAAATTGTTTACATTCTTTTTCAATTTCATTCCAGTATTTATCAATGATAGTCTTCTTTCTTCTACCACGTTCACCGTCTAAGTTAGGTCTGAATTGTAATTGAGGGTCAAACAAGATATCGTGTCTTAATTGAGGATTCTTCAAGATTTCATGCAAGTCAATTTCTTTTAAACTTTGCAAATTTATTGGTGGTAATGAGATATTTGAAGAATTCTTTGGTTTACTTTGATGATGGTGGTGATGATGAGCCGATGAGGATGCAGTGGTGGTGGTGGTGTTTACTTTCAGATTTGGAATATGGTGTTGGAACACATGACTACGATTGGTAGGATTCTGATAAGTGATTATTGGTAATGAGCGAGATCTGAAGCGACGAATATATTTGGGTGCTTTATTTTGGTTTGAGTTGGTTAAAGGTTTATTGTCAATGTATTTTTTCAAGATTCCGGCGGGAGGAGCCACTTGGTAAAGTTTTTTCAATGATTTTTTCATTGGTTGATGTTGTTGGTGTTGCGGGGGTTGTTCCTGTTGTTTTTGCTGCTGGTGGTGTTGTTCGGGTTGTTTTTGCTGTTGTTGTTGGTGTTGTTCTTCTTGTTCATCAATGTCCATTTGAACCGGGGTGTTGTCGTTAGTTTTTTCGTCATGATCATCATTTTCATTGTTATCAGCGTTGGTGGAGGGCGCGGTGGTAGGGGGATTAGCCGAGGCGTCACTACTGGTGGAAGAAGAGTCCAAGGCCAAGTTGGTATCGTGAGGATCCACTTCGTCCTGGACCGGGACCAAGTTAACACTCGACTGGTTCTTCATGGAAAAGGTATTATTTAAAACGCCGTTGCCATTGGCGGCAACACCTCCCACACCCACTTCAACGGCGGCGTGGCCGCCGCCGTTGGCGGTGGTGCTGCCAGCACCACTGCCGGCGTTGGATGCAGCGGTGGAAGCGGAGGAAGCGCCCGATTCTTTCAATAACTGATGATGACGTTGCAAAGCAGCCAACTGCAGAGGACGGCGGTATTGATGTAGATTATGATGGTTCCGGTGTAAGTTGGAAGAGGCCACGGCCGCAGCGTCCAACCGAACCCGTTTCAGCTGATCCGAAGGACTGGATGCTGAGTTTCTCTTACTGGATGAATCAAGAAACACTGAAGGTTGTCTAAACGGAGTATCTTCTTGAAACACCTGATCGTTTTTGTCGTTGGAATTATTTATTTGCGAATTCATCAAAACGTTAGCAAAGCGGTTTCTAAATGGATTATCGGGGTGTTGATGTGTTCTGGGGTATTGGTAAGCTTTAAAGATTTATTGATAAGTGTTAATTAAAAGGAGTCAGAAGAAAGAAAATGAACTTTTCCTCACTAAAAAAGAAAAATTTGAATGAGCCAACCAAAAAATCGCAAAAAAAAGAAAAATTAAAAAAAAAAAAAAACTCCCTAAAAAAAAAAAAAAAACACCCTAACAAAAAAAAAAAAACTCACTAACAAAAAAAAAAAAACTCACTAACAAAACAAAAAAACTAACAAAAAGAAAAATTAACAAAAGAAAAGAAAAAAAATCCGCTAACAAAACAAAAAAAAAGACAGAAAAAAAAATTAACAGAAGAGAAAAAGAAATGACAAGGGATTAATTAATTTCATTCCACTGGAAAACCCGTAGCAAAAACTGGCAAAAGAAAGCCCCGGAAAAAGAAATGATTAAATTATGGGATCCTCATTGGATACTTGAGATGAGGGCCACCAGATTATTTTGTAGTAGGAGCAGTTGAGTAAGGATTGAGCAGTGAGGACTGAGTACTGGAGTGAGGATTGAGAGGATTGAGTGAGGATTGAGAGGGTTGGGTGAGGATTGAGAGGGTTGGGTGAGGATTGAGAGGACTGAGAGGGTTGGGTGAGGATTGAGAGGACTGAGCGAGGATTGAGGACTGAGCGAGGATTGGTGAGTTGGTGCCGTAAACCAGATGAGATAGGCGTAGTACAGCGGAAATAAAGAGAAAAAAAAGTTACTCCCTCCAGCTTCTTCTTTATGGTCCACCATGACCGATAAACCGCCACCTAGATCCAGTCTGTTGAGTGATCTACTAATACCGCAACAGAAGGAGGAATCAATTCCTATAGCACGGGTTCGTTCGGTGACACCCACCAGTGACCGAGATGGAGAGAAAAAAAATTTAAATGGTAAGACCCAAACCATATTCATCCACAAATTGTATGATATGTTGGAAGACGGGTCGATAAATCACTTGATATGGTGGTCTTCCAATAACGTGTCTTTCTACTTGTTGCCGGGAGAAGAATTTTCAAAAGTGTTGGCGTTGTATTTCAAACATACCAATATTGCCTCTTTTATTAGACAATTGAATATGTATGGGTTCCATAAGGTGAATGATAATTTTCAGAATTCTTCTTCCAGTGACGATGCTGAAGCTGGTTCTTCGGCAGCAAATGATATCACCAAATGGGAGTTCCGTCATTCTACTAATCAATTTCGTAAAGGTGATTTGGAAAGCTTGAAATTGATTAAAAGAAGATCTCTGAAAAATGTTAATAGTCATAAAGAAGTGGTCAATATCAAGTCAATCCCGCCAATCCCCACCTCCAATCCGTACCATGGGGAAGACGATGATCCCCAAGAAGAGTACCATCACAACTTACAGCAGCAGCAGCAGCAGCAGCAGCAACAACAACAACCACCACCTCCACTACAACAACATCATCATCAGCTGCAACTGCAACAGCTGCAGCAACAACAACAACAACAACAACAACCACAAGAACCCCCGGACTACTTTGATGATTCCCACCTGCAACTGCAAAGCCGCACCCACCTGCAGTCAATCGACCATCTTAGCTATAAACTCTTCCAACTCCATAACAACTATAACCAATTGAGAAATGACCATCTTGCCTTGGCCTCCAAGTACGACACCGTCTCGCTCGAGCTCCATAAAAATCAATTGGACCTCGTCCACTTGGTCGACTTGATCGAACCCATGCTTGACAAAAAAGACCCCGATCATTCAGAACGCTCCAGGACTCCAGTCAAATTCTTAAACGCTGATGACTTGAATACCCTGCCAATGTCAAGACCCTCTACAAACCTTCCTCATTCCAAAAACGACCTTGCCTCCTTCAAGTCCCACTTACTTGAACGGATTAAAAATAGACCTGCTCCCGGGCCTGCCCCGGCTCCCGCCCCTCCAGTCTACCCTTACGTCCAAGTCCATCCTCCAGTACAACAACAGCAACCTCCAGCTAGCCTGTACCACTTGAACGAATTCACCTCCAGATCTTCGAACCCAAATAATATTGTGCCCCAACCCTACCCTCTAAACCCAAATTATACCGTATACAATAACCCCCACGAAGTGGCTTTCCGAAATGTGAAGTTAAATAACAACGACGATTCCTCAAATCATCGCCATCTTTCCATCTTAATGGACCCTTTACAACCAATGCCTTCCACCACCCTAACCACCCCTTCTTCAACCAGAAACAACTCCAGAATTGAAGAATTCAAGAAAAAACCTCCGTCGGCTTCTCCAGAAAATCACCAATACCCGTTCCCCATAATGCAACAACCTTATCACTTACCTCACCCTCCTTACCATTTCTATCCTCCTCCTCAAGTTTTGGAAAATAATCATCGTACCAACTCCTTGCCTAATTTCGAACAACAAAAGAGAGAATTCCCCCCTAAATCAAGTCAAATCTTACAACGCCATTCTCTTACTTCTTTCAATCCCGATTCAAAATTTAAACTTGGCTCATTATCTCCCACAATAGACGATAATGATGAAAATAAAAAACTCCTACCTTCGGTCCACGAATTAGATAAGTCAATCAAAGGTACTTATCTTGAAGATGATGACCGGTTGAAAAAGAGAAAATTATAATATTTCTGTAAATATATAACTTATTTATCTGTATTGTAGGCCCGTACATTTTATCTATCTATATATATATATACACAAAAAAAAAAATAAAAAAACATCAATAAATAATTATATCAACAACCACATCCTACCATGGCATCCCATTTACCGGTATCCAAATCTTACAATTCACAAAGATTTCGTAAAGTGTTAAACTCCAAAACGTCACTCGCTTTCAAAAATGATCAAAGCGATATGTTGGTGTACCTCATCTACGTAAATTACTTGAATAAAATGATTGACTCCAAAAATATTAATCAAGCTTCGTTAAAACAAAAACATATTAATCTATTAAAAAGATATTCTCGCTAATCTATATACATTTATTTGAAAACCGTGTTTGGATTTTTCAAACTTTCAATCATTTCAATTGCTTGTTTTGGATCTCTCTTATTATAAACAAATAATCCTTGCAATTGAGCAGTGCTAACATTATCTAATTTTAAATTTTTGAATTTGGTTAAAAACTCTTTACATAATTCAAATTCATCTTCATAAAACCTTAAAAACATTTTTTCAATTTGATATTCAGTGGCATTATTAATCATTACTTTAAAATCAACTCTTCCTGGTCTTAATAATGCTGGATCTAATTTTTCAGGATGATTAGTGGTCATAAATGTTATACATTCTTCGGCACTTGCCACCCCATCTAATGCATTAAGTAATCCCGAAAATGTCACGCCTGATGTAAATCCTTTTTCTTCAGTTTGTTTTCTTTTATTAAATGCTGCATCAATATCTTCTAATAATAATATAGATCTTTCGGGAATATGATTCATTAGATGGTTTAATCTATCATCAGTTAAATTGTTTTCGGATAAATTAAGTATACATATATTATAATCTAATTCTCCGGCTAATGCTTGAATATATGATGTTTTACCACTACCTGGAGGCCCGTATAATAAATATCCTCTTCTATATGGTATACCTCTTTTATGATACCAATCTCCACTCTCTAAGAAATCTTTAACATCCTCTAATATTCCTTCACTAATACCATTATCTAATATAACTGATCCTAACATTCTTTTTTTACGGGGATTTCCAAATGGTCTCCATTCAGGCCCCCACGATGTAAATAATACCGTTTTACCTTCTCTGGCCTTTAAGGCCATTCTCTTAGCCTCTCCCAATAATTCATAAAATAATCCTCGATCACGATATAATGTGGTTAAGGTAACCGTTTCGAATGGCGTCCCACTGGTCATATCAAGTAGCTTCCCCGATCTTTCTCTATTAACTAACATATATGCCCCCTTATAATTAATAAGATGTTTCCCTGGCCCTGGAACTAATGAAAACTTGGTACTAATGGCCCCATTGTCATGTTGAATAAAATTGGTTTCAACCGATAAATGACGTGAACTACGATTCTTATATTTTGACATCCATTCTAAAAACCATAAATATGACTTGTCCTTCAGAGGAATTTCCAAATCAACTAACATCTGTCTGTATAAGAACCCCAGTGATTTCACTATCCCTTGTCTAGCCAATGCTAATGATGTTCCTAATAACATTAATCCACCACCAGCAGCAAAATATGGATTATTCACCACCACTTCATTGAACGCCAGCAGCGCCATCCCGCTGATACTTCCGTCGGAGTTCGACCGAATCTTCTCAAAATCAACCTGTGGTGATTGCGACATGTCTCTCTATTAGTCTGAATCACTTTGAAGAAATCACTAGATCGATCTACTGAAAAATCGATTTTTCATTCTCCGGTATTCGCTTTTTTTCACATCTCTTGGGTGTACGGTTCTTTATGGAACGAGTTAGTGTATAAGAAAAGAAAGAGAAAAACTTGATCATTCGCTATTCTTTCTAATCAATTAGCTTTGCTTGTTTCAATAGTTGATTATTAAGAGTTTCTTTTTCTTTGGATCATAGATTGGTTCTCAATTGACTGGATTGAAGTTTTGTGCAGCTCTTTTTCCCCTTAATTTTAGCTCTATTATAAGAATGACTGTGAAGGATTATCCAGAGAATCAACCGGAAAATAGTGATAGCATTTCAAGTGATAAAGAAGGGAACAAGACTCAATTGAAAAGCAACAATCCCTTTTCACAATCAGATTCGTCATCGTTATCGCCGTCATCATCTTCAGAGAATGTCAAACCAGCATTCAATTATACCTTGATTCCTTCAGAGAAATTGATTGAATATCCATTTAAATCACTTAATAGAATTATAGATGACATTAAATATACCACTGTTTATAAGAAGAAATGGCCAAACCTGTTGAGTTTCAGTCTTGTTAATTCCATTCCAATTACTTATTCGAGTGATTTATCTCAATTACTTAGTTCATCCAATACATATAGAGATTTCGAGCTTTTAACATTGAATAATCATCTTGATTATGCTCCTTCTTTTGAGGAAATTGAATTGAAGGAAAGTGATCAAATTTTAAAGAATATTAGGGGTTTATTGGTTAATAGATCTTTGAATGAAATTAATCATGTGAAATTCACAATACTTGAACGCAAACCTAGTCAATATATCTATCAAAATATCGATAAGCATGAATATCATTTAATTCCGAAATCTTTAATCTCAAATGATGATTTGAAATCTTTGAATGATGAATCTATCACCTCATTTAATTTGATCGATGATGCTTTCTTCAAAAGTATGAATAGTAATAATAATCATATTTTAAGAGTTTCTATTTATAATGCAGAATTTGAAATCGATGATTTGAAATCTATAATAGATCAAGAATCAATAAAAAATAGATATTTAAAAGGTATCGAACGTAATCCAGACTCAAATTTATCAAAAGATTTAATACCAAGTCCAATTCATTGTTTTCAAACTCTTATAAAGGTGTTGAAAGGTCCAATAAATTTACCGCCTAATCGTCAAATTCAAACAATTAGTTTGAAAAATACAAACTTGGATGCTAAAATTGATATTGATTTATTATTTAATAAACTTTCTTTCACTACGAATGATGACGAGTTGGTTCCTCCTTCTTTAACTACTAATCCATCTTTAAGAGAATCTTATATCCGTAAAATAATGGAAATCATTTATATTGCTAAAAAACTTAAACTTCAAAATCAATTGAATGATTTTGATACAACTTATTCTTTTAGTGATAACTGTTCATTGATTTTTAGAACTTTTGGTGAAGTTGATAAGCATATAAGTATGACCTATATCAACAAGAATAACTCGAATCAATTACCATTTTTTACTAATTTGAGTTGTTGTAGTTATTTCCAAGATGAAATTATTATAAGATGTTTTGAAAATACTATAAGATCTGACCCAGTTAACTCACCTCATTATGTTGATTCCTTGAAAAATATTATTCAATTTAATTCAAATCAGCATCCAAGTAAATTAAGAGCATATTATAATAACTTATCTTCAAGAGGTGAATTAGTTGGTTATAGTGATTACATGGACGCTTTGAAAAGTATTGGTATTCAATTAACTGGTCCAAATGTTGAAGTTGATGATGATTTTATCGTAGCAATGTATTTCACTGCTTACAAAAATGATAGTAAAAATTATTTTTACTATAATAAAAACTTGAGGATGATTGCAAATATAAGAAAGAGTCAATTTTTATTCAAATTCTTAGATAATGAAATAATTCCAATTGGGCTTGCATTAGATGAATTGGGGGTTGAATTAATTACTGAAGATGAAGTTGTTATAACTGCTTTTGAATTTAGACTCGATGAGCTCTTACAGGCAAGTAATTTCAAAATTAGTGGGGAAGTATCATTCTTATATAAATGTTTACTTTCAGTTGCCGTTAAAAGAAAAAGTTACATTTTGATGCATTACATTGAGACTAAATATCCAAATATAATAGGCCCTAATTATTCTATCAATTTCAAAGATGCTTGTGAGAAATTAAATTGTGAAATCTCCACTAGTGATTTTGAAGTGATATCCAAGTTTCAAGAAAAATTAGCTGTTTCTCAAGTAAGCGATACTTACAGTTCTGGTGATGAACATAAAGATGATATCAGAAGCTTAAGGCAAGCCTTGAAAAGTGTCGCTCAAGCCAAGGATTCGAAGATTTTGTTTAGTTTTTTAAATTCAGGTAAAATCGATTCTTCGCTATTACCAGCTGAAAATTGGCCATCTGGATTAGATAATATTGGTAACACTTGTTACTTAAACTCATTACTACAATACTACTTCTGTATCAAACCTTTGAGGGATTTGATATTAAACTTTAATGAATTGGATGTTGATTTCTCAAAATACAAAAATCGTAAAATTGGAGGACGGGAAGTTGAAGAATCCGAAATTAAAAGATCAATTCAATTCATTTATCATTTGAAACAATTATTTAATGAGATGATTCATACCAATAAAAGATGTGTTCAGCCAAGTAAAGAATTGGCTTACTTATCTTTTTTACCATTATCACAACCAGTTGCTTTCAAAACTAACAAAGAAATACAAGCCGAGATAGAAAGTGCTGAATTAGGAGCGCGTAGTTCACAAAGTTCTGATGTGGTTGAAGTCCTTGAAGATACTCCTCAAGAAGGGGAAGCCAATAGCAAGGACCAACCAATTCTTATTTCTTCCCAATCTCCGGATCCTGGTGATGGGGATGTTTCAATGGCCGAAGACCCCAAACCCAAACCTGCGTCAAGTGATGAAATGTTGATTGATCTTGGAGATGATGAACTAAAAACTGAAGGCCCAGTTGAAGATGAAAATCATCCCGAGGCTGGAAAAGAAGAAATAGTTGAAGAGAAAGAAACTGAGCCCCAGATCTTACAAATTAGTACCGACCAAATGGAAAGCACTATAGAAGTTGGAAGACAACAAGATGTTACTGAGTGTATTGAAAATGTTACATTTCAAATTGAAACTGCATTAGAACCACTATTTATTGAAGAAGATGGCGAACAATTTGACCTTATCAAAAAATTATTTTACGGGAAGACCAAACAAACTATCAAACCAATGGAGAATGAAAACGGATCTAATAAATTAAGAGAGTCAGCAGAAAGATTTTTCAGTTTAATCATCAATGTTAGTGATCATCCGAAGGACATATATGATTCCTTGGATAACTATTTCAATGAAGATGTTGTGAGCTTGGAAGAAGGATTGGTGAAGAAAACTCTCACTATTAAGGAATTACCGGAAGTTTTACAATTCCATGTACAAAGAGTTTTATTTGATAGAGAAAAACTTATTGCATACAAATCATTAGAGCCGATCCCTTTCAGTGAACAGATTTATCTTGACAGATACTTGGATACCGAGGACGAGGAAATATTAAACAAAAAACAAGAAGTGTTCAAATGGAAATCAGAGATAAGTTCATTATATGAGAAACGAGATGACATATTGAAGCTAGATCCCGAAACCAATTTATCTATAATTGATTCCTTAATTGCCACCAAAAAATTCCTTGAAGCCAAGATAATAAACCATGAATCATTAAGTATCAAAGCAGAAACTATTCTTGCCATTCAAGATCAAATCGACAGCTTGAAAGATGAACTTCAATCAATCCATGATCGTTTGACCATCTTACAAGAACAAACATCTAATCAATTCAAAGCCTACACTAAAATTGGCTACTCCATCTTTGCGATATTTATCCATAGAGGTGAAGCCAGCTATGGTCATTACTGGGTTTATATCAAAGACCCTCATAGAAATATATATAGAAAGTATAACGATGAAATTGTCACTGAAGTTCCAGCATCTGAGGTTCTCAACTTTACTGAAGGAAATACCGCTACTCCCTATTACATTGTGTACGTCAAGGACAGTTTGAAAAAAGACTATGTTGAACCACTCAAACGAGTCATTAACAAATGTTAAATATATATATATTGCCTATGATTAGCTTCAACCAATATAAATATCCGTATAAATATATAAATGTCTGTATAATGTTGTATGTGCGAAAACCGTTTTGCAGTCTTCAACGCTACTCAAAAAAGATGATGCATGGGGGTTTACATGTGAGACATTATGATAAGACTTAAGAGATTAACTATACAAAATTGGATTCAGGTCAATTCAATTCATTTCCAATAATCGATTCCAGTATATTAAATTGAAACTTGCTGAAATAGGTTGTGAAAAATATTAGAGGTTGATTGAGATAGATATATTTTGAGGAAGCCGCAATGAAGTTATCATTATCAATCGTATTGCTTGCTGGTTTGACTCAAAGTGTTATTGGTCTACAAGTGAATAATGAGCAGGACTTATACAATTCTTTCGATAGGATAAAGAGAGGTGCAGTGTTCAATGATGTTTTTGATATCAAACAAGCATTGGTTGATCAAGAGAAAGATAAACCTGACAAAGGTGATAAATGTCCTCCTTGTTTCAACTGTAATCTACCAAATTTTGAATGTACTCAGTTTTCCCAGTGTAATACTTTCACCGGGATGTGTGAATGTCGAGATGGTTATGGTGGTAATGACTGTGCTCAACCGTTGTGTGGTGCTTTGAAGGATGGCAATTCTAAGAGACCTGTTCGTGATGAAGATGATAAATGTTCATGTAAAAAAGGTTGGTCCGGTATCAATTGTAACTTATGTACTACTGATGAGAGCTGTGACTCTTTCATGCCCGAAGGATTGAAAGGTACCTGCTATAAATCTGGGATACTTGTCAATAAAAACCATCAAATGTGTGATGTTACAAACGAAAAAATTATCAAGATTTTAAATGGTAAGAAACCACAAGCTACTTTTAGTTGTAACAAAACTGCAGAGGTTTGTGATTTCCAATTTTGGATTGATGAAAAAGAATCATTCTATTGTGATTTAGATCAATGTAAATTTGAATATGATTTAAAATCTAATACTACTCAATACAACTGCGATAGTGTTAAATGCAAATGTTTGCCTGGTAAAATGTTGTGTGGTGAAGCTGGATCGATAGATATATCTGAATTTTTAACCGAAACAATTAAAGGTCCTGGTTACTTTAGCTGTGATGTTAATAAAAAAAATTGTCGCTTCTCTGAACCCAGTATGAATGGTTTGATTTCTTCAGTTTTCGGTGATCCTTACATTACTTTGCATTGTAAATCTGGTGAATGTGTTCATAAAAGTGAGATTCCTGGGTATGATTTACCTGATCATAATAGATTAACTCTTGGTAATTTAATTAGTATCATTGGTGTTGTTATAATTTGTGGGTTTATTGTGATTACTTCACTTTACAATATAAGCAGAAGTCCCTTGTTCAAGAAATCAGATAATATTAATTACCAACCACTCGAAGGTGAATTAAATGCTTTGAATGAAAATTTCACGCCTACAACCTTAACTTTTGAATCAATCAAATATAAAGTTCCTAGTGGCCAAACTGTTTTGAATGATATTTTCGGTTTGGTTAAACCAAGAGAGTGCTTGGCTATAATGGGAGGTTCAGGTGCTGGTAAGACTACCCTTTTAGATATATTGGCTGGTAAAAATAAAAATGGTGAAGTCAGTGGGAATATTTATGTGAATGGGACTATTTTGGGGCCTAAAGAATATAAAAAAATTGTTGGTTTTGTAGATCAAGAAGACCATTTGATTCCAACTTTAACGGTTTATGAAACCGTTTTGAATAGTGCCTTACTTAGGTTACCAAGAAGTATGAGCTTGAGAGCAAAAGAAACTAGAGTTATTGAGGTTCTCAGTGAATTGAGAATATTAAACATTAAAGACCGAGTAATTGGCTCTGATTTTAAAAGAGGAATATCTGGTGGTGAAAAAAGAAGAGTTTCAATTGCTTGTGAATTGGTTACTTCTCCTTCAATATTATTTTTAGATGAACCTACTTCAGGTTTAGATTCTTATAATGCAAGAAATGTTGTTGAATGTTTGGTTAAGCTATCTAGGGATTTTAATAGAACTGTGGTTTTCACCATTCACCAGCCAAGAAGCAATATTGTTTCATTATTTGATAAATTGGTATTGCTTAGTGAGGGTGATTTGATTTATTCTGGTGAAATGATAAAGTGTAATGATTTTTTTGCAAGACATGGTTATAAATGTCCTTTGGGTTATAATATTGCTGATTACTTAATTGATATAACTGTTGATCATAAAAAAATTGTTAAACTTGTTAAAAGTGGATCAAGCGATGTCGAAGATCAAGATACCGAAAATGAAGATGTACATGCAGCATTTTTGCAAAGTAGTCCATCAACTCAAATAGATACTACGAGAGAATGGGAGCATTTTGCCGTACATAGGGATGAATATAACTATAATCCAATTGCTCGTCAAGATAAACAAGGTGAAGACACGTTAGTTCAAATAAATAATAAATTACCTCAAATTTATAGCGAATCAGTTTTGGCAATTGAACTTAAACAAGAAATTGAAGATCAAAAATCTAATCCTAGTGCTATTAAATTCAAGAATGAATACTTGAAACAGGCAAGCTTTGGTAGCCAAGTTTTGATTTTGTCTTCCAGAACTTTTAAAAATCTTTACAGAAATCCAAAGTTATTATTAAGTAGTTATATTTTGTCTTTGATTGTGGGTGTTTTCTGTGGTTATCTATACTATAATGTCAGTAATGATATAAGTGGGTTCCAAAATAGATTGGGTTTATTTTTTTTCATTTTAGCTTTATTTGGATTCTCATCCTTAACCGGATTACATTCTTTCTCGACTGAAAGAATAATCTTTATACGTGAAAGAGCAAACAATTACTATCATCCATTGAGTTACTTTGTCAGTAAGATATTTTGTGATGTATTACCTTTGAGAGTCTTACCTCCAGTTATCTTGGTAAGTATTTTATATCCTTTGGTGGGATTAACCATGGAACACAATGGCTTCTTGAAAACAATTCTTGTGCTAGTTCTTTTTAACATTGCCATTTCTTTCGAAGTATTGATTGTGGGAATCATGATAAGTGAACCTGGTACTTCTACAATGTTGGGTGTCTTGGTTCTTTTATCTTCCTTGTTGTTTGCAGGGCTTTTCATCAATAGTGAAGATTTAAGATCTGAAATTAAATGGCTTCAATGGATTTCGATATTCCATTATGCCTACGAGGCTTTGGCTATAAACGAAGTTAAAGACTTAATCTTGAAAGAGAAAAAATACGGTCTTTCCATCGAAGTTCCTGGTGCAGTTATTCTTTCCACATTTGGTTTTGATACCTCTGCTTTCTGGAAAGACGTCAGCTACCTTATTGCCTGGACTCTTACTTTCCTCATTACTGGTTATGTCTTATTACACCTTTTTACCATTGAAAAAAGATAATGCAAATCATTATCTTCCCTCTTTCTCCTCTACAAAAACAACTGGGCCCAACTACTGGGCCTACCTCATCCAGAATACATAGAGAAATACATTCACCAAAATAGTATATATCTGATCTCGTAGGTGCTTTGTGTTGATGTCTCCACGAATTATCGCGAGAATCCACCCCACATTATAGATTTTTTCAGCTCGTTACATTATTCTATAAATGGCATTGAAATTACAAGACAAAAAATGAATTACTAATGTCAATTATAAGCTTGATCAAGAAGACAGGTATGAAGCAATCCATTCAACTTGAAAGTGTTGTCAGAGAAAACCAAATTGGCCAGAATGACACAGAGGCTGTATCAGTATCTCAAGATCTTGGACAAGATGCTGATCGGGTAGATGAGAAACCAAAAATGACAATTAATAATCCACCTAGGAACAAGTATAGAGTCGCTGCTCTTTGCGTATATGTTTTCTCTTGTGGTTATACCGATGCAGCCCCTGGGGCCCTTTTGCCATTTATCGAGAAGTACTATAATATCAATTATACTCTCGTTTCATTAGTTTGGATGTCAAATGCAGTAGGATTCTTAATAGTCGCTGCTCTGGCAAGTAAAATCCAGCCGCTACTTGGAAAGCAATATTCTTTCATGTTTGGTATATTCTTAAGTGCCATACACTTTAGTATTGTATCTGCCGGTTCCCATTTTGCTTTAACTGTTGCTGCATTTGCTTTTGGTGGTGCTGGTCTTGCAATGTGTTTGGCACAGACAAACGTTTTTCTTGCAAATTTAGAGAAACTGACGTTGTATTTATCTTACACACATGGAGCATATGGATTGGGTGCAACTATATCGCCATTATTGGGAACTCTTATTGCATCTCATGGGATTCCATGGCATTTTGTCTATTTGATAAATTTAGGTCAAATGGTAATTAGCTTTGTTTTAGTGGGGCTGGCCTTTCAAGGTTCTGAAAAGGATCTTAAGCAATTTGAAGCTGATTCAATGGAGGACGAGGTTTCTGATCGTTCTCCTAGTTCTAAATCAACAATGAGAGAAGCAGTCACTAATAGGATTACTTGGATTTTTGCTTTTTTGATTTTATTCTATCAAGGTTCGGAAGTTTCAATCTCTGGTTGGTGTGTTACATACTTGATTGATTATAAAGGCGGTGATATCAATTCTATTGGGTACGTGGCTCTGGCTTTTTGGGCTGGTCTTACTTTTGGGAGATTATTCTTGACCCATCCATCGGCAAAATATTTCGGTGTGAGAAGAAGCCTTCTAGTAATGTGTTTCATTACTATCGTCGTGGTTGTTTTAGCTTGGGCTCTTCCAACTACTATAGCTGCAAGTACTTTTGTCGCCTTGGCAGGGATATGGATAGGCCCTCTTTACTCTTATGTAGTTGGAACTTCGGTTAAACCAGGAATGTTACCTAGAAAAATTCAGTATACTAGTTTAACAATCATTACAGCTTTCGGTTCTGCTGGTGGGGCCATCTTTCCTTTTATCATTGGTCTCTTGTCTGAGCCTGCTGGTTCATTTGTTGTTTTCCCTGTTTTCCTTGTCTTGTATTCAAGTATTTTTGTTCTTTGGGCAGCTCTTCCTAATATTGAAAGAAATACTGGAGGTAAACCTATGACATTATGGCAGCGTTTGTGGTAGCCCCTACCCAAATATCAGCTATGCGTCTAGTATTACATTGTCTTTTGCAATACCGTCTGTCTTGAAGTACGATTCTCTAGGATCATTTCTCAAATGCTAGGCAGAGTTCATATCTCTGAGTTTAATCTGAGCTAAATTCGTTTTCGATGATTACAAGCAACCATATATGAATGTGTTTTTAATAAGTGCAAACCTCTTAACCTCCTACATAAAAGATTATAATAGTATCGTTTTCAATGTCTGATAAATGTCACTACTCTTTCTTTCTGTAAAAAAAAAAAATCGTACATAAATTTTTAAATCTTTCAATAAACAAGTCTATCTTTAAAGTTTCCTTCTTTTTTCAAAAAAGGTAATGTTTAACATTGGTGTTTCACGAAAAAATTTGACCATATTTATAGTTTTAGTGATCAAGACTCCTGCTACTGCCCTCATATGTTTTTTTTTGCAGTCATAACTCGTTTTTCGCTCCTAGTTTGATAGAAGATGCCCTGATTTCGTTTTTACTCTCCATGTCTTCTGACTCGGGAGAAAGAAGGGTGTCTTCCTCCATGATTCTATTTCGCAACTCACTTTTCAGTTCTTTATTCGAATTACCTGTACTAAGAAATATAATTGACTGAAGCGTTTCACCAGTTTCTTGAGGTACTAATGATTGACAAATAACATCCTCCATTTCAATATCTTCCTTTTGGTTACCATCGAATGCTGTATTTGTTTGCTCAATAAAAACTTTGGGCCCCATTGAGGAGTCAAGGCTCATTGCTGAGAATTGAGCACTATAAGTTTGAATATTAATTTCAGTGTCAGAATCACCACTGGAGAGAAGAGGTGAGAATTCAATAAATAGTTTGTCATCACTTAAGGAAGGTTCATTGAAATAAAAAAGTTTTTTGGTTCCATTACTGGTAATGGTAAAGTAGGATGAATCGTCAAAAAGAAGTTTGTAGTCCATGTTGAATGTTCTAATCAATTTAATCGTGTTTATCGAAAGAGTTTTGGAATTAGTTGGATCATTGGAAGGTACTAATTTAACAACTACCCACTCCTTTCTCCTCTTAGCACTACCATAAAATTCGTCAATGTAAAATGGTTGGGACAAGCAAGCTTTATACTTATTAAACCTTTGATTCAGTATATCGTCATAGTCTAAACTAACAGAGCAAGCCGAGTGTGGCGGACTAGTCGTTAATATTTGAGACTTGTTCATTCCGAAAGATTTCTTTTCGACTTCGACGATAAAGTTCTGAAGAATATCTATGTTTTGCTTCGATAGCTTTCTGATATCCATTTTCAATTATTCTAAATTCAGGGGAAAGAAAAACATATAACTCAAGCTCTACTAGCGAGATTTTATAGTAGCTATAATCTTAATAGTTCACCTTAGATATATAGAGTTGACTGACTTTTATTTTCTTTTCTGAAGAAGAGTTAAAATATTTGTAATTTAGTTGCAAAAAAAAATTATTTCCATGAGCTCAGATTGATTTGCACCACAAATCCCAGTTATATAATCACAAATGCGCTGGACGAACTTGACAGGTAGTTCAGTGAGGGCATTCGTCGGATTAGAAAGTCGCTTCTTGTATTAGATGACGAAATTTTGGAAAATTATAATTTTTTGGAAAAAAGTATCAAAATTTCAAAAAATACCTGATTGGTTGCAAAAAAAGAAAAAAAAAAAACTACTGAGATATGAAACTTCGTGAAAGTATATATTTTTATAGTTGAATATTTGAAACATTATAAACATTTGTCAAAGAACAAAGCCTATGTTTGACTTGAGCATTGATTTAGCAACGTCCGATTGCGATGGATCCAGCCATAAAATATTAAATGCAGAGATTAGAATATCAACTTGCTCTAAATTGAATCGAGATAGTGTCATTAGGAATTCCATGATCAAGTTTTGGGAATCTTTATTCTTAGCTTGTAGACCGATAACAAGAATCGACCATAAACAGCCAGGAGCATATTCGTGATTCTTATAGTATTCATTTAAAAATTTAATCGGCTTTTGGCTCCAATTAATTAGAACTATGTTTGACATTGAGATTGAACGCTCTGTATAGTTATTGCGGAGAAAAGTTATATAAAAAGCACAATAAAATAAGTAAGATTGATAATATAGAGCCTTTTCAATACTCATTTCAGCACCAATATTAGGGAAATAAAAGCGTCTGTCCATTTTACTAAGATGATCTTCAATTTTGAAAGCAGATACCTTTGAATGGAAACTATTTTTCGATTTTTTGCGATTTAGCTTATGAAAGGTAAGAACTAATTTAATGAACATATTCAAGGAATAACTGGGAATAACAAAATCTGAATCTTTGAAATTCAGCTCAGCATCGAAATTTTTTATTAATGAAAATGGATAATCAATGGAATCATCAACAGTATAACTTGTTGTATATATATAGATGAATATCTGTTTGAGAACATGGAGCTGCTCCCTTAACGTCACATTTTCAAATTCGTCATCATTATCATCACAAGATGAGATTATTTTCATGAGTTTTTTTGAAATTTTGATAAAACTGTTGACAGAATAAGTTGAGAACAATTCCCTTGGATAAAGAGACGACAATAACATCAAATTACACACCGACGTAAGTAAAAGACATTTATCATTGAGGCCCTGAGGAACTTCAATCATCATTTCGTGAAGAATTTGAATGTTCGTATTTAGATTTCGTAATACACTTTCTAAATCAAATAGAACCTGTCTTTTAGCAAACCAAAGTGAAGTGGACGATATAATTATCTGACGAAGTAAAGTTCGACTAACATTAGGGACATCTTCTTCATAATCAAACAAGTTCTCTTTGATGAACCGTACATATATCTGAGTAACTCGTTGGCATAGCAATGGCATCAATTTCTTAGGTAGTAGGAATTCCAACCATTTCACCAAGAGATCCATTTCTGTTGGTTGGTCGTTAACTTTAAAGACAGTAAACGGTAGCACATTCACATTCTTATCATTAAGTTCATCAATATTTGCAAGGATATAGTCTAGTTCATTATTAGGTTTAGTCATATAATCATACAATGTATGATCATATATCACGGTTCTTCTCAAATTATCCGATTTTGAAACATCCCAGCATAATCTTATAGTAAATCCCAAGCATTTCAAACCATTGCGTTCACAAGTTAAGCAAAAAGGCTTCCTTAAATCACATTTTCGATGTCTTTCTCTGCAAGTCCAACACCCAGTAAACGTTTTAGTCTTTGGCTTTTTAACAACCGGTGCTTTTTGTCTTTCAGCAGAAGCTTTTTTCGGTTTTGATTTGTATTTAGCCAATTCATTATTACGACCCATTATAGGTACACGGAAGCCTTGCAAAAGAGTTCTAGTTGTCTTTTATGACTGTTAATATGTTGATAAAGTGTTTTCCGATAAGCTGAAAATTTGGATAATCATTTTCTTTTTACAAATATCTTTCCTAATCACCTTTTGGGTTAGTGGTTTATTTTGTCTTCAAGACTTGAAAGTACCCAAACTTGAAATCCTGGCCTATAAATCGAATATTTAGCCTGCAAATATCTGCTTATCTTGATTTCTAAGTCGTTCATATATTTTTTCTTTCGATTTCGGGCTGCTCGTTAAAATTGTCCGAGTTTGGTTAGTTTTCGCATTCAAAAATAAGTATGTTGGTTTTTCCGTTACAAATTTGATAAAACAAGCGAAAGGGTTAGACTTTTGTCAGTTGAAGGCGTTGAAACAAGGTGTTGTGCTGGCTAAATGGGAGGAAACTATCAGAGAAGGGTTTCTCTTTTTCTTTTTATGTGGAAAGAATAAACAATGTGGCCTGTAGTTGTAAGATTACCAACAGAGGAGATAGTATCCTGATAAAGCGGAATTGGTATGGGATGAGCTGCAAAAAGCACATAAATGAATGCCGGTTAACGCTAAGAGGCTAGTCAACGGTGCCATCGATCGGTTGGGTAAGAAAAAGTTCCGATTGTTGCTACAGATTTTTATGATTGGACAGTTTGAGTTGCAAAAAACATTTCTTTTAATTGTACGTAACGCGTTCAGGGTTGGTCTTGCTAGAAGTTTGATCGACCAGGCTTTATCGAATACTATACCGCCAGTCTTTATCGAAGACTATGCGACCTTCAGACTTGATTTGACTGGGCAACTTCTGTTCTTCCTACCACAGTACGAGAATTTGATAGGATTATGAAGTTTCCTGTTGAATTACATATGTAACTTTGGCCACCGGTAGTATATAGCTCAATCTTACAAAGAAGACAAGGGGCTTGAAGCCATAGGAAGTTGATCGAAGAAAAACAATGTTCGATTGAATGCCATTTTCTGCAACAAAAGCAAACCAAATGTATATACTCTGATTCTGAATATCTTCAACAGCGAGCTGAAAGGACGCCTCATAGTATTTCAATAATCACATCGATAGATCAATTTCGTCATTCATATATCAAAATATTTATTCTTGATATTCAAGTTGAAAAAAAAAAAAAAAACCAGTGAATGGAAATTCCGAATAACGCAACACACAGCATTTCGAACCTAGGCTTCGTATTTTAATTCTTTTACAGTATTGAATAAGTAGAATGACTTGTAGTAAGAGCCTACCTTATTGATAGTTTCCATACTGGCATAGGGGTGAAAAGAAAAAATTTGAAAAAAAAAACACGAATTTCGATTTGATTAAGTTGTAATAGTTTCAGTATTACGTTGATATTGAATTTATTTACAAAGATGTTGAAATAAAGCCATATTGAAAAGTTTTTAAAAATGATCAAAACTTAGATCTTTTAAAATCCGTGCTGACTCAGAAACTGCGGTTTCGAAAATAAACATAAAACGGTCCCTTGGCCCAGTTGGTTAAGGCGTGGTGCTAATAACGCCAAGATCAGCAGTTCGATCCTGCTAGGGACCATTTATTTTTTAAACTTCATCCTTTCTTATTTTTTTGCTTAAGGAAATCATTATTGCAATACAAAACATCTTAACTATTAATTAAATATATATTGGCATCAAAAACATTATAAACAATCGTAAGGAAATTAAGATGACAGAGGAAACAAAAAAAAAAAAAGACGATTAAACAAAAGAAAAGGTAACATTAGCCAAAAAAACAAGAGACAAGAGAGATTATTCCGAAATGAAGGTAGCTTCATTGAAACCAATACCATGTTCCGAAACATCATCAACTTGAATGGTCATATCATTACAGAATTGGTAGATATAAGGCTTAGTACCAGCAACACCACTGACGATATTTTTAACGAATTGAGGGATTTCAGCCATGACATCAACTCTTTCAACCAATTGTTTTAACTCCCCTTTGACGGAAGCTCTAGTTTCAGAAGATTCTAAAGCTTTATTAAAGTTGAATTGGATTTGATTAGGAACAGGCCAACCAATTTCATCAATTTTCGAATCGATATGATCAACTTTATTATTGATTGAAGCAAATAAGATTTTATCATTAGTAGTAACCACCCCGATATTAACTTTAGTAGTATTATAAGAGATTGGAGTGGTGAATTCCATTTGAACTGCAGAATAATTTTCTGATTGGAAATTTAAAAAATTCCAAGATTTAGCAGCATGGTGAGGTTTCATACCTTGTAAAGCCATAACAAACATTGTATAACCATTTATATCGATAGTGGAGTTTTGTAATTTAATACTACCTTTAACTGAACAACGAGGCCAAAACAAATGTCTCATTGATCCCCAAGGATTAGCCAAATCATCACCATAATAAGTGAAACCATCTTTACCGAATATAACCCCAGGAACTAATTTTGAAACGGTTAATTCAACAATTGAATCTTTATTAACGGCAGATTTCAAAGTATATAAATTATTTTCTTCATTTAATTCAATAGATAAATCTTTAGCGTAAAAATTGGAACCTTCGGTTCTAAACTCTTCTAATTTAGTTGAGGTCCAAGTTATATTTGAATCTTTAGGATCTTTATTATTAAATAATCTAAAAGTAAATTGTGCAGTAGTATGAACCCCCATCAAATTTGAATGAATAACTTGGGCAAACCCAGTATATCCAGTGTTCAAATCAGTGAAATAGAAGGTTTGAGTTTCAACATTAGTGGATGTTGGAACTTTCCAGTTAAAATCAGCAACACTAGTTTCTCTATAAATTTCTTCTTCATTTTTAATGGTATCAGTAACCGGATGAATTGAATCTGGACCATATTCTGGTTCGGCAGTACCTGCAACAGCAGAAAGCCCTGATTGTACCCACTTTAACATTTTATTTTATGGTTTCTATGAAAAGAAGATGTACTTATTAAACAGACAAAAGAGAAAGAAAAAAAAATTATTCAACAACAAATGGAACAAAAACTAACAGAAAAAAGCTTACCGTAAATAATGAGCTTACTTATTAGTGTAATAAACGAGCAGCTATCGTCTATTTATATTCTATTATGATTACTTCTCTAAGCAATTGCCATTCTGTTGAACCAAATGCTGATGTCTTCACCAGGGGTAACTCTAACGTGGTGTGCACAGAGGAACAGCAAAAAAAGCTGCTTATGTAAGTGCCTGGCTTCTGCTTAGGTAATCACCAATGGATACACTAATAAACTGATACTTGTCTTACCTCCCAGGCACCTTGGTACGGGGGCTACTGGAGAGGTACCTTATTGCGGTGGTTAGTTTTGTGAATTTGCAGCTTTGAAAGTCAAGTATAAAGGCTTTTGGACACTGACAAGAATGAGCAGATGGAAGAGAGATATGATGTACAATTGGCAATGCTAATGTTTCACCATGCAGCTGCTGCCTGGTAACTACTGTCTGATGTCTGGTAACTGCTGACTGTCTGGTAACTGCTGACTGCTGTCCGGTAACTGCCAGCTAATTTCTGCCAGCTAATTTCTGCCAGTTAATTCTGCCAGCTAATTTCTGCCAGCTGACTGCCAATGATTAACGAATTGGCACTCTACAGCTGACCAACAGACGCTCTGACCAACAGACACCCTGACCAACAGACACCCTGACCAACAGACACCCTGACCAACAGACACTCTGGTCAATAGACACTCTACCGTCAATACCAGCAGTTCTACCATTCCCTTACCAGACCTAATTACATAAGCAATTACGTAATCACACACACTGAAAAAAACAAGATAATCACAAAATCAAGCCTTTAATTAACAGATAACCGTACTTGGATGGCCATTGAAGACAGAGGTTGACCTTACGAAGGTAGTGGGTAGTAAAGAAGTATTGTAAGAGATGTTGTAGGGAAGTTGTAGGATTATGCGAAGTGGTGACTGGCAAGTTAGCGTAGCGTGATAGGCACGTCTGGGTATTAAGAATGCGATTATCTAGAAGGAAACCCTACTTGGTTCTTTCCCGGATAACCATTAGGATGATTTCCAATGCCAAAATCTGCCATTTGAATCCTCCTCCAAGGAGAGATTCGCTAGCGTTATCCTTGAAGATCAATAATGACTTGATGAACCACTTCAAAAACTGCATTAAGAGAAATATTATACCCAAATTGGTTATTAAGAATGGTCAAATTTTAATTAAAATAACTGAAGATTTAATATTCCCATGTAATCAAATTCCGGAGAACTTGAAATTCGATATTTATGCCAATGATGAAAGGAATAACTACAAGTTTGAAGGTACGGTTAATAACCGATTAAACGTACTTAATGATTCTAAGCAAGCTAAAAATATCTTGAAAAATTTAGATAATAATCAACCAATAAGTTTACCAAATAGTCCATTACCACTGGCAAATCAAAAGTCATCGCTAGCATTAGACCATAACCCATATAAGATAAATCAAAATGATTCCAAATTAATTATTTTAGAAAAATTCTTATGTTTAATTGCATTGGGTCCAATTACCATAGACAAAATTTATAAAATTTTATCAACGGATGATAATCTTTTGAAAAATTTAATAGATAATTATACTCAAGTGTATGATCCAAATGATTCGTTTATAATTGATGATGTTTTCCCTAATTTGGAAGTGAACGAATCAATCGACAAAAATCAAAATTCTTTGATTTTGAAAGATAAAGCTTATAAAGAATTGAAACCATGGAACTGGAAATGGTTTAATGATTTCGAAAGAAACTTGATCATAAACAATATTAATAATGCATTAACTAGACTAGGTTTTTCGGATACTCATCCGTTAAGAAGAAAAATTACTAATCCGGATTTATCGAATAATTTAAATCCAAGTAAATTAGGTGGAGGTTTTTTAACTTCAAATAAAAAATTTAAAAAATCTTTAACTGACCTGCCTAAGTTATTACCTGATAATAAAATTCTTTCTACGAGTAAAACCACTTCTCCTAAGAAAAGAACCAATTCGAGTGATGACGAAAAGAAAGCGAAAGCTTTAAAGAAAAATCCTGAAGATGGTGATAAAAAGAAGGATAACGAAAAGCTTTTGAAAAATCCTGAAATTGAAAATGGTAAATCCCCTAGAAAACTAGATACTAATAATGAAGCAAGAAAAGACGATAAACCAATTGAAAAAAAATTAAAATACTATAATGATTTAGCAATCAAATTTAAAGAAAAATATAACGATTATGAAAAACTATATACTTACTTAAAGAATCATAAAAAATCCGACCAAAAGAAACAATTGATTAAGTTATTCGAATTACATCTGAAATTATCAGAATGGAAAAGAAAACTATGGGATTATAATAATGAATATAAATTAAAAGAAAATATAATGACATTATCCAAGCACAAAAAGACCAAAAATCAAACAACATCAATTCCTAAAAATGATAAACTTCAAAAAATTTCATTAGATTACTAACTATATAACTAAATAATACAAACTTTAAAGTTCTAATGGAGCAGTGTAGTTTTTCTTTTGATAATCCCAATAAAAGGTAATTTCTTGACTTTTATTTGAAGGAATATCACAAACTTTACCAGCATCAATGTCTCCAATTCTATCATTAATATAATCTTCAAAATCTTCTAATTTACAACTGAAACCTGGACCATCAGAACAAGTTGGAATAGGAATAACTGCATCATTAACAATGTATCTAACATAACTTTCATCATTACATTTCAATTTTTCAGTATAAACTCTTGCACCTTGAGGTAAAATGGCTGCATGCTTATATTTATTATCAAAATCAACTTTATCAATTGGTAAATCATCATCTTCAAATAAACCTAATGCACTATGGAAGATATCCCAATCTGAATCATGAGCAAAACTTAACCAAATTTTTTGAGTTTGATTAGTTTCTTTTAATAATTTTAATGATGCATTTAATACAACTGAACCAACCGGTTTAGTCATGTTATTCCCAGCACCAGTACTATAATAACTATCAACATCTTGATAGTATCCAAACCACACGAAATCATTTGGAGTAAATAAATCGCAAAATGGTGATTGTCCTCTAACGTTTAACTCATAAGCACACATTTCAAAAAAATGTCTAACATACTTTGGTTTCAATTCTAAGCCTGGATTGTCTTGTTGCCATCTTTTAACAATATTTTTCAAATATGTTTTAGGGAATTCATCAACCAAATCTTCATTAGCTTTTTTATCGTAGGTGGAACATCCATGTCTTGGAGTTAAAGAGTTTAATCCGTTTTCACCATCTTCACTCAAGATAACGTAGTCAACATTTTCTTTAGAGTAATCACTTCCTAAGAACCCTCTAGCAAAATATTCGGAAGTAACGTAAATTCTTTCGCCGTTACTAGTGAAAATAGGTAAAGTTTCATTCTCATTGAATAAATCATTATATCTACTTCTGAAATAAGCACCATGTCTCATGGCATTTAAAGTACCAGCGTATAACCCTTGAGAATTTTCGCTAGAAGTTTCTCTATCTAACCAATAATCATCTTCAACAAAGTAAGTATAATCATTCAAGAATGACAAATCTCCTTTGAAAGTTTTGCCGTATTCCTTAATTTTAGAAATGGCCTTTTTGAACTTCCCACTTTTTTTGGCAGTTGGATATCTTTCTCCGTGTCTTGACATCAACTGAACTTGTTCAATAGAACATTCTTCTGGGAACTCCAACCCAATACCAAAAGCAGGTGAGTATTGTACATAAGGAGCAGCACCACCCAAATGTCTGATTATATTGAATTGTTCAATCGATGCTTGTTCTGGAGTTGCAAGGTCCTGGTATACCGACTGACCAGCAAGAATTATACCCGAGTTAACAAGTTTTGAAACCGAAACCATTTTTCCACCTTAATGATCTCTTTGAGTATTCATTTTCTACAACATCCAATGGCTTTCTTCTTGACTTTATACAAGGTCTAAAATCTTCAATTTGTGTATCGATGTATTAATCGAATATGCGTTTAACTTGGCTTTTAATCTTGACTAATTTCAAATCGTATAACGACTTGATTTGGTATTAATTACGAGGACGTTAGCCACATGCTTCACAATAAACAACGTGGGACGTTTAATACATCAATCATAATGGAGTAATTAAAAACATACAAAGGAATTTCTCGAGCACCAGAATGGAAATTGCAACCTAATTACGAGAAGATGGAGGATTACGGTGCGTACACTACAGAACAAGATAAGTTTTGCAATTTTATTAAGGTATTTTATTTTAATTGGATTGAGCAATCAGAAGATGCCAATCAAGCGGTGGTTCTTGGGGCTTCGGCGTTGTATTGGCCGGAGGAGTAGTCCCAGTAGAAGGTCAAGAATTGAGGAATGTCAGCAGGAACTTTACAATTTTGGTGGAAATCGATGGAACCGATTTTCTTTTCGATGTAATTTTCGAAATCTTGTAATTTACAACTGAACCCAGGACCATTTGAGCAGCCAGGCACGGTTACCACGGCGTCGTTGATGACAAATCTGACGAAGGTATCATCACCGCACTTCAATTTTTCAGTAATTGTTCTCCCACCCATTGGAACAATGTCCGTATGACGATAAGTATCTCTAAATTCAACTCGATCATTAGGTAATGGGTTAATTGGATCAAATAAGCCCAAAGCCGCATGGAAGATTTCGATATCGGTATCATGAGAGAAAGTTAACCAAATTTTATTATTTGAATCATCATCTTTTAATAAAGCCAAACTTGCATTTAATTGAACTGAACCGATTTCTTTAGTATAATTACCACCTGGACCAGAACTATAATAGAAATTCAAATCATTAGCGTAAGCGTAATTAACAAATTCATTTTGAGTGAATAAATCACAAAATGGACTATAACCTTTTGAATTTAATTCATAAGCACATAATTCAAAGAAATTTTTAACATCATCAGTAGAAACTTCTAAACCGTCATTATCTTTAGTGACTCGGTCAACGATATCATCAAGATAAGTAGAAGGAAATTGAGAAACGTATTCTTTATTAGAACTACTATTGAATTCAGGACATGCCCAACGAGGAGTTAAAGAATTGACCCCTTGAGATTTTTCTTCACTAACAACCACTTTTTCATACTTGTCATCACTAAATTCGTCCCCAAGGAACCCTTGAGTGAAAAAAATGGCTGAATCATAAACTCTTTTAGAAGCAGCGATGAAAATTGGTAATTTATCATCTTTTTGTTTTTCATATAAATCATTATATCTAGCTCTGAAACTAGATCCGGCTTTAGCCAAAGTTTCATATCCAGTGTATGGACCAGGCGAATTACTTGGGGTGGTTTCATATTCGTATAAATCATCATTAGCGTAATAGGTATACTCATTCAAGAATGATAATGGACCATTGATTGATTTTGAATAATTTTGTAATCTGTCAACCAACTTTTGATGTTTCTTACCAGCAGAAATCCCAGGGAATCTTTCACCATGTCTAGAATAGTATTGAACCTGTTCAACACTGCATTGTTCTGGAATCTCGGTACTGATCCCATTTCCTGGATTTTGAATATAGGGTCCAGCAGCTGCTAAATATTTAACTATATTGTATTGTTCTTTAGCCAGAAGTGAAGCATCATTTACATCTCTAAATTGATCTTGAGATGCAAATATCAATCCCGATGATAATATTTTGGATATAGAAACCATACTGCAAATTGTCAGAATAATTAATACGATTCGTAAATACTTTTTCAATCTGAAAAATCGTCTTATGGAAAATCGAGTTATTCCTGGTTTTTCAAATTCACTAATTTCTTCATATTGAAATGAATCCTTCATCCTTTTTATACAACCTATTTTGCTTATTATTGGTAAACGTGGAGTATTAATTTTTTGTAATCAATTCATCAATTTAGAGCTATTAAGACCATTAACTAAGAAAAATTTATTGTATTGTTGCAATATTCTCTTTCTATTTTGCTTACAATTTCAACCTAAAAGGGAACGGAATGACAACGAGCGGATCCGGGGCGATTCAGGAGTCGGACAAGTAGGAAAATTATCAAAGAAAAACCACCTGGTCTTAGTCTAAAGCTTCTGTCAGGGTTTTAATATAATTCTTCGGTCCATCACCACCGTAGTGGCGATGTTCGGAGGCAATACCCTGGTTCTGAACAAGTAGCTGCTTGTTCATGGGGTCTCGTGTCACGTGAACCCATCTCACAATACAATAAGCAGAAGGAGTATCAATAGATCCACAAGACCAGAAGGAGTCCTCGTGTGGACCTAAACGTGGGGATTATGTATGTAATTATGTATGTAATTAGGTATTATGTTGTATTATGTTGTATTATGTTGTATTATATAGTAATATATTGTGTATTATGTACTATGTATCATGTATAAACTACTTCCTCTTCTTGTTTGGTTTCTTTGGTTGGGACTTACCATTATCTTTGCCTGCACTACCACCAGGTAACATCAATTTCAACTTACTAACCGTAAATACCGACATAAGATCGTTTGTTTTAATTGAATTGAGCATTTCTCGTTCATTGGACCAATCTAAATCAGTGTCTTGACCATTGGGATCCATCTTACGATGAGTGAAGTAGTGAAGTGCTTCGTTTACGGCTTTACCCTTTTTACCCATCCCTGGTTGGATCTTGACTTTATATTTGAATTTATTCAATGAAGACCAAGGTGCAAAAACAGGAATTGGCGAAATTGTAGCATCTTGTGGTTGGGGCTTAACTAAAAATGAATCTAAGATTTCTAAATAATTAGTTACGCTTGATTCATCTTCGTTAACTTCTTCCATGATGTATTTTTGGTATTCTCTTTCTTCTTGTTTTTTCTTTCTTGATGCTACTTCTGATTGATATTTCTTCTCAAGTTGTTGATTCTTTTCTGTTTCCACATCTTCTTGTTGTTTCTTTTCTTTGGCTTCAACTTGTTTCAATGTCCCCAAAGCATCCATTCTTAATCTTCGTTCTTCTTCATCTTGTGCTGCGTATTTATTGGCAATCTTCTTTAATTTAGCTTTTTTACCTCTAACCTTAGGTGGCTGTTGCTGATTATTGGATTCATTTTTCTTCTCTTCTTGTTCTTGAACTTTGAGTTTATTCATTTCTTCTTGAATTGGATCAACTATATCATCTTCTTCATTTTTAGAGTTCGTCTTTCCCTTACGGAACAATCTCCTTTCTTTAGCACTCATTCTCTTTTTACCAGTTTCAGGTTCAGCCGACCCCTCTTTAGACTCTGATTGAGTTACAGGCTCGGGTGTTGATTCAACAGGCTCAGTTGCGGATTCAACAGGCTCAGTTGCAGATTTACTTACACCGAGTGTTTCTGGCTTTGTTTCAACGGTTTCGCTTTCTTGATCCGCCTCAAGATGTTCTGCCTTTGACTTAGCAACAACCTCCTCAAGATCTCGTTTCTTGTTATCCATGATTATCTGTAATCCATGTTCGGATTCTTTATTTGTTCTAATTTGTTTATACTTTTCAGTAGTATCTTCATCACCTAACCAATAAAATGCAAATCCCATTACTAATTGTGATGGTGGCAAGTACTCTTTCTGTACTTTATAATTAAAATGTCCTGGTCTTATTAAACTACCATCGAAATCCTTTTTGGAAATCTCAGTACCATGCAAGACCCATGCTGAGGTAGTAACTTTCCCATTCCAAGCTTGTGATGCTGACATGGCGAATATACCTGCTTGCATTAATGTCGATGGGGGTAATTCTTCTCCTTTGAATGGATTCTTAATGAAAACAATTAAAGACCCATCAATATCAGAAGAAACTATCGAATCATTATCATTGAAATGACGATAGTAAATCATATCAGTTTGCAGATCATCTCGTCCCGCTAAACATAAATACCCTTCGCTAGTAACAAACCAATAAAATTTCTCGAACCAATATTTTGGTCTGATCAACTTTAAAGTATCCTGTTCAGTCTTTAAATTTTGAGCTAAATCATGATCAATCTTACGTTGGGCGTTTTTAAGTGCCATTTCAGTACTTTTTTCAACTTTGGCTTGCTTGGTTTCCGCTACTTTTTTCGTTCCAAAATATGTTCTTGCATTTGCAAATGGCGAAAGGGCCAAATCAATAACAACAGAAAGATGTGGGACGATATTCTTCTTTTCTTTTTTAAGTGGTTTCTTCTTACGCTTGGTATTAATATCAGAATCAGAATCAGAATCAGAATGAGGATCAGAATCAGAATCAGAATCAGAATCAGAATCAGATTCAGATTCAGACTCGGACTCGAATTCAGAATCAGATTCAGAATCATCGCTTTTGTTCAATTCAGTTTCGTTATGCTCGAATAATGCATCCAACTCTGGTAACAGTAACGAAATCTTATTCTCTTTCAAATTCAATGGTAACTTAATAGTTTGAGAGATGGAATTACCACGAGATTGTTCCAACTTGATAACACTTTCAATATTAGTCCAATCCATTTGTTGGTCTATCAATTTTTGAACCGATTCGCGACATGAATCAACTAAATCAGCATGATACATAATAGTGTCCCCCTTTTTAGTGTGTAATTCTTGTTGCGAAACCAAAGATTGAATTTGCTTATCTCTTTCATCACGAGCATGATTCAATCTTTTTGCAGCTTGTTGTTTTTGCTGCTCAATACGTAATGCATACTTGGTAGATTCGAGAGTTGAAAAAAATGTATCAAGGGTCTTATTATATCCCTTCACCTCGGTGAATTTATATAATTCTGGATTTTCTTTATAAGGTATGATAGGATGAAACTCATCATAAACAAATTCCAAATCTTCCGTAGTATCTTTATCTTCCGGGTTATACAATGGATTCTTCTTGGAGACAATGATACCATTAATGGTCGAATCATCCTTTTGCGAAGTAATCGAGATATAATCCTTCTCTGCTTGTTCTAATGCCTTAACAACTTGACTTAATTTTTCTTTGTTATCAGAATACTCTAAACAAACACCCGATGGATTTATGCCAAAATCATGCAAAGTTTTTTGGATCAAATCACTAGATAAATGACTTGCGTTTATGAATAATAGTTTATGAATAGAGAAAACTTTTGCTTTCTTCTTTTTATCGGGAACGTCTTTCTTTTCAGTAATTTTTTGTTTATGAGTATTAATCCAAGATTCAATTTCTTCCACGGAATAATTTCTTTCTTGATACACATAATCCTCCTCAAACAAAGATTCATCGAACATTTTGTAGGTTTCGTTTACTGCATACCTATCATTGTCACCTTTATCGTTAACCATTCTTTGGAGGGATAAAATCTTACGTTCGTGATCTAATAATAAGATATTACCAGCACTGAAAAATTCCAAGACCAAGTAGAACATCCCATCACTAAACTGTAAGACAAGAACTCTGTCATTACCAATCTGTTTAATCAGTGATAATCTTCTTGTCTTCAAATGCTTTCTCAATTTTGTAACAAAATTAGAAGGTGCTTGTGTAGTACTTCTTTCAAAATCAGTTAAATGTAATTTATTACCGCAATCCAATACCAAGACTTTCTTTGAGTCTGGTACCGCAAACTTCAAAAGATACTGTCTCGAGGAATTGGTAATGTTGTAAATATTCTGCAAACGGTAATTCAATACATTTTTCACCAATTCAGATGTAATGATCTGAAGATCTAAAGCACTGATTCTTTGCTATAAAAAAACATGTCATTGTTAGTTTCTCTTGAACACACTTGCTTCACGTTTGTAAATACATACCTTCATATTTACCTCCTTCAAATGAATACAATTGCCAAAAGAAAATTGGAGTTGCAATTTTTCAGACTACCAAAAGTTGCCATTGAGAATGAAAAACTTCGATGAATAAGTCACGGGTTTTTTTGCCTAATCGAAGAGCAATGAGAAACGATACTCTTATCTAAAGATACTAACGATTCCAATTACTTAAAGAATGGGTAATAGTCTCGTAAAGGAAGCAAAAGAAGAAGCAACCATGGATTTTCCAAAAACATTAAGTCCAATTGTCGAAGCCGTCAAAAAAAATAAGAAGGTATGCTTTTTCCTAGGGGCTGGAGTCAGTACGAGTTGCGGGATCCCTGATTTTAGAAGCCCCAAGACTGGGTTATATGCTAATTTAAAGAAACTCAATCTTCCATACCCTGAGGCAGTATTTGACATTGATTATTTCAGAGAAAAACCAGACGCTTTTTATACTCTAGCACATGAATTATACCCAGGAAATTTTCTTCCTTCAAAGTTTCATTTTTTACTAAAATTGTTCCAAGATAAAAGGTTATTGAAGAGAGTTTATACCCAGAACATTGATACTTTAGAGCGTTTAGCAGGAGTCGAAGATGATTATATAGTGGAGGCCCACGGTTCTTTCGCCAATAACCATTGCATTGATTGTCATGAAGAAATGTCTTCTGAAGAATTGAAGAAACATGTTTTCAATAGAGAAGTGAACAACGGTATCCCTACTTGCTCCAAGTGTAAAGGCTTTGTTAAACCCGACATTGTGTTTTTTGGTGAAAACCTTCCGGCAAGATTTTTCTCTCAATGGGATGAAGATTGTGAAGACGTGGATATCGCCATCGTGGCAGGTAGCTCTTTAACCGTTTATCCATTCGCAGGTCTTCCATCTGAAGTTGGAAAGAATTCAATTAGATTACTTGTAAATAGAGAAGCTGTGGGTGATTTCAAGTCTCGTAAAAGAAAGAATGATATTCTTGCACTAGAAGATTGTGATTACGTTGCTGAAACCCTTGCAGATCTTTTAGGCTGGAAACTGGATTTGGATAAATTAATAAAAGCTGCTGAAGCTGAATTTGAAAGCACCAAGAACGAAAAGAAACCCAGCGCCGAGCTGGATGCTAAAGAATTGGCTAGCAAAATCAAGAAAGTCGAACTCAAAGACGGTGATTCTGCTCCTACCAAGAAGGAAGATGCAGATGTCAAAGACTTGGATGAAGAAATTGCAAAACTCAAGATTTGATTCTTTGAAATTCATGTATCACTCATTTCCAACAAAATTTGTATAATTTATGTAAAAAAAAAAGAATAAAAAAAAATTTTGGCAGCCATATTTTAACAGCTAATATTTATTAACAAGCACAATGTTTAAACGGACACAGCCAACAAGAAAGAAGTCTAGGGTCTCCATGGGCGCTGCTGAGTCGTATTCTTACAGAAAAGCGGCTAAGAGTAGGTCAGATAACGGGTCTAACTTAATCAGAACTGCAAATGAAAGATTGGCGGCTAGGTCCCTGTCGAAGCTGGTGGTTTCAATCTTCTCTCCAAAGGCACCCAATCCGTGTCAAATCGGTATATGCTGTCTTTCAAATGAAACTCGTGAATTGGTCTTGACATCTTTTTCGGACTCCCAAACTTTTGTCAGAGCAGTTCATAAACTAAGCATTTTTGATCCATCAGAAGTGATTTTACCACTGACGTGCCTTTATCCTTCTTTCGACAAATTGACAATGATAATCCATTCTAATTTAAAAGAAGGGGTGAAAGTTATTGGAACAAAATCGAAATACTTCGACAGCGAAGAAGGCGCTAAATTAATAAGGGCTTACCAGTCGCCAGATTCTCCCATACTTAATCTTGAAGATCACAAGCCTACTGTTGCAGCGGCTTGTGCCGTTATTCAACATTTCAAACAGTCAAACTTCTTCCCCAATACTCTCAAGTAGTTAAGAGTTAAAATCGAGATATGTGATACCAGCATGTTCATTGACGTAAAAACGATCAAAGAATTGGAATTAGTTGAAAACTTAGTAGATCCCAAAAATGGGACGACCTTATTCAAGCAGTTGAATCACTACTGTACTAAGATGGGCCAACGCCAACTTAAGTTGAGCCTGCTACAACCGTTGACTGATATAAAAAGTATAAAGCTTAGACTAGAAGCGGTAAATGAACTTATCGCTCAACAAAATGCTTCAACTGAAATACGTTTGAACTTAAAGAAATATCAAAATCTTGATAACGTAATAACAAATTTGATTCGAGTTCCTAGAAATAATGGCGTACAAGTGTCAGATCAGAGAGTTAACAACATAATATTAATCAAGTATACTTTAGAAGAGATAGATACTTTGAAGGCTACATTGGTAGGTTCACGTTATTGAAGGAAGTAATTGAGATTTTGCATCATAAAGACTTGGTGTCCCTTTATAATTTAATTAATATTTACATAAATGAAGATTGCACATGGGCATCTAACATTCTCCAACTTAAAACAGAAATGTTATGCCGTTAAAAGTGGTAGAAACGGATTATTGGACTTGTCGAGAAAACTTTATACGTCCATTACCAAAGAAGTTAACCAACAAGTTTCCGACTTATCAAAAAAGTACGACTTAAGTCTCGATTTCAGATATGATCAAAATCGTGGATTCTATATACGACTTAAGAACCCGCCTTCTGAATTACCGGCTGTATTTATCAGCAGGATCAAAAAGAAAAATATACTTGAATTTACTACAATTGAAATTTTGAAACAAACTTCTCGATTCAATGATGTTATAACGGAAATTACTTTATTGTCTAATGAAACTATCGAGAAATTAAACGGAGAATTGGATGAGTATATACCAGTTTTATTTATGATATCTGAAGCAATCGCAACTCTAGATTTACTTTGTTGTTTCGCTTATACTGCTAGTTTAACTGATGCAAGCTTCACCTATCCAGAATTTTCAGACAGACATTAAATAGAGCAAGGAAGACACCCATTATTGATAAACAAGTTGAAGAGCAATCTTGTTGCAAATGATTATGCAGCTTTAAAAGAAATATCAAGATTTCAGGTGATTACTGGACCGAATATGAGCGGTAAATCGATTTATATGAAAGGATTATGCTATTTGGTTATCCTTGCCCAAATCGGAGCATTCGTTCCTGCTGAATATGCCGTTTTCCCTATTTTTAAAAACCTACATGTTAGAAGTGGTACTGATAATGTTGAATTGACCGCATCTCTGTTTTCCAAAGAAATGTCAGATATTTCACACATATTGAAGGAAGTGAAACCAGGATACATTATTCGTTATTGATGGATTGGGCCGAGGGTCAAGCTATCAGGATGGGTTTTCCATAGCAATAGCAATTTCTGAATACTTAGTCAAGAGCGGAGCTATGACATTCATGTCCACTCACTTTCATGACCTATTCGAAATTTTGAGAGCCAAATCATGCGTATCGGCTTTACACATGAAAGTTCTCTTGAATGGTGAATCAATGAATATGATGCATAAAGCCAGCAATGGCAGTAACTCCCTTCAAGGATATGGCATAAAGTTTGCTGAATCCACAAATAGTTTACCGACTAAATTAATTGAAACGGCAAGGAGCATGGCAATTGAGCTAAGATCATCAAGTGGAAATCAAGACCGTGAAACGATTCTTACAGAGACCAAGAAAAGAAAGTTGATTTTGGAATTGTTTTATGCAATGAAGAAAATAAATGAAAATATGAATGACAAAACGTTAGTTATGGTTTTGAAAACACTTCAAGATAAATCTGTAGAGGAGATCACCAAAACAACAATTGAAGTTAGTTTTTTGAACCAACATTGATTATTTCTTTTGGTATAATCTAAAGAAAAATCTCATATTTTCCAATTTCATATTATATTTCAATTCTCTTTGGTTTACTCGGTACCAGCAGCTTTCACTTTGTTGTACAATTTTCCAAGCACCGGAATCGGTACCTGGTTTACCAATGAGTACCATATCAATAAGAAATTGAACTGGGAATTTTTTATTCCCAATAGTTATATTGGAATACGATCCAGCACTTTCTGCTATCAATAAGTAGCCACCTTTCTTACAATGAGTATTCAAATTTTGTAGGAATTTAATAGTTTCTGTTCTCTTTTCACAAAACAACTCATTTGTAGTGAATAATAATGTGACCAAATCTAAATTAGCAAGATCCAACTCAGTAGCGTTCATAGTTAAGATATCGCGGTACATGAATTTGGAATTGAACTTATTTTCATCGTATAACCACTTGGTTTTAATATTATGGGTCAAGTTAGTCACCACCGTAGACCAATCAGCGATATCGACAATATCAACGTGTAAATTAGAAGCAGTGGCAGGATAGTCTTGTTTCAATTTACAAAAAACTGCCCCCAACCCAACTAACTCAGAAGCGGCTCCACCACCAACACACAATACTTTACTAGATGCCTCACTGTCAGAAAGCATACATCTGAGTGGCTCCAAAGATGCAAATAGAGATGAATACGCTAAAGCTCTCGCTGGCGTCCACCGGGAAGCATAAGCAAATCGTTTATCATCGTTATTAAAAGCTGCCAAATAATCTCGGTTAAACAAATCTCCCTTAACACTTTGTATATGTTGCTCGAGATCTGGGCTCTCCAAGATATACTTGAAAGCATCCTCGAACAACCCAATGATCTTCTGTGGGTCTTGAGAGTACTTAGACTTGAATGGGATTGAATCATTCTTTAGCTCTGCACCAAATTGAACCGATCTTTCCACCTCATCTTCCTCCACCGATTCTTCAAGCTTCTCTTTCTTCAAGTTTCTTCTCGCTATTCTTCTACTCATGGTCAACTCGCCTATTAAAGATACCAATTAGAACTAGTCCAATATAAGTAACCTGAAAAACCCTAGTCTTCTTTGAAATAAATGCGGGTAAGGCCATCGACCTTTTCTTAGAAAAAGTGAGAAAACTCTTCATTTGGTGCGAAAGTATAAATACAAGAGCTAATCCTCGAAAATTTTCAGAGAGTTTTAGTTTTCTTTCTTTAACTAATTATTATCAACTTGTGTTAAGGTGGGCACTCAGCAGGTATTTGAATTAAATCTTCGGGTTGTTCTTGTACAGCTGTAGTTGTTTTCCTTATCAGTTCGGCGCTCGAAAAGCGAGTCTAATGATGGGATCTCTAATTACCAAGTCAATTTGTTGAACTAATCTGATTAGTTTAACGTTCAATGGGTCTGTTTTAACGTAATGATCAGATTATTGGTCCCCCTTCGGGGGTTGAGCGATAGTTTGTGAATTGCTAGGACTCACTTGAATGTTGATTTGGAAATTACGTCTCATCGATGCGTTTAACTGCGTTATTGGACAGAGCTGCTTCGTCGACGGGTTGTATAGGAAGCGGGTCGGTCTTGAGCTCGCCTTTTGGATCCCTTTATTTGTTCCCCTTGGGAGTATTTAAAGGTCTAATTGGTTGCAGCTCGGCCACTATGATTCGTAGCAACATATTCCTGGACTCTGCGAATGGTCATTTGGCTTGTGATCGCTTGAGTAAAACCATGTTGCAAACATTATTCACCTGTAATTATTGTAAGTTTTTTAGCTAAACCTGAGTACACCAGTTTCTTTTGATACCGGTTGATAGAGTTCGGTACATTTTCAAAATTTTTTTTTTTGATATGATTACGCAGTATGATAGATTATGTGCACCTTCTTCTTTTAACGAATCCCTTACTTTTAAGCTACCTATACTAGTTCTAATCGGTTGATATTAGATGAAACCATAGGATCACTGAAGAGCTGTCGAGTCTACGTTTATTGGAATAATAGGACCTCTTGGATACTATTTGTATCGTATACTTTTTTTTTTTTTTTATTTTTTTTTCGTTTTTTATTTTGATTCTTTAAAAGAAAATGGGTAGCCCCAGAAGGTCCCAAACGGCCGAATCATTGATGTCAACTGACACTTCATACAGTGGCCCAACGATAATGAGAAGAAACACCAGAGAATTTGGTTCTCGGACAAGTGTTCTGCATCTTCCTAGCTTGCCCAGCTTACCGACCGAGACTTCCAGTACACTGAATGATAAACCTTCACAACCAACTTCAATAGCAACACCAGAAACAAGTTACGTTGAATTTGATTTGAGTGGACTTAATTCTCATAATAACAACAATCATTTCTATAATTCCAATCATTCTATCTCCAATGATATTTTATCAGAAAAAGTAATTGGAGCAGACCCAAATAAACATTCTATGCATAATGACGAAGATGAGACCGTCAACAAACCTATTGATGCCCCTAATGATAACAATGACGAAGCTAATGACGAAGAGGATGATTTTTTCGATGGGAAAGAGTCAAACTGGAAATCAATGAAGAAAATATCATCATATGATTACTATAACGAACGAGGCGAATTAGAATTCACATCCGACGAAAGATTTACTTCATTTGATAACTTGGCACATGCTCGTGGGTATACAAAGATTGACACCGAAGAACAATTAGCAAAATATGCTGAACTAAACAAAAAAACAGACTTTTTATTTGAGATTCGAAAAGATAAACAACCTAAACCTAAAAAAGTTGATAATTATTCTTCAATTGACAATGATATTACTTCAGGCGATGAATCGGACTATGAAGATGATGATAATTTGGACTCTGATGAAACTTTGGAAGGTACTAAAGAAATGTTAACTGATGCTCAAAAATTCGCTTACGTTGGTATTGCTAAACTTATAAGTGTGGATATGGCAACTGATCTTGCTAAACTTCAAAAAAGAGCCCCTAAAAAACTTGCTAAAAATTTAAGTAATTGTCAAAAAAATTTTGCAAATTGGACTATGTATGTTATAACAAAATTATATGAACATATGGATCTAACTAAAGAAGAGAAACAAATGATCGAAAACTTGAGTATCCATGGTTTAGAGGTGACTGATTTATGTAATAGTTTGGTTGACGAAAGTAGCTCCAAACCCAAAGCGGTGAATTTAAGTTCAGGTTTTGATATGAGATGGGTTATTATTTGTGATTTGTTCTTATTATTAATTGGTGACGGGTACTATGATTGTAGATCAAGAACATTGTTAACCCATTTTGCTAATTACCTACATATCTCCGAGTTGGATATTTTGCAATTTGAAAGACGTTTAATTGAAAGTTTGGAATTGGATACTAGTAATAAAACAATTGAAAATAAAGACGAACTTCTCAATGATAGACTGTTCATTGATAAGCATATCAAAAGAAATAAAAACAGAAGGTTAGCCTACATTGGTTTGGCTACCATAGGTGGTTCTCTTGCTATCGGACTTTCTGCTGGTTTATTGGCTCCAGTCATCGGGGCCGGTTTAGCTGCTGGTCTTACAACTGTTGGTATTGGAGGAACTTCTGGTTTTTTGGCAGGTGTAGGTGGAAGTGCAATCATTACTACCGGAGGGGTTTTGACTGGTGCTAAAGTTGGTTCAAAAGCAGGTGCAAGAAGAGTTGGTGATGTTGAAACTTTCGAATTTAAACCTTTGCATAATAACAAACGTACCAATTTAATTCTTACAGTGAGTGGATGGATGAATGGTAAGTTGGATGATGTTAGATTACCCTTTTCTACAATTGACCCAGTAATGGGTGATATGTTTTCTTTATTGTGGGAACCAGAAATGTTACAATCCATGGGTCAGACTATTGGTATTTTGGCTTCAGAAGCTTTAACAACATCTATTCAACAAATTTTAGGTGCCACAATTTTAAGTGCATTAATGTCAGCAATCCAATTACCGATGGTGTTATCCAAATTATCCTATCTTTTAGATAACCCTTGGAATGTTTCTTTAGATCGTGCTTGGAAAGCTGGTAAAATCTTGGCTGATACTTTAATTTCAGGTAACATGGGGGTAAGACCAATAACTTTGGTTGGATTCTCCCTTGGATCTCGTGTTATATATTCTTGTTTAATTGAAATGGCTAAACGAGGTGCTTATGGTTTGATTGAGAATGTTATCATTCTTGGTAACCCAGTCACTGTAAAATACGACCAAATCACTCTTGCTAGGTCAGTTGTTAGTGGTAGATTCATTAATGGGTTTTCAAGAAAAGATTGGATATTAGGTTATTTATTTAGAGCAACAGGTGGTGGTATGATGACGGTAGCAGGGCTATCAGAAATTAAAGATGTTGAAGGAGTTGAAAATATCGACCTTACCGATTTAGTAGAAGGTCACATGTCTTACAGAAGGGCAATTCCTAAAATTTTAAAACGATTGAATTGGGAAATGTTAAGTGAAGAGTTCTCTGAAATTGAAGAAGCTGATCCAGAACAAGGTGAAAAGACCAGACAGTTAATCAGTGAATTCGATGAAGCAAAAGCTAAAATGATTCAAGAACAAAACGAAAACAAGAATAAACAAAAGGGTACTTGGAAATCTTGGTTCAAACCCAAACAAAAAGAATGGTGGGATATATACGACCAAGGTAATCCCAATTCAGCAAAGCTGCAAAATGAAGAAAATGAATCAAATCGTACGAGACGCAATACTACCGGTGCAACAGCAGAATACCACGAATCCCCGAACCGTGAGGAACCTGCTGCCGACCCCATGTTTGATGTGAACGCGTTACTACAAGAGGTTCAAGATATTGAAAAAATCGGTAATTCAAATGAAGAATCATTGCAAAAAGTCAGACAAGACCTACATGAACCTGAAAAGAAACATAAATCTAACGAAGAAGTCGAAGAAGAAGAGCTAGAAAAACACTCAAGCATCCTTGGAAGTGCTACTTCAAAGCTACTGTTCTTCAACAAAAAGAATGAAAGCCAATAGTATAGTTTAAGGTTAGTTTAATGTATATATACTTTTTTACTAGTACTTATTTTTACTTAAGCCAGCGTAAAATGTGAACCTGAAAAATTTTTTTTTTTTTTTTTTTTTATTAGTCTCTGTGACTAAGAGTGAATTGAAGATAAATCAGACTGGAAAAAGCTTTGATCAAGTAAACAACAGACCAGACAAGAAGCCATGCCTACCATTCCAGTTGATAAATCCGACCTCTTTGAGTTATTGGGTAAGTCATATACCACTGAAGAATTCGACGAATTATGTTTTGAATTTGGTATTGAATTAGATGAAGATACTACTGAAGAATGTCAAGGTGACGAAAGACCTCAATTGAAGATTGAAGTCCCAGCCAATAGATATGATATGTTATGTATCGAAGGGATCGCTCAAGCCTTGAATGAATTTTTAGGCCATAAGAAGGCTGCCGATTATAAATTGAACCCATCAACCCCAGAAATTTCCTTAACTATTGAAAAATCTACTGAATCGATTCGTCCATATGCAGCAGGTGCCATTTTAAGAAATGTTGAATTTGATGAAAGACGTTATAATTCATTTATTGCTTTGCAAGATAAATTACATACTAATTTATGTCGTAATAGAACTTTAGTTGCCATTGGTACTCATGATTTCGATACTTTAACACCACCTTTTACTTATAGAGCTTTATCACCAAAAGAGATCAAATTCATTCCATTAAATCAAACCAAAGAATTAGATGGTGAAGAATTGATGGAATTTTATGAAAAGGATAAGAATTTAGGTAAATACTTACATATTATTAAAGATTCACCAGTTTATCCAGTTATTTTTGATTCTAAAGATACTGTTTGTTCATTACCACCAATTATCAATTCTAATCATTCTAAAATTTCATTAAATACCAAGAATGTTTTCATTGAAGTTACTGGTACTGATAGAACCAAGACCGAAATTGTTATTAATCAAATGATTGCAATGTTTTCTGGGTATTGCAAGAATGAATTTGAAGTTGAACCAATTGAAATAATTTCTGAACATAATAAAGAAAATCGTGTTACTCCAAATATTACTCCAAAAAAATTTGAAGCCGAGATTCCGTATATTAATTCATGTTTAGGATTAGATTTAAGCGGTGAAGAAATTTCTAAATTTTTACAAAAAATGTCTTTACAATCTAAACCTTCTTCTTCAAATAAAGATATACTTGATGTTGAAGTTCCAATAACCAGATCAGATATTTTACATCAATGTGATATAATGGAAGATGTTGGTATTGCTTATGGATTTAACAATTTAGAAAGAACCAAACCAAAAGGAGATTCATTAGTCTCTGCAGCATTGCCAATTAATAAGGTTGCTGATATATTAAGATTGGCTTCTGCCCAAGCCGGTTATGCTGAAGTTTTACCATTAACTTTATGTTCTCATGATGAAAATTTTAGATTTTTAAGAACTAAAGATGATAACAAAACTGCAGTTAAATTAGAAAATCCAAAAACTATTGAATATCAAGTTGTTAGAACTACTTTAATCCCCGGTATTTTGAAAACCATTAAAGAAAATAGAAAACATTCTTTACCAATTAAAGTTTTTGAATGTGGTGATATTGTATTGAAAAATCCAGAATTAGAAAGAGGTGCTTTCAATCAAAGAAATTGGTCGGCCATCTATGCTGGTAAAACTTCTGGATTTGAATTTGTTCAAGGGCTTTTAGGTAAAATGATGCAAACTTTACGAACCAAATGGTTAGAAAATCCAAAAGGACAAACCGGTAGAGGTTATTGGATTGAACAAGATAATGAAAATCCAACTTTCTTCCCGGGTAGAGGTGCTAAAATCTTTTTCAGACCTGCTGAAGGCGAAGAACCAAAACATATTGGTGCAATTGGTGTTTTACATCCAGAAGTTTTGGGTCATTTTGATATCCCTTACGCTGCTTCTTCCGTTGAAATCAACGCAGAAGTCTTCTTGTAATCTCTCTTATAGAATCTCTTTCTTCTTACATACATATTAATTCTAAATCAATTGGTAGTAGGCTAGTTATTTCTTCATTACTATTATCTGCTCTATGGGCCCAAATTTCAATGGTGTGCACACTACCACCTGAGAACATAACTTAATATTACTAAAAAAACTTTTTGGCTGAGCGCTTTTCTGATTTTAATACCTAAAAAGGTTTGGACTATTTGTTCTTTTGCTAAATTACAACTTTTATTGTTTGATATTTGGTATACACATACAATTCAATACTCTGATCAAGAAGATTGTGCTTGGGTCAGATTGAGTTTTGCTGTTACGAAAGAAGTCCAGTTAAATTAAGGTTTTTACGAGCTTTTTGATAATTTGTTCATTATCGCACTATTTAAATTACCCGTGTTCCACATTAAAGTAGAATCTTAAACGGATATTTAATTGTCAATTTAAGAGCCAATTGAGGTAACGAGAAAGAAGATAGAAACCGATTCAAAAGAGAAAAAAAAATGAGTGCAAGAGCCCCATCTAGATCATATGATATGATTATGAAATTACTATTAGTTGGTGATTCCGGTGTTGGTAAATCATGTTTATTATTAAGATTTGTTGAAGACAAATTCAATCCATCTTTTATTACTACCATTGGTATTGATTTCAAAATTAGAACCATTGAAAGTAAAGGTAAAAAAATCAAGTTACAAGTTTGGGATACTGCAGGTCAAGAACGTTTTAGAACAATTACAACTGCTTATTATAGAGGAGCAATGGGTATTGTCTTGATCTATGATGTCACTGACTCAAGAACTTTTGAAAATGTTGAAAATTGGTACCAAACAGTGACCCAACATGCAAATGAAGATGCTCAAATCTTTTTAGTTGGTAACAAATCCGATGACGAAGAAAGTAGACAAGTTTCAAAAGAACAAGGTCAAGAATTAGCCTCCAAATTAAACATTCCATTTTTGGAAGCCAGTGCTAAAACAAATGAAAATGTGGAATCCATTTTCTATGAATTAGCTGGTATTATTCAAGACAAACACGTTGAAGAACAACAAACTGGTTCCAGTGGTATTGACGTTTCTCAAGGTGGTGATTCTAATGGAGCTAAAGCCAACTGTTGTTAAATTGTGTTTTTCTTTAGTAAAATGTGTTTTTCAGTCTACTTTTTTTTTTCTAATTTTCTTTCATTAATTCTATTTTTAATCCCTTTCTTTTTAGTTTTCATTTCTTTCTTACATTCATTAATGGTGAATTGAGATTTTTGGGATGTTAAGAGTTTGGGTACATCCATCTTTAATTATCTTAGTCGTTTATAACGAACTTTTCAACCTCTATTTTATTCAATTAGTTATTTGCCTTTTTTTTCTTTTTTTTTTGTTCTCTAGTATATTTTAGGTTTTATCAATATGCAAATATTATAGAACCATGTTTGCATTATGTCAATTTTATCTTTCAAAAACTTATGATGTAAAGAAGCAAAAAAGTCTAGCCTACAGTATGTAAAGAAGCAAAAAATGTAGCCTACAGTTTTAATGAGTGAATAAATAATCTTATTAAGTAGATCTAATGTACAAGAGAGAAGAGAATGCAAATTTAAAACTAAATTTTTTTACCAAAGTAAACCCATTGATCATCTAAAGGTTTTTCTTCTAATTCTTCCCAAACTTTCAATTCTGCTAATTCATTAACCAAGTTCAATTCATCATTTGCTTGAATGAGAATTTCTTCAATTAAACCACCACCAATTTTGTTTTCGATTTCTTCAGTGATTTCATTGTTTTCAACAACATTCAATCTGTTTCTGGTTAAGGCTTCTACTGATTGTCTATAAACAGATTGTTGAGGATATTTTTGATTTAAAACTTTGAGAGTATGATTATATAATGAGATTAATGCTGGTCTTGGATTTGGGTGTTGGTATAATCCAGTAAGACCAGTTGGGTATCCACTGGCGGCTCTAACAAGAACCTGTTCAGCTTGTCTTAAAACACTAGTATATCTCATTTTGCCCTTGACTAATTAAACTTGGGTTAAAGAAGTATATCTCTGAAGTATTAAAATGTCGAGTAATTGAAAATTCTCACTATTTGGTTGGATGAAATAAAATCAATTCCGGGACACATGCACGTGACCAGCACCTGACACCGTTACCGGATATCTGGAAGGTACGGATGCAAAAAATAAAAAATGATCAAATTTGCAATAATTAGGTAGACTACAACGATACTAATACCTTGCTTTTATACGATATATATAACATAGTTGATACAGAGTTAGAAGTCACCGCCACCGAAGTCACCACCACCGAAATCATCGCCACCACCGTAGTCGTCGTAACCACCATTATCGTAGTAATCTTCTTGACGTTCGTGGTCTTCAAAAGCATTGAAGGCCATACCCCCAAGAAGACCAGCTCCGGCCCCCATGGCCAAACCTGGCATCATACCACCGAACCTAGATTGTTTTTGCGGCTGTTGCTGAGCATAACCTTGGGGAGGGTATCCACCGTAACCTTGGGGAGGATAACCTTGGGGTGGATAGCCTTGAGGTGGATAGCCTTGAGGTGGATAGCCTTGATGGGGAGCACCGTACCCTTGTTGGTATCCTCCGTATCCACCTTGGGGAGGATAGTTATTTCTTGGAGGCTGGGATTGACCGGTGCCCTGAGGAGGATAACGCTGGGGCTGCTGGGGCTGCTGCTGTTGCTGAGAAGCTGGAGGGGCGCTGTCTCTTCCTGTAGGAGAGTAAGGAGGAGGAGGAACATCGGAAGATTCTGAATCATTGAAAACGGTACCGGCTGGAGGTTCCCATTGAGATTTTTTAGTAGCTAGATCAACATAGAAAAAAGTTTTATACTGTTCGTCATACTTGGCCAACCAGCCGTCTGGGACCTTAGGAGGACGATTAGGATCTTGTTGTGCCATGTTCAAGCTGAATTGAAGTAATATATCAAGAAAAGACCAATTTCATTATTATCTCAAATATCGTCAGGCTTTAGGGGAAGCTTAGTGACTTTTCGGTGCGCCCAGATTGTATTCCGGATGCACGGGTGCAGCTGTGATTGTGGATAAAGTGCAGAGAGGGAGGGTGGGTGCAAAAAGTGTATCAATAGACTAGGAGGAATAGTAGGTGGATAGACTAGTAGCAAAACAAGAATGATCGGAGAAGCGTGGGTCAACGGGGTATTTGAAAGGAGAGATAAGAACGGCAGATCGAGGTACTATATTCAAGGAGTTCATCCGATCTTGTTACTTGTGCTTACTTTAATTAGTGGATTTTTTTTTTATTTTTCAATTAGTCTGAAGCCAACGTTTAATGGAGAGCAAGCTTATTTCCAGTTATCCAAGCTGGTGAATTTCCAGAAGATGATTGAGTGTAACGATGTTCTGGAAGGAATCGAGTGTTTTAGGAAATACAAAAATGACTTATTGAAAGAAACCAGAATGAAGTTATCCAGTTTGAGTCAAGTTCAATTGGAAGGGTGCTTGGATACAGTAAGCAAGAACCCTAACGACTTGACCTTGTTGCTCAATGTACAAACATGTTTCCATCAATCGGATCTTTTGGATCGAGCAATTGAATTTAATCAAACCAGTTCTGGGAATTCTTGGTTTGTTATCACTGGAGTGATCGTCAGTATATTCATTCAATTATTCATCAGTATTCATTCTTTTATTACGTTCATCTTTAAGGATAAGCACAATAGCATGGTTTCCAAAGAAGTCAACTATTTAAAGGAGAGTTTCGCCTTTATCAATAATAAATTTAACCAATTACTGGAGGATTTGAAAAACCTCATCATTACTGAAAACTCCGATATGAAAAACTTACAAGGCAGACTAAACAAAAACGGAGATATAAGAAGAGAAATCGATAACTTATTTTGTAAAGTGAACGATTTGGTCGACGAATCAAACCAAATGAAGAATTTCATATACTCGAACTTGAATGAAAAATCAACTACAATTGCAATACTACCCCCAAAAGAACTGCCAAAACCTTCCCCCAAACCAAAAGAACCCTCCTTTGACATCTCCACGGCCCAGGGAAGAGCAAAATGGAAAGAGTACATCAACAAATCAATGCAAAGCAAATCAATGCAAGACAAACCAGGGCAAAAACCAATGCAAAAACCAATGCAAAAACCAATACAAAAACCAATACAAAAACCATTGCAAAATAACAAAATTCTCACCAGTATTGATGCAAAAAATCACGAAAACGAAAATCACCCTCTAAGATACTGTGACGTTGCCAAATACGGCGACAACAAGAAGTTCAAAAGAGTGTTCATCCCAGCAAGAGGATGGGTCTCAATGAAACAATTCGAACTCGAAGAGTCAATCCATGGCTCCTCCAGCATGGTCAGTCCCTGCTAGAACAACAGTGGGGGTTGTTGGACTGCAAAAAAAAAAGCCAGAAAAAACCAAAATTGCAGCACTTTTCATGTGACAAATTTCCGGTCTTATCTTTTAAACCAAAATACCGACCGAATACCAACAAAAACTCGCCCCCCTCGTACACGGGAAGGCCAATTTCAAGTACTACTTGATCACAGTCATTCATATTTTATAGGCTTGATAGTTTTAGTAATAAAATTAGTTTTAGTAATAAATCTAGTGTAGAAAAGGACTCCGACTGCGAATTCACATGAAGGTTTGTCTAACAAAACGGAAAAAAAAAACATGTAAAACAAAGAGATCTCACAGAGTAAAAATTTTAATACGACGATGGGATAAAAAGACAGGAGAAACAGAAGTTTTAGTAGCTACTTTTCTGAGAGACGATTAATAGGAGCAAGTTAGAAATGACCCAGATATCCGGAAGCAGAACGTACAAGCGTAAGTTGTCCGTTGGCGATGACTATAAGAGTGAACCCAAGGTCGAAAAGCATATGGAAAAGACGATGGATGAACCGAATGGTACTGAAGAGACCACTGAAGTGGAAAGGATAAAGGAAGAGTTGGCACCACCGCTGTATGAAGCAGCAATCAGAATGCCTATACCCATATCTGCTTCGAATAGCAGTTCTAGTACAAGCACAACTACTGTTAGTGGTTCAAACTTGAAGAGACGACATAATAATAACAACGATGATTTAGTGAGTGCAGCAGAGGCATTAACCCAGTTAACTAAATCCATGACCCCGCCACCAGCGTCGTTGAGTTATAATCAACTCCCGCCACCAACCAGGTCGTTACATTCTGGAGTCACCAGTCCAATCTCTTCATTGTCAATCAATGATCATCATAACCACGAACATCCGTTGGTTACCAAAGTTAATAAAGTCAGTAAACATCCAATTGTGACTAATGCGTTCACTTATTATGAAGAACAGAAAAGAAAGTATGCATCTTTCAACTACGCAGCCGAAATTGTGGAAAAAGCAGCCATCCCGGTGGTTAATAAGATTGAATTAAACTTGAATAATAGATACCAAGCCCAACGATCTAAATTAGAAGAAAAATCGGTTAAAAAAAGAAGAAAGTTATCAAAGAAAAGATCATGTTCCATATATAAGAAAAATGAAACTAAAAAGAGATTACAATTCTGTTTACACATTTTAAAATTAGCAAATGATAATATAAACTCCAAAGTATTCAACTTACAAGAAAGAATGTTGAATATCGAAAAGGAGAAGAGATTGAAAAATGAAGAGGTTAAACAAGATAAACCGGATAGTAAACCAAATAATGAAGTTGCTCAACAAACGAAAACCGAAATCATCACCACCGTTAAAAAAATCATTCATTTAATATCAAATTTTAAACCTTCTTCGCTTAATCCTTCACAAACTACCAGTGATGTGGATCAGAATCTTGATAATATCTCAATCAATTCTAATAACCCAAACAACCTAGAATTAAAATCAACCATTCGTGATATCATTCTTAAATTACCAATTACTATACAACAAACCGCAATTACAAATAGCACCTCTGCTCAACAAGCAAATGATAAAATCTTTGTCTTTGCCAAAGAGTCCTTGGAAATGATTGGTAAACTAACCAACGTCTTTAATGAACAATTAGAAAAAGCTGAAAACTGGGTCAATGGTGATGAATCAGATAACTTAAACTTGTCAAGACAACTATCTCAATCAAGTTCAACTCCTTCTCTAGATTCAGTCATTGCCCCAATTCCCTTATCTACAAAAGATTCAAATATCAAATCGGCCTCTCCAGAATCACCCCAAACTAAAGTTGAAGGTAATTAATTTATGTATTTTTATAATGAAGTAATGCTTTTATTTTTTTACTCCCAATAATAACGTAGTTTACAGGGTTCTTTTCTAATATCCATATTCAGTAAGAATGTAAAAGTCACAAGGGGCTATAACAACGTTCTATCCCAAAGATTAATCTCATTTTTGGTCTAATATCCTTCATTGGCAATTACCCAACTCCACCTACTCCTTCCTGTATCTGCTAATTGCCTATTTAAGTTAAAGAGTTTGGGAGATGAGATCCGTACACCAAATGTTCTCACTCTCGCAGGGCAACTAGGAATTACTCTTTTTGGAATACAAATTAAATTTACAACCATATTCATTAGATTACCTTTAAGAGGAATTTTGGTATTACACCAATTCTAAGTAATTAATAAACACTTATATAAGAAAATGGATATCTCGTCAAAATTGCAATTGTGTTGGTATTCCTATTTGTTACTTCATTCTTTCTAACTTTTTCTGTTTTTTTTTTTTTTGAATTACATCAAAAAGCGATACCAAGTTTTTAGTTTGATCAAAATGTCTTTAACGCTTAGTTCAAGCGACTCTCAAGTCATCAAGAGGAGTTGGACTGAATTGCAGAATAATAATAAGTACCATAAAGATGAATTTGTTTCAAGATTATTTGGTAATTTATTAGCTGCTAACCCTAACTTAAAATCAGTTTTATCAACTGATTTAATCATTCGCCAACAATCTAAGATGTTCAATGATATGTTAGGTTTTACTATAATGTATTTGGATAACGAACCATTGTTGGAGGAATGTATGAATGAATTCGTTCAAGAAAATCCTTCAATAGTTGCTTTGGGAGTTCAGTACTTAGAACCAATGGGTCTTGCTCTTATTCAAACTTTCCGTCAATGGTTGGGTTCTGCTAAATTCCATGCTGGTTTAGAAACATTATGGATTAAAATTTATGTCTTTTTGGCTAATTGTATCTTACAACATGATGATTCAACTAGTGATGTTTCCTCAATCTTGAGTGATCATCAAAGAAGTTCCGAAACTGAAGAGGAAGAAGAATTCGAACCAATTCAACCTTTGAAACCAGTTAAAGAAGCCACTCCTCCACCACCAGAAAAAGATGAACCTCAACCAGTACAACAGCCAGTTCATGAAATTCCAGCAACCCCTTCTAAATCTAGTATTCCTCAAAGTATAAGTGCAAACACTTTACATATTGAACTTTCAAGTAATGAAAAATATAGGGGCTTTAGAAGAAGTATGCAACCAAACTCAAACCCGGTCCCAATTGAAGTGAAGATTCCGGAACCTTTTGCTAAACCAAATAAATTGACTGTTGATACTACTACATTTATCTCTTCGCTTTCTGCTCCTGCTACTCCTTCAGAACCATTTGATCCAAGAAGATTAAGAAGAGGTTCTGCTTCTCCAGTATCTATGAAGAATGATGAAGTTGACGAAGTTGATGAAGTTTCTATTAAGTCACCTTCTAAGCCTTGGGTTGATGAAGATGATTCGATACCAATTAGAAAAAGACCAACTTCTTCAATTGAATTTAATGAACCTGTTTTAACTCCAAGATCTTCAAGAAGAAATTCTGCCGCTGAAATTAAAGCTGCTCTTGACCGTGATTTGAATGTCACACCGGTTCAAACTCCAACAAAAACCAAATTCAATAATAAGCAAAGTAAAGTTATAAATGATTCAGATTCTGAAGGTGAATCAGATGATGAACCCGAAAAAAGTTTTGGGTTTGATCCTCGTCGTAAACATTCAAGAAATTCTTCAGTTCACTCTGCTTCAACTTTTCAAAAACCAGTTTCTGAAGTTACCACTGGTGGTAATGCATCTTCTGAAGATTCAGTTAGTGATGTTGAAGATGATTTTAACTTGAATAATGATGATTTAAATTCAACTGACGAAGATGTAATGGATTTTACTCAAGCAGAACCAAAAACAATTAATATTCCAAATCTTAATCCAAAACAAGTTTTTGATTCAAATAGTTTTGGTATTCAAGCTTTGGCTCCAATTGTTGAGGACTCAGATGATGGATCATCTAAATATGATTCAAGTGGTGAAGAAGATAATGCATCTTCAAATTACGAAGAATCAAATTCAAATATTGATAAATCAGAAAATGATGAAATTAGTTCATCCGGTGCTTCTTCATTATCTTTACATAATAGTGATTATAAATCATCAATCAGTTCAGGTACTGATTCAGCAATGAATTCTCCATTTATGAATAACTTTAAAATGGGTCATAATGCTAGACAACCTTCACAATCAAGTGAAATTAGTTATATGAAACCATTAAGTACAGTTACTAGTACGAATAATCCAATAATTAATCATAAATTTTCACAATCAAGTCCTTCTTTATCAAGACCTTATCAACAACGTGCTTCTTTAGGATTTATGAGAAGTAGTTTTGTATTGAAGAAGGAATTAGAAGAACTTGGATATAACAAGCCAGAAAATGTCTTGATGAAACCTCCAACCATTCCAGCTGCTGTTAATAATGGAGCAGTATCTGCACCAGTATCTAAACAGGCTAGTTATGCCTCATTAACTACTGCTAATACCGGATCTGATGATGGATGCTTTGATTTAATAAATACTTTTGATTCTCCAAAAATTAATTTGGATTCAACTAGTATTTATAGAAATCAAAATATTGGTACTAGTACCAGAAGAACATCTAAAAAAATTAATAATGATACCAAACAAAAATCATTAGCTACTAAAGAGAAGAAATCATTCAAACAAAGATTAAGTTCATTTTTCTCATCATCATCTACTTCAGTTGTTTCTCCAAATGAAAAAACCAAGGATTTGAAGACTACTCAATCGTCTTCGGTTGCTAAAAAGAACGAAGTTGTATCTTCAGAAAATAAAACTTCATTTGCTGCTACTTCGTATGATAAAACAAATGCTGGTGCTGCTCCTTCAATCAAGGCTCCATCTAGAAAATCTTCTAGACCAAGATATTCTAGAAGCTACGCAATGTCTCAAAGTGATATGGTTTCAATTCAAACTACTGAAACCAATCACTCATCGATCTCTGGATTTTCATTCATGAAGAAGAGACGTTCTTCTGTTGATGCTAGAAGCAAATACAATGTTCAAAAAGTCCCTTACAAGATTTTTTGAATCGAAGCTAATGATGATGACTTGACTTTATTGTTTTTTCCATTTTTTTTCTTTCATAATTAATAACTAACTTGCTAATGAAATGCCGGTGATCCAACAATATATTATAAATAATGAGAGAACACGGAGAAACTACTTTTAATGATTTTTTCTTTTTTTTTTTTAAAAACTCTACTTATCTTTTCTTTCTATGTTCTTTTAATTTTTGAAAAGAAGTTGGTTTACCGTTGCATTTTGTTTCTGTGCAGTTAATGATGATGGTTATTTGAACTCCAACCTTCTTGTTGAAATTGAAAGGAATACTCTTTTTCTTTTATTTCCTCATCTAATGGTTAACTTTTCGTGGAGGTCTAACTTTGAATATTATTGAACTAAGATTGATGAAGATTGTGTGCACTTAATTGCTACATCGAACCTTATTCTCTTTCCATTTTTACTTGGTCAATCTTCAATATATTCAAGATGGAAAACTCTTTTTCTATTTATTTATTACTACCCTTGCCTTTGGCTTTCTTTTTTGGATTTTATTGTTTCGGTTTATGTGATTTTTGTTACTATTTTAGTTTCTCTCTGTACTTTTATTTATATTTTGTTGGTTTATGGTGTGTTTTTCTTTCCACTACATTTATTTCTTTCTAATTGTTGACGATTTTCTCTTTATGTATTTAGCTTATATTTACCAAAATAAAAATGATTACTGTGTTTACTTAGCCTCTCTGTATTGGCTTCAAGTAGTCTGTCTCTGACAGTTGAATACGAAAAAGCATGACGAACTACTAAACGATTTTGAAATATTCCCTCTTTGTAATATACGAGAGAATCACAATCCATGAATATCTTTAGGTTCATCTTCACCAACAATAATGTAGACAAACAAAAGGTTAAGATGGGTTGCAAGGCCAATTCCATTAGACAACTAATTTGCAGCTTAGCAGGGAAAAAACGTGGTGCACGGGTGGCATCTTGTCCCATTTTCCCAATCAGGTTTAGTAATTAAATATCCCTTTTGGGTAAAAACAAAAAAGGCTTCACAATCACGGAATACAAATTCCCCCTTTAGCTTATTGTTGAAGAGCCAAAGCTTTGGAATACTGTACAAAGTACTTGATAGAATACTGTACAAAGTACTTGATACTTGGAACCCCAAAGATGTAAATGGATGAAAAAACTGAAGAAAAAACTGAAGCAAAAAAAACCAAAACTGAAAGAAAAAAGAAGACAGAATGATAAGTCCGTTAATTAGCACAAGCTTCATAACAGGATAAATGTCCGAGGCCAAAGCTACAGCCAGGGTTTGGCCGACAGGTCAATGAAGCAAGATCCACCCTCATGGCACTAGCACTAATCAAACAGGGATAAACCCAAAAGGGTTTTAAAGGAATTCTAATATTTTTTACGCAACCAATACTGCTCTTTATATTGAGATATTTTGTACTTGGACGATAAAAGATCCCCCACTAGTGATAGCAAAGAATGGTTTAGGGGATTGACAATCGAGCCAGCATAATAGCCAATCTTTTGTTGTATACTACCCTACCCAACCAAGGGATCCAGTTGTGCCCTTTCAAAATTTTCAAGTTTGGCCAGGAATATTGGCAACCACGTACATGGGCCTATTACCGGCTTTTTGTAGTCATCTCACGACTGGACTCTGAACCAGCTTGAAACAACTTCACCACCATGGTAGCAGTTGGCATTTTGTTATCAAACAAACCCAACGTACCCTGGATTAATCTTTGTTCCCTTGGGCTTTCGTACAAATAGCCAACAGTCTTACATCAATTGCTCATGACAATGTAGCTTTAAACGAAGGAGCCACTCTAGCCAGAGTTGAAAGGCCAATATACCTAAAATGAACAAAACAATCTGCGAGTCAACGCAAAAATAAAGAAGTAGAACAACTGCAAAAACTGCAAAATTAGCCAAAAACACAACAACGAAAAAGACAAAGATGAAAAGGAAAACAAAAAAAAATGGCGTATACTTACCTTGGGATACCGTAATGCAGAGCAAAGGCTGAGAGGCATGATTAGTGCCTAGCATGTAGTTGAATGCAGATAATTCTGTTTTGCATATTCTCTGGCTAGTCCAATCTGGCTAGGAGTCTTGAAGCTTAATGTCTTTTCACCAGATACACGAAAGATGCAGGTGGCTAATCATTAGGCTATAATAAGATATAATTGAATTATTCGTAATTATATATATATCGTTGTATTCTTCTTTTTACTTGTTATCAACTTTTTTTTTTTTTTTTACTATACGTCCGTTATTATCATTATGTCTTTAATTACAGAGCTGGTCTCTGTTCCGTTAAAAAGTACGAAACCCCCCATGCCATCCTTCAGCTTCACCCAGGATGAAGTTACAACCATTAAAAGAATATGGGAGCTATTACAGATTGTGAAGATGCCTAGTATCTCATCTTCATCCAAAGTTCCAACCACGAAAAGCAAAATATCGACTCCATCCAGACTATCGATCGACTCAACCAATAGCCCTACCAAGAAATCGGCTTCAGAGACTCGTGACTCTCGTCGAAATAGTCTTTTCATATCCAAAGAGTCCAGGCACTCTAGAACAGCCTCGTCCTCGTACGCATTGACTCCAGTTGCAACCAATACCAGTATAAAAAGTAATAACAGTGATCACAGTAGTAAAACTAGTGTTACCGTCGAAGAAAGACTCAAGAAAACTGCTGCTCCAGTTAACACTGTATTGAAGTTATTTGAATTTCAATTCAAACTTTGTGGGAATATTAAAAGATATGAAGTATTATCAAAAAATTCTTCTGAATCAATAAATAATCTAAATTTGCTCAATGTCGAGGCTGATTTGGATAAAATTGAATTTCATATTTTGAAAAACGGTTATCAAACTGATACTTTGGTTGAAATAATAACTTGTATTATACTTAATTTGAATAAAACTTCAGAGGCAATCTTTGATGTGCTTTCAAGATTGAGCAAAATAAATTCTCGAATATGGAATATGGATAATTTTAAATACAAAAGTTTGGGTGAATGTTTGAATATAACAATTTTAGAAACTTTAGGTAGAAAAACTTATTCAGTAGAATTCGAACATGTTTGGATTCATTTTTTCAATAAGTTGATTGATTTGATCCTTTGGTCATCTAATGAATTATCTCTACATATTCCCCAAGCTGTTATTGATTCTAATACCATACGTAAAACTCCCTATTTAAACCCCCATTCCCCTTTAAGATCAACTAAAATTGTGGTTAAATCTAATCCTTCTAATAACGATGACGATTATTCTGTTCGTTATTTGTCTAATTATACCACTAATGTTGATCTTAAGTTTCATACCCATTCAATTTCTGATGATTCAACAAAATCATCCAATTCAATATTATCATTACACACTCATGATGATACTTCGTCTTTTTCTACACTTGATCAATCCCCAAGAGGATTTGTTGATTATAATGGCAAGCCGGGTGCTTTAGATGAAGATTTAATGCATGAAATTGATGAACTTGAAGAAATTCATAGCGTCACTCCTATAGATGTGAATACTGAATTTAATGGCATGTCAGAAATCACTAGAGCAGATGGATTGGAAAAAGCTCATGAAGTACCAAAGAATAAACATCATAATGAGGAAGATGATGATTCGTTTGACTTGATTAATTCTTTCAATGCTGAAAAAGAAGAACAGACTAAAAATACCTCAAAATATAGTAAAAGATTTAATTTGAAAAAGAAGGCGTCATTTCGTTCATTAAATGGTGCAGCAGTTTTGAAACAGCTTGATGAAAGACGTAATACCTTGACTAATTCGATGAATAGAAGAAGGTCACTTAGTATATTGAGTTCTTCTAGTTCAAAGGGAACGATATAGAATAATTAATGTAATATATATATTTGAAAAAAAAAAAGTGTAAGAGTCATATAGCTAAGCATTGAAGAATTGAAAAATAAATAGCAAATTTGAAATAGTGATCTTTCTTACTTTTTATAAGAAGAATTAGGAAAACTGGAAATCATTCTTATTAGGTGATTTTTAAACATTGATCATTATCACAACCGGAAACATCATCCACGGCACAATTTTGTTTATTAGTAGCTCCGTAAGCACTTGGTTTCTTATTTAAGCTAGAATGAGAAATTGAATGATCATTACCAATGTTATCATTATTTATTTGTCTTAAAGCAGAAAACTCAGGTTGAATTGTAGCGCTATGAATACCAAAACGATGTAAGATAGATCTAACTTGTTTAACCGCGTCAACAAAGGCATTTTTGTTGAATTGATCATTATTACCTCCATCATTTAAAGAGATGTTTGAGCCATTACGATCTTCATTTAATTCTAAATGTAAAGAAGCAATCAAAATATCTTCATTTAAATTCCAAACATGGAAATCATGAACTGATTTAATTAAAGGTAAATTCATAATTTCTTCAATAATTAAATTTGTGTTGACATTTGGTGGAGTAGCTTGTAATAATATCTTGGATGATTTACGACATAATGGTAAAGCAGATGAAAAAATGATTAAAGTGATGAGTAAAGAAACTAATGGATCAGTTAAATATCTCCAAGTATATTCAGTTTTCCAAATAAACAAGGCAGTTATAATAACCCCAACATTACCTAAAGCATCACCCAATACATGTAAAAACACCCCTTCCATATTCATGGATTTTCTCTTTTTAGCTGGTTTTTGCTTATCTTTGATTAAAGGTGTCGATTCACTATCATATCTTTGAACCACATTTTCTGGGAAATAATCAGCAAAGTCAGTGGTTGAATTATTTCTATTTGAATCGTCAGTCAATTTATGAGAATGACTATGGCCATGTTCATGTTCATGATGTTCATCAGATTCTTCTTGAGCTACATCACCAATTTCTGCTTCTTCATCAGTGTGAGAATGACTATGACCGTGACCATGTCCACCGGAACCACCTCCATGGGAATGGCCATGGTCATGGAATAAAACCAAACCAACAAGGTTACTCAATAAACCAGCAATACCAACCCCCAAAACCAATTTTGGTGAATTAATTTCGGTTGGTTCAAAAAACCTTTGAATAGCTTCCATAACAATAGTAAAACATAAAGCCAATAAGAAAACTGCATTGATCAAGGCCCCCAAAATTTCAGCCCTTTGCCATCCATACGTATACTTACCATCTGCTGGTTTAGTATTCTTAACTTTAACTGCCCATAATGCTATAATTAATGAAACAATGTCATTTAACATATGGAAAGAATCAGCCACTAATGCTAAAGAATGTACCGAGTACCCAATAATCGCTTCCAAAAGGAAGAAAGCAGTATCCAAAGCCAAAAGCGATACGATTCTAATCTCCTTACCTGTTACCATTTTGATTATCTCTAACTAATAGAAGTAGTATTCTTAATATGAATCTATCTTCGTATAGCGAAAACTGTGGATAAAAAAAAATTGACGTATTTTTGAATGTTTTCAAAAATTTTTTCTCCGGTGCTTAAACTTCAACCAATGGACTGCCAATACTCTCAATATACTGCCAATATACTGCTATTACTGCTAATAGATTGCCAAAAGACTACCCGCTAGACGCAGAAATTGTAGGAAATGCCACCTTTATATACTTATGTCTATTGTTGAGTACTAATTAATTAAAAAGGCTCTACAGCGATGAGATAATTTCGTAAGCTCACAATACAATTGTATAGCTAAAAAGTTATACAAAAACCAAATTAATCAATTCACTCGTAAATAAGTTTGTGACATTGAAGCAGAATGGAAAGACACTTGTAAAGAGAAGGTCCCTACCAGGCCCCAGTCATGACTTGGAAGTAGGACCCTTTGCAGAATGTGCTTGCAAGCAATTCGGCAGTAGTAATCGCATCTTTCCCAACTCAAGTAGTTATTACAGATAATTTCAGTCTTTTCGGCTATTTACACAAAGGCATTTTGCATCAAGATCAACATTAGATTATATCAATATTTCAATAAACACCTATTGGTAAAACATTTAAATAAAAATCAAAAAAAAAAAAAAAAAAAAAAAAAAAAAAAAAAAAAAAAAAAAAAAAAAAAAAAAAAAAAAAAAAAAAAAAAGGGTACCAATATCCAAGTAATATAAAAAGACAATACTAAAGTAATATACAAAGAGCTAGTAACCCAATAAAAAAACGTAGCATCATTAGCATAATGATAACAAGAAAAAAGTAAGGGAGAGAGGAAAAACAAATATTAAAATCAACCGTTGTAACAGTAATAGAAGCACCTTCTCAACATGGAGGAGAGGTGAAGTGAATTAAAACTAGAGGAAGAGAAATGAAAAGGAGATAACCTCATAACATCATTAGACTGATAATGCAGAATAGAACAAATTCAAAAACAAAAAAAGTAGCAGCAAAAATGCAGCAAGAAAATAGTAATGTAGAAATAAATAGTTCATTCAAACCATGATTAAAACTTCATTTCGTCAAGATAATTCTCTTCCCAGAAGTGCTTCAGTTAATAAACAAATGAAAACAAAAAACAAGCAAAAGACAAACAAAAAACATAATACTGATAAAAAAACAAATAAAAAGAAAACCAAACACACACCAAGCAGTTACCCTAAACTTTCAGAGAACCCAATAAGTCGTTAAAAGTGATTTTTTGACCTTGATGTTGTTGGAATTGGTTAGCAGGTTGGGCACCAGGAGCAGCAGGAGGAGGAGGAGGAACCCCGGAAGGGAACCCGTGCACCCCAGCAAAATTACCTGGGTAAGAGTGACTATTAACCATGGGGTATCCCATTTGAGGATGATGCATTGGAGGAGCAGAACCATGAGGATACTGATAATTGATATAACCTTGAGGAGTCACTTGGTAAGAAAAGCCTGGTTGAGGGTATCCAGGATAGCCCGGTTGAGGATACATAGTGACTGGATATTGAGGAGGAGGAGGTGGAGGATGAACAGTGGTTAAATTCGGGGTGGAATGTAATGTTTGGTTTGGTGAACCACCATTAGAAGAACCCCCATTTGAGGAGCCAGATGAAGAAACATTACTTTGATTTTCATAAATTTGAGATTTATTATTATTTTTAGGAGATGTTTTAAAAGACGGTTTTGGTAAGTTGAGTGCAGCAGGAGACGAATGAAACGATGAACCAGCATAAGTATCTTCATTAATTACCTGTTGTTGTTTCTTACCATCCTTATTTGATTTCCCGGATTTATTTTTTCTGGAATTATTAGTCGTAGAATCATCATGGAAAACCGGTTTTTCACCATTTGGTAAAGAAGGATTCTTACCCTTTTTATTGGAAGTGGCGGTGGCAGCATTGAAAACGGGTTTTTCGCCGTTTGGTAAACTCTGTTTACTTAACGAACTTGAAGACGAATGATTTGATTCATTCCCGTTATAAAAATTTGGCTTTGATCCATCCGGCAAGCTTGGTTGTTTCTTGGAACTTGATCCTTTCTTGGATTTATTGCCAAAATCAACCTGGGCCCCATTTGGTAACCGGCGTTCACCATTCTTGATAGGTTTATGTTTATTGGTTTTAGGATTATTTGAATTTTTTTGTGGTGGTTGAGTCATATGGGAATTTTTCTTATGGAGAATTGATTGTGGTAATTCGTGTGCCATCATATTCTTCACTTTAGATCTAAATTACTATAGTATAATGATAAACATATATATCTGGATGTAAATTTTAACAAAATTAATGAATTTCCTTTAAAGAATACCTTATTCTAAAGTTTAAAGTTATTGAATAAAGCAAAAAAAACTAACAACAAATGAAAAAAAGTTGATATATAAATATAAACAGGCAAGTAAAGTATCTAATACCTATGTAACTGGAAACAGATGTATAAATCTAACAAACAATATATAAAGTAAGGAGTAATGAGTTGATGGTATTCTCCAGTACAAACAGCTTAGCGTTTTTTTTCGCCCTTTCTTTTTTGATTGGGTCATCGTTCAATATCACGAGCATCCGTACACCACGAGCATCCGTACACCAAAGCGGTGTTACACCCGTACATTCTTCAGGGCCGATTTGCAACTGGTCTTACTGGGTTGCAGGTATATGGTTGTATATGGTGGTATATATAGATATATAGGTAAATGTACATGTAGACGGGTAGACGAATAGGTAGACGGGTAGACGAGTGGTTAACAGCGCTACTCGTAAGAGACGATGGTCAGCAAACCAATCAAAGACATCCCCAATAGACACCATACCATGACAAAGTTCAGAGACCCACTGAAGGAAACGGCTGAACCGTACATGGACAAGCCAACCACGCTCAAAAAGCCACTGGTGATGGCTAGGGTGATACCAAAAATCAAATTTAATTGAAGAAGATCAATTTTGTCCTGATTGCCGTAGAAAGTTAAAAAGAACCAACCAGCCAAAGCACCTAAAGGCTGGGATAACCCACCTAATAACGAGCTTATAACCACGGCTTTCAACTTGGCGTACTTCTTATTACTTGATTGCGTGAACAGGTAAAATAATGGTAGGCACATCGAGAAACCCTCAGTGAAATTATGGAATAGTAAACTGATGAAGATTGAAATTCCTAATTCAGGATTGGTTTCAGAAGTAATGAACGTGATAAACCCTTCTGGGAACTTATGCAAGGTGATTGCCAAAGTTGTTTGGATACCAATAAGCAACAACCTAGATAAAGGTGAACTTATATGGTGGTGGTGATCATGTTTGTGTTGAGAATGGTTTTCATCCAATGGATTAGCATGACTGCTATCATGACTGTGTTTACGGTGATCATGACTGTGCTTATGGTGGTCATGACTGTGCTTATGGTGATCGGTACTGGTTCTACCGTGGTGGATAGATTCATGTAACGATGGGATTTCACAGTAATGTAAACTTGATTCTGTCTCTTGTGCTTCCCCTTGGTTTTCATCTTCATTTAAATCGTGTTGATATAAGCATAGCTCCGCCGACGAATACCCCTTACATTCGCCAACCTCCTGACCGGAAGGAGTCAAAAGATGAATCAACGACTTGGTTGATGTCTTACGGCCCATAATCGCGTGCGGTTGGTGAATCAAAGGTGATGTTTCATTAGCAACTTCATTTTCCTCATCATCGTCATGTTCCTCGTGGGTATGATGTTCATGTTCCTCATGATTATGGCCCGACTCACTATCATCGTGGCTGCAATGTACAACACTTTCACTGGTGATCAAATGCAACAAATGGTTAAACCCTAAGCAAATCAGAATTCCAACGATGTAGGAAATGATTAATTTTTCATTCAACGATTTTTCAATTTCTCCATTAACTTTTTTCACCGAATTGTGAATGTATTCCGAAGCCTCTGGTAATAATCTGAATAGAGAGGTGAATAAAAGGCATCCAGCACTAAATCCTAACAGTCCATTCAAAAAGGTGAAATTTTGCTTTAATTCAAGTTTAAACCGGGACGTAATACTTTTAGGAAATATCAACGCATACAAATCATCAATAAATATTACAAAACACCCAGCAGCACATAGACAGGATGATAATATGGTGAGATTCCATCCCTGTCCCCATCCGTAAGCGAACATCTTGACCCTTAAATTATCAAAGAATAAAATTACTGGGAATCACCGAAAAGAATTTTATCTGCGCAATCGACCCTGAGATGGAAACCTATTTAAATAAGAAAGATGTTAAAATACAAAAGGATATACAATGTTGATGGGTATCAGGTTAATTGATTCAAGATCAAAATGACTATTGTAGTATTCTTTTAAGGAGTAATTTACACAAATATAATGAGAACCCCAGTGGTTATTAAAGAATGTATTGCTATTTATAAAAATGAAATAATCAATTTAATCTCGTTTTGACATTTCTATATTCTCGGTATATTGAGGTAATTCACTATAGCCATTATTTTTCTTGAAAGGAATTCTTCTATGTTTAGTACTTTTACCGGCGAATTTTCTTTTAGTTAAATGGCTTAAATCGGTGTTTCTCTTATTGATCCAAACAAATATATACATGGCCAAAGCAGCGATTGCAACACAGGTGGGCATAGTTAACATGACAATGTACTTGTCATAATCGATACCTTCTTCGATTTCGTCAATTTCACCGGCTAATTGTTGTTTTCTCCATTTTTCTTCTAACTGTTTTAAATCAGTAAGATGTTCTTTGGAAACTTTGGCACCAATGGCAATTTCAATCACCACGTATTTATCCATATGGTTGAACTCTTCGTCCTTGACAGTATCTGGCTGAATACTTAATAAAACCTTATGCTCAAATGCTTTTTCTCCAAACCATTCTGGTAAAATAGTTAACGGAAAGAAACCTTGGTCATTGGAGATCCAATCACTAGTGAAAAACGAAGCTTGCAGAATGGTACCACCATTTTCAATCACTTTCGATCTTTTCGCAATGGCTGTTTCGTTAACGTCTCTTTTCATTCCTTTGTATCTGGCCTTTTCTTTAATATACGATAAATGAATTTTAACATTCTTAACATCTTCTTCGAAGAATTTTGAATACCATGTAACAAAATACGTACGATCCCTTTTCAATGATTGATTATCATGAGGGAAACAAAATGGTTCACTTGGAATATCTTTTCCTAATCCCTTCTTATGATACAGATCAGGAGTACATCTGATCAATGGGTTTAATTGATGATAAGTCTGATCTTCGTCAATATACTCAACTTCCTCATGAATTTGATCATCTGCCATATTATGGGCTTTCAATTGTTCTTTTGTATATTGAATGGTGGTTGGTTTGGCAAACCATGTATCATACGTTGGTGATGCCTTTTTAATTCTCCCATTCTTCATTTGCGGTCTTATGGTTTTGGGAGATCCATCTTTATTCAACGAAATCCATGGTTCTAATCCATCAGTAGTCTTCGGTGGTTTGGCACTAAACGTAACTCCTGCAATTACGGTTGGAGTCACAATCTCAACTTGACTTTCATAAATTGTACGAATCCATGGTTTAGGCATGGTAGAAGACGATTCGGGGTCTTCTCCCGCAAGAATCTTCTTTTGCTCTTCTTGTTGTTTAGCATATTCTTTATTAATGATCTTACCTTTATATCTTTTTTCAAGTTGAACAGCTGGTGCTTCAGTAATAAGCGGATCTTCAACACTAACCACTGCTGCTGCATCCACACTGGCCGTCAATACCGCGGCCCAGATCAACAACCCACTAAGCTTCATGCTTGATCAATAAGAAGAATTATAAGGTATTCGGTTGTTTGTCTTTCAACCTTGTTGTTTTTTTGTTTTTATATTCGCGTGGATTCTGAAAAATTTTCTGATTTACGTCCGGTTAAACCGATTCATCTACAACGATAAAGCTTACAAAATGTCATTTCTGCCAGTTATGAGTAGTAAAAGTCTGTTTGTCCAATGAGTTAGAACCCAACAGATACTCAAAACAGTATGAAATGCGTATGCGTTGATCTATGGCAAGTAAATTCCATCATTGAATACATGGGTATAATGGTATAAAATGAAACTATGCTGAGTTTGCCAAATTCTACAAGATAGTCATAAAGAATCTGTTTATGAGGATATTGTTTATTAAGTATTTAAACCTTTATCTAAAGAAAAGAAGTTGAAAGAAAAAACCATCAACTAAAAGCTTCCCTCTGTATTTATACCTTTTTTTCCTTTAGGTTACCCGCAAGCCGTTATTTACAAGATGAATGCAATTAGTAGGTGATAAGACCCAGAAGGTACTTGATTTCATTCCATAGACTGGGGGTTTCGTCTCCCTGGGGGTCTCTGAACTGGCTGGGTTGTAGGAATTTGTTTAAGTCCTTGGTGGTGGTGGAGGTGAAGTCGACGAACTTTGGAAATTTGAGTTGAAGATAATTCGATATGAACTTATCGGGTAAGTCATCATGGTTCAAGCATTGGATGTATGCCAATAATAGCAATTCGCTTGATGAGAGTTGGTTGGACTCACTAAATAAGTAGGAGAAGCACGATTCGGACTCGGGACGTAAGTCCTTGAATAAGTCGAGTATGTGGGTTATGTAATGGTTAATGGAATTCAAACATTTCATTGAGTTTTTCAGTTCTCTAACCAAACTCTTCTTTTTGGAATTGGCAAGAATTTGCTTTTCGTGTAATGTCGTTATTGCAACTTCATCTTCTCCCTCAGAGTTGTCTTCAACATCACTAGAATTTGCCTCATTGAAATACTCGGTTTCCGGAATAACCTCTTCCAAATTCCCCGACATGCTGAAAAAACCAACCTTATTTGCCGTTAATCCAACCATTCTTACTTCTTCTTGGGCATTATGGTAGAATTTCAATGGCTGATTGTACATCATTGGGAATGGGAAATAATGCTGGAACAACTTCCGGGTGTACTTCTCGTAGTTCCTGGTATTGATATAGAGATTATACTCATTCAAGTACTTGACCTTGTTCTCCACATAACTTATCAAACTAGCATTGATCAATTGTTGTCTTTTGTCCAATTGGGTATCTGGTAGAAACTGACTTTCTCCGTCAGGATACTTTTCACTGATGTATTCGGCTATCCTGGAATACCCTTCATATTTCGCTCTAGTCTCAGTGCAAATAAGCAATGGCAACACTTCACTATTGGACATGTTGGTATTACATGAAGTCACTATTTTGTATGACACCTTGTGGGCCTTCAAGTGGGTTCCAATTAACCACGAGCTCGCCAAACTCTCTGGTGATATCACGGATATCTGCTCCTTCACTCCCCAAACGTGGAGTTCCAACATATTATCTGTATATGAAGATATAATCTAGGTTTTTCCTTCACTAAAAGTGAAAAATCAAAAAAAAAAAAAAATATATATATATATATCTATGCAATGTCGGGCTTTGGAGATGTTCGGGCGTGCGACATTTCTCGGTGCGCGACATGGCAAATCGTTGGTTGATGATGTTTTTTTCAAAGAAAAATCACCAGCAATACCCTATTTTTCATTTTAATCATACCTTTTCCTTGTATGAACCATCCTAATCAACACGATCTTGTTGGCTGTTAGAATTTGATTGAGGCCTGAAAGTGATTTTGTGTTTTTGCAAGTGGAGTTGAATTTGTTAATGCCAACTAGCATGTCCACATCCCATAATAGAAAACGATTAGCTTTGGATTTAATTGGACAATTAGAAGAAGAAGTTGAAATCAATCCTCTAGATAATGTGTCCTGGACCAAGTTGATAAAGCAGGTACTTGCCAAAGATAAAGAAGAACAGGTTCGACTGGTTTTTGAAAAATACTTGTCCATCTTTAAGTTTGATGTATGTATTTAAATCATTAGGATTCATATATTCGACCGATGATTTGACCAAATGGATAATGACAATGATATGATGATGCTACGTTAGTTTTCTTTGACCTTCTCTTTTTTATATATATTTCCTTTCACGACTAATATCTGGAATATTCAAGTTGTGTTTCAATAAATTTTTCAATTCTTTCACTCTTAGATATATAGACCCCGTCAAAATTCAAAATGATTAAGAGCATTTCAAGTTATTACAAGCTTTTTTTGGGAAGATATGTGGATACCCATATACCCAGTATACCTTTTTATATTCTTAATTCTGGTAATCAGATTATCATAGTCAATCAAAATCGGTCAGAATATATAAATCTAAAAAAATTGTTTTGTAAACAATATACTAACAATCATATAGGGTGCTCAATGGTATAATTATATAAATTATGAACTAAATAGAGGTGAATTTCAAAAAGTTCAACAATTATTTCCAAGATGTCTCACAACTACTCCAAACGTTGAATTATGCCGTCTATACGTTTCTTATGTTCGCCGTGTAAATGATGTTATCACCGGTGGTGAAAAAGCTCGTGGTATTGTTATTCAAGCTTTCGAATTTGCAGTAGCTAGAGTTGGTATCGATATAAATAGTAGTGATTTGTGGTTGGATTATATCGAATTTTTAAAATTTTGGACTCCGGCTGCAAGTTGGGAACAACAGCAAAAGGTTGACTTAATCAGAAAAGTTTATAAAAGATGCTTATCAATACCAACTGAAAAAATTGAAACTATGTGGTCAACTTATACAAAATGGGAAAATGATATAAATACTGCTACTGCTAGTAAGTTTATTGCTGAGAAATCAACATCTTTTATGGAAGCAAGATCTTGGAATACAGAATGGCATAATATCACTCAACTGTTGAAAAGGGAGATAATTCCATTTGGTATTACTAATGATAAAGATTCTATGGTTTCTAATCAAATGAAATTATGGTTCAATTGGATAGAATTGGAAAAAGAAAATAAATTAAATTTAAAAGAAGCAGCTTCAGTTCGTCAAAGAATTGAATATGTATATAAACAATCAATCTCTGCTTTACCTTTTGTACCAGAAATCTGGTTTAGATTCAATAAGTTTCTATTGAGTAATAATGAAGAAGCTAATTTATCTAATTGTATCGAACAAACTGAAGAAGCTCTCAAATTAAATGATCATAGTTTTCTTTTATCGTTTCAACTTTCCGAATTATACGAAAAAGATAATAGTTTCAATCAGGCATCAACCACCTTGAATAATTTAATAGATGTTTATATAAAAGATGATAACTTAGTGGTGGAAAAAATTGAAAAAATATTGGAAGAGAAAAAAATAAATCAAGTTTCAAATGGTGATAATGAAGATATGCAAGAATCCACTTTTAATGGCGAAAAGGATAATGACGATGATGATGACGAAGAGGAAAGTGTCAAGAATTCTCAAGCCCAAAAAATTTTAAATAGATTCACAGAAGAAGAATCGGACCACCTTATAGAATTACAAGAGAAACATGAAGAGTTAAGTAAATTGATAACATTAATATATACCAAATTGATGATCATGAGTAAAAGAGCAGAAGGTATGAAGGAATCTCGTACCGTTTTCAAACAGGCTCGTAAAAATTATAAAAGCTTAGGTTATCAATTATTTACCGAACATGCATTAATGGAGTATTATGCTGATAGACAAAAGAATGCTGATAATATTTTTAAACTTGCAATGAAAAATTATAGCACCAATGGTGAATTTTTATTATCCTATTTGAACTATTTGGTATTGACAAATGCAGTTGAAAGTATCAAAGTTTTCTTTGAGAGTGCCGTCACAAATTTACTAAAAGAAATCACTCAAGAAAAAGAGTCTTTAAATAACACTCTTGACTTGTACCAGACCAAATCTAAAACTAAAAATATTGAACAAAATCAATACTACATGAAGAAGATTATTAAGAAGTACGTAAGATTTGCAAGCAACTATCTTGATATTGATACTGTCAAGTCTCTCGAAAATAGATATGAACAATTCTTCCCTGATGATGACCCATTAGAATTATTTGCAGACAGATATAAAAGTGACAGTTTTGATGTTATCAGTAAATATGATCTTGGTAAACAAGTTACTTCAGAAAACGTTGATCCAGACTTGAATAGAGATTCTAAAAGGAGGAAAATAGAATCTTCCCTGGACAATTACACACCAGAAGCAGAATCTTTACCCGTTCACGATGAGATATCACAAAAGCCTGCTGTTGAGGTTAATCAACATGGATTCGTGGGAAACACCGTATATAATTTATTACAGATATTGCCCAATGCTGGCTATTTTGGACCCCCACCAGAGCATGTCTTCAATACTGGTAAGTTGGTCGAATTGTTCAGTAATTTACCTGATATCCCAGATAACTTATAGCTCCTTAATATAAAAGCTCCTTAGTATAGTGGTGAGAGTATTAACTTCACAATCTGTAGATTTGACTTTCGGTTTTTCTTAAAGTGCACAAATCAATGGCTGCAAAAAAAAAAAAAAAATTGAATTAAATTAGCCCAATAAGTACTGACCACAAACTTATACACAGCGAAGATATCATTTGGAGTCAGTAATTAACTGATACTATTGTTTTTGAAATACTGAATAATGGTTACTGGTTTTCTGAAGAAGCTAATGCACAGAGATAACAATAGCAACGGTTACTTCAGCAAAAAGAGACATTTTCAGGATTGGAAAATCAAGTCGAAGAACCAAAGATACTACTTTCTTGCAGTTCCTTTTTCCACATTTCTAATATTTAGTTTTCTCAACTACTTCTATCTTACGGGATTTCGCTATAGCTTCCCGCCAGTAGATATAGTCAATATACTTTCACGTGCAGATGAGTTGCCAGCTCACTCTTACGACAGTATCTATGATAGAAGATTTCGTTTTGATAATAGTTTTTTACTCGAGGTGTTAAAAGATATATATATCTTAAGAGAGACAGAGTACTTGAATCAACAAGACACAATGACAATAACCGTTGAACCCCAAATTATTTGGAACACTGAAAAAATTTCTTTGATTTTAAGAGAGGGTATGTTTGATTTTGCTACTGGAGCAGTTATTAGAGAAGATATCCAAGTCAGTCAAATGATCAGTAAAGCCTTCGGCTCGAATGGGAATCACTTCAATTTGGCTTTCCCATCGAAATTTGACGATATGGCCCAGCATTTCATAAGAAGATTTCTCTATACTTTATTTTATTTTCCTTCGGTTTCCTTAGATACTTATAATATTGACACTTTGATCAGACCGTTCCACTTGACGAGGGTCAGTAATTTTGGAATCCTCGTTCTGACTGCAATTAGCATGGTATCATTTGTGTCTCTTGAGACTTTCCAGACTTTCAAATACATTTTGTGTTTTCATACAGTAAATACCGGGGTTTTTATTGTTAGTGCAATATCATGTCTTTCCTTCCTGTTAATGAAATTAGTATTGGTTTCCTTTATAGACATCAAATTCCCAAATACAAAATATCATATCATGGTTTTTTTAAGTTTATCAGAATTATTTCTATTTTTTTGTGTTTACATTAAATACCTCTTGAAATTTAAAGAAAGACTTAGATCATTGAAAGAAGACTTTGCTATCAAACAAATAATGAAAAGGTTCACACCGTCTCCCGAGAATATTTCAAACTCATCCAGTATCTATCCTCCAAGCACCACTAAGACAAACGAGAAAAATCATGATGCCGATATACCAAATGAAGAGAACGTTTTCACTATAGATAGCGCTGTTAGTCTCGATCCAATGAGAAAGGATTCTGCAGAAGCAGATAGGCTTTTTAGCAATCTGACCATTAGAAGATTTCCAAAGACAGCAAGTGTTATTATGCAACAAACTAAAGAAAGTACTTTTCCTATGGAAAACCATACAGCTCCCCCGTTTGTCATGTCCAAGTCTGATAGCGACCAAGTTGCAAAAACTCAAGGTGTTAATCCGTACTCTACGCCGACATCATTTATACCCCCAGTATTACAGAATCAAAATCAAAAGGCTGCATCTATTTTTACAGAAGAAGATATTCAATAATTATCTATTTTTACAATGTCTATAGATATAGATACGTGATCATTTTTGATTTTATTTACAGGTATGTAGATTACAGCTCCTCTTCGACATAAACACTCACCCTATCCTCTACATCTGGTTTAAAGGGCCATTTATCATAAGCATCTAGTAGCACTCTCAAATCATCAATTGATAATGACCTGACGGTTTTATCAAGAATCTCGCTGGGGATTTTTGGTATGAGATCATCTTTCACACCTGGAGCTATTGCTCCAAACCCTTCTCTAGTGGTTGCTGTAGGTCGATACATTAGCTCTTGTAGCATATAATCAAGTAAAGAAAAATCCAAAATTTCAGGAGCTTTGGGGACTAGTTCTACCATCGCTATGTCATATCGAGGATGGATTGCCTTTGATGGAATCACAACAGGCTGATCCAGAATTAAGCAATTAGGGTCATACGTTTCACCAGTAGCACCAACAACTGCCTCACTCACACCTATCAAACGGGAATCGTTGAACCATTCTCTTTTGATGGCAGTCTTGTTTCTTTTTTTGAATGATTCACCAGACCAGAATCTTACAGCTGTTACCTCAGGAATCAAGAAGACCATCCGAACCCTTCCGTATTTTTGAATCCAGTTCTGATACAAACCACAAGCCATCCACTGAGCCATGAGAGATTCGCTCAGCGAAGTTGTCAAATTTGCAACTATTAATAGTTCGTCATGAACCTTATCTCTTGATATGGTTTTAGGATTTAGAATCTTATTCTTCTCCAAATCTGAATATGTTCCCCATTTGTATCCCGATTGTGGTATGAGTTTGAAATTCTCTGCGTTTCCCGTTGTTTCTAATATATTCAATCTTTCTTTCCATTCTTTCACATAATGGGGGTTGTTTTCGATAAGCAAGTGAGACTTGGGCTTAAGTTTGTGATTAAGCATAGCAGAGAAAAGCCCAAAGTTGGGATATATATCAAGAATTTCTAGGTTGGAAGATGCATTTGGATATTTCGATGGTAAATCAAGCTTGTCTAACAATTGTTGGCATGCCTCAGGATGCGTTATCATTTTGAACCCAATGCTTTTCGCATTGGCTTTTTTGAAAAGCTTGACCAAGTCCGACACTGCAAGACGTCCAGCGGCCATGGTACCACCTCCCATAGCTTAGCGTTTATTTGGTTTATCGGGGTATTACGTACTCATCGATGTCTTCGCAAAAAGACAAAAAAAATTGAGGAGGTAAAAGCTGATTTTGTCGCACTCCATAAGCTGATAAAGAGTTGACTGAAGACTAGGATCATTAATTGAATAGCTATATCTGTGATGTCCGTTAATACACTTCCAATACTTCCAAAGAATGGGAGATCAGAGTTACCATTTGAGTTGGGTATTTCTGAGAAACTCAAATATCGTACTAGTACTGAAAGACAGTCAATGTCTATAAAGCTGGAGAATTCAACTGCTTCAATCAACATAAATGCAAAGGATGGTAGCTTGTATTTGACGAACAAACGACTTGTATTTATAACTGCGAATGAAGGAGATATTGATGTGTTTGCTCTTGAATTGGCGACGGCACCTGCTTTACAATTGTCACATTCCGTTAGATCGCCATGGTTTGGAGCTAATTACTGGGAGTTTCTTATATTCACTAATAGAGAAACTTGTGATGGATTCCCCGATAAATGTTGGTTGAGAGGTATCATCAAGTTCAATGATGGAGGGTTATTTGATTTCGTGCAAGTATTCAATGAAGCCCTTAACGATGTAATGAATAACGCAGATATTGATGAGGAGTTACCCCTGTATTCGGCTTGATGAGTTAATCTAGGAGACATTAATATTTTATATAGTCTAAAATGTAATATAAAGGTATAATAATATTTATGATTAAAAAACTAAAAATACATAGATATATTTATATGATATCATAAGAATAGGACTAGGCTCCAGCGATCAATCTATGCCAAAGGGAGTAGAGTCATCTATTCCTACGCCACTAGAGATTAAAGACCCAGTCATCGAATCGTTTGTGTCTAGGTTATCCAATGGCTGCTCTAAAGGGTGTTTGACGGCGACAGGAGGAATCACTAGAGGCTTGAGACTATAGATTTCATCAAAATCAGTAAAATCAAGTGTTCTTGTTACTTCTTCAGGAGAAGCGTCTGATGATAACTCTCTGTAATGGTTAATAGCCAAACTTTCCAAGATGGTCGCATCCTGATACACAATTGAACCTTCCTCATTGTAAATTCTAGCATTGCTAAACATGAGATGAACATCTTCTAGGAGTTCTCTAATCCCAGTATAAGTTCTAGATGAAATTCTTTTCTTGATAGTATCCAATGCAATAGGGTGTTTGATCAATACATAATAATCAGGGTAATACCTTTTTGATGGTTTAACTAAAAATAAATCACTGAGCCTTCTTCCGTCTTCACCAGTGTGGTTCATTATTAAGTCTAAAATGGATTCCATTCTTGATTGTAAAGATGCTCTTTCTTCTGGGGTCAATGGATCAATAGTTGGGGTAGCACGTTGACCCAAGCCTCGTCCACCACGTCCTTTACCACGTCTTGACCCTCTACCTCTAGTAGGTGGTCCTTTTGGAGTGGATGACCTTTGTCTTTTGGTTGGAACCGGTTCAGAGTAGTCATAGTTGTCGTCATCGAGTAAAGCTTTTCTCTTAGTGGATGCAATTGATTCATTACCTTCATTATTCAGATCCACATCTTGATCAAGGTCATCATCAGCTTTCTTAGTCTTTGGTCTGCCACGAGTACGTTTCGGTTTGTTTTCTTCATCATCACTATCAGAAACAACACCATCAATCTGCTTCAACCATTGTTCTTCGGTCAAATGATCATCATATGTAGCAGTTTTACGCTCTCTGGTACCTCTACCATATTCTTGTATAATTTTTGCATCAGTATTGAGAAGCGATTCCGGATCCTTCTTATAAATTTCTGGCAATTCTGGGTCAGTAAACAACCTACTGGAATAAGATGCTTGTCTCGTTGCTGCAGCTCTTTCTTCATCTAATTTTCTGAAAGTATCCAATTCTCCGTCATTTCTAGCAATGACTTGATTTAACTCGTCATCGTCTAAATCTTCTTCTTCCTCAACGTTACCCTTTTGTCTACGTTCTTCTTCTTTTTCTAACAAAGCTCTCAATAAGGCTTCTTGTTCTTCGGCGGTGGATTTATTATCAAACTTACCTGCTTGAATGACTTTACCATCAATCTCTAATTTAGCGTGAGCTCTTTCTAAAATCATTTCTTCAACGGAATCTTCTGTAATTAATCTTAAGATTCTGACTTCATTCTTTTGACCGATTCTATGGGCTCTATCTTGAGCTTGCAAATCTTGATGTGGATTCCAGTCAGTATCAAAAATAATAACAGTATCCGCTGTTTGTAAATTCAATCCTAAACCACCAGCTCTGGTTGATAATAAGAAACAAAAGTAATCGGAATCTGGAGCATTGAATAATTTCAATAAACCAGTTCTATCATCAGACTTGGTACCACCATCCAATCTCATATATTTCAACCCTCTCAAACGTAAGAAATCTTCCATGATATCCATGATCTGAGTCATTTGAAAGAAGATCAATACTCTATGACCAGTCTGTTTAAATTTGGGTAACACCTTATCTAACAACTCAAACTTACCTGCAACCCTCCAAATTTGGTCATTAGTTTCAACGGTAGGATTGATTAAATTCTCAACTTCTTCGTAAACAAAAGGGTGGTTACAAATCTTTCTTAATTGCATAATTTGATTATTAGCATTTTTGATGGTAACCGGTTTATCACCAGTTCCTGCAAAAAGAATGTTATATTTCAACATTTGTTGATATAACTTAGATTGCAAAGCTGACATCTTACATTTAACAACACGTTCAACTTTATTAGGTAAATCTTTTTCGACATCTTTCTTCAATCTTCTCAAAAGAAAAGGTCTCAAAACTTTATGCAATCTTCTAATAACCAATAATGTTTCTTCTTCACTTAACTCAATCTTATCTTGACCACCGGTATTTGCAAATGGGGTGTTAAACCACTCATCAAAAGACTTTACCGAGTTAAAAATCTTCGGTAAGGCAAAATTTAGCAAGGCCCACAATTCTGGTAAATTATTTTGTAATGGCGTACCAGTTAAAATCAAACGATAATCACTATGGTAATGGTGGGTCAAAGTTTCGGATAATTTGGATTGTGCATTTTTCATACGATGACCTTCATCAATGATCATATGCACCCATTTTACTTTTGATAAAAGATTTCTATCTTTAATAATATATTCAAAAGTAGTTAAAAGAACTTGAAAGTTACCAATTTTGATATCATTTTGCATCACTTTTCTTTGATTAGGAGTACCTTTATAGGTGATCTTTTTGAGACTAGGTGCCCACTTATCAAATTCTATATTCCAATTGGTCAAAGTTGATAATGGAACAATGACCAAGAATGGACCCGAAAGTTTTTTCATCTCAACTAAATAAGTAAGCAATGAAATAGTTTGAATGGTTTTACCTAAACCCATTTCATCTGCTAAAATACCATTTAAATGGTTATTGAATAAAGATACCATCCATTGAAGACCTTTAATCTGGTATTCTTTCAAAGTACCACCGATTAAAATTGAAGGCTGTTTGGTAACTTCTTCTTTTATACGATGAGCAACGTGATAATAATCTGTCTTTTCTCTTCTTTCTTCTTCTGACGCGAATTCAGGTTGTTCTACTTCTTGGAAGCCTCTACCACCTTGAGACATTTTTTCATGAGATTCCTTTTGTTGAGTTTGAACTGCTTGAGCTAAAGAGTCCAAGAATTGATTGGTTTGGTTCAACAAATGCGTAATTCTTGTATCTTTAGTATGATCTAACAATTTCAAATAAGCTTCTTCGTCATTAGATTTTAAAGCTTGCAAACGTTGTTTAGCCATTCTTTCGACCTTCTTTTGTTCTTCTTTGGCTATTTGAGCATGGAAACTATTAATCTTATTACCAAATTTCTCCAATTTTTCCTTTCTTGAAATGATTTTTTCATGACGAGTTGTTTTATGGGATATAATTTTAGAAATAGCACTTTGGTGTCTTTTATTTTGAGCTTGAACCAATGAGAATAATTGTTGCTGATATAAATCTTGAGTTGCTGAAATATTCTCTATTGAAAGGCTATTGAACTTTGCCAAAAAATTAGGATGTGAGTTTGGTAATAACGATTTACTAAACCATATTTGGGACAACACTTTACCCTTCATTATTTTTTGTAATGGTAGTAATTCAAGTTTAGTTAATTCAGCTTCAATACGTTCTTTTTCATCATCACTGACTGATTGTAATTTAGCACGAAGGGCATCCTTTTCGAATTCAATCTCTAACAACAAAAGAGTTTCTTTATTATTCATAATGTTGTTGATATCAAAGCCTTCAGGTAAAACACCAGGGTATTGAACTCTACTTTGAGGAACATAAAATGAATTGAAAGGAATGTCTTTAATGTTTTCACCAACAAACTCAGGAACTTCAAAAGTGTTAACTTGTAAAGATGGCTTACTTATAGGTACAATTACTTTATTATTCTTTTCTTTATCAGGAACAACGTCTTTTATATTTTGGGGAGGAGCCTCCTTCATCACTATTGGCTCAAGAGTGTTTTTATTTGGTATTGACGGAGTTCTCTTTTGATTAGGATTAGAAACAGGGGTTTTAGATTTAGAAGGTCTTTTCCCGGCGGGTAATTTCTTCGAGGGTTCAACTGGAGATTGGGAAGGGAAATTACTTCTTGCTTGTTGTGGTATTCCTTGTTGTTGTTGTTGATTAAACAGCTGCGATTGGGGTTGAGTTGGAGGTTGTTGCATACCAACAACTGGGGACCCTGATGCGTGAGAAGGGGGTTGAGAAGTTGGTTGAGATTGGGAGTTCACGTTTTGGTTATTATAAGCAGTGTCCGGGAAAGCCATTCTTTCATTGGTGGCCATATCAATAACTCCTGGAGGAATTTGATTATAAGAACCATTATTTTTGAACAAATATTTTAAAGCCAGATTTTGGGCTCTGAATAATTGAATTTGCTGAGTAGAAAAGGGACTTTCTGCCGGTGGAACATAATTGAACGAGGAGCTGGTAGGAGTCGAGTTATTTGTTGCACTTGCAAGGTTCGAATTACTTGGGTAATTATGTTGAAACATTTGTTGAGGGGGTTGATTTATAGATGAACCGGTTGGTTGAGGGAAAGGAGCAGTCTGAGGAGAACCATGACTAGGGGCAGGAGATTGTTGAGATAAAACCCCTTGATTACCCTGGGGTGTAGGTATGCCGCTGACATTATTAGGAACATGAGACATTAAATTGACATTGGCATTGCCAATATTTGGAGTCATCATTGAGTTCCCATTGATGTTTGAGTTGTTGTTGGGCACACCACCGTTATTGAGTTGCATCGGAAATTGTTGACCAGACTGCAATTGAGACCCATTTTGATTCAATGGCATTTGTCCCTGTTGTTGGAATTGCTGGGGCGGCTGAACTTGACTTTGACCTTGACCCTGACCCAGTGGTCCCTGTTGTTGTTGTTGCTGTTGCTGTTGCTGTTGCTGTTGCTTTTGTCTAAGGTACTGGGACTGAACGATTCTGATAACCTTACTTATTTGATTGAATTCAGGTATATTAACCGCCTGGTCTCCATACTGGGTTTTTAGCTGCTGCCAGCGCTGGATATATTTCTGGATATCTTCCTTCAGTAGTGGTCTATTCATGGTGGAGTCAAACGATAACTAGCGAACTTGGCAAAGATACCCTTAGATAGATCTTATAACACAGAACTAAGAATAATAGAGTTCTATCTATAATTGTCCTTTTTCAATTCACGTAAGAAGCGTTTGTTTTCCTAAGAGAACGCTTTTTTCCTCAGAGTAAAAATGGAAGAACCAAAAAACCAGAAATTGGTGTCGATAACGGTGTGCGCACTACGGGGGTTAATTTAGCTACACATTTTTTTAATTACTGGGTGTACGGAACTATATTATATATATATGTATATATATGTATACTCTGCAATCACATAGAGTACGTATACTTGAAGGTAAGGATGGGTTCTGCAAGATGGTGGTTCCAAGTAAGGATCTGACAGAAAGCAGCAGCAAACCAAGCGTTCTTTGTTGGAAAATGTACAGTAGATTATCGTGTGATAGGATTTCCGAGTAGAGAGACAACAATATTCAAAGAATAATCTAAAGAGGTCCACACGATACTGAGGAGTGGAGAATGTTATTTGGATGGAGAGAGACTGGAGATAAGATTAGCTTGGTTTCCATAATTTTCCGGAACCTCTGGGAGCATAATTGATTGCATCGAATTTTTCTTTCTTGACATATTCACCACCATAAGTATCACTAGTAGAAACCACCCCTTCAATTTTGGTAGAGGGTCTATCGTATCTGTCTTTTCCTTTGCCTTTGGCTTTTGACCAGTGATCTTTACTTTTACGGCCTTTACCAGGAGGAAGAGATTTTTCCTTTTTCATGGTAGTATAGGAGTATTGAGTGGTATCAATGGTGTTATGTAAAATTCCTGATTCTGGGTCATCATTCAAATGATCGTAATCGGAGTTGAAGTTATAACGAGGATCATATAATCTAAAATGATTGATATCATGAGATTGGAAAATAAGTAATTCTGCTTCATTAACATTTAAACAATCAATGGCAAAACTTTTAGCCCAAACTTTAGTTATTGGATCTTCGGTAACTAGCTTCCACTGTTCTAAAGCGGAAGTAGAATCATGTAATGGATTTACGGACTTACCATCAATGAATCTTTTATAAATACAAGATTTGATTAAATACCTTAATCTAACTGGCATTTCAGCTTCGTCTTCACTTCTTGCAATGGCATCTTGATACGATTGGGAATTTTCGTATTGAATATCGTTCAACTTATTATTTTTGAAACTCAAAGTTGAGCCAAAATTCTCCGATAATTCGTCATAAGGATTATTATTAGCTTCAGAATGTTGACCAATTAAGTTAGAGTCAAATTTGGTTTTGAAATTAGGGAATTCTTTGACTTTAGGATTATGAATCTTGTACTTTAAGCACTCATTCCAACTTGGATAACTATTATTAATTGTTTCAATCGTAAGATTATAAACTATCGGGTTCTTAAAATTATGACCATCATCTTCTGCATTAATATCTGATTCAAAAACTCGGTCAATAAATCTAATGGCTTCTCTGGCATTGGTTGCCATCATGGAAGTACCCTTTTTAGCAAAGTCAAATTCATGCAAAGTATAAGAAGGAATAAATATATTTAAGTAAACTTTTTCATTCTTGGTAAAAGATTTATAATTTGATTCAACATATTGTTGATTAAACCATCTTTTGACGTTACCAATTCCTCTAACAAATGCAGAATGATCTAAAATCAAATTAATTATACGTTTATCTTCAGACTGACCATTTTCGGCTTTCTCATTTATACTGGCGTTGGTCTGGAAACTCTTTGAATAATCAACTAATTCATCGAGATGATGGTTTTGTCGGTCATCTTCATCAACTAATTGTTTAGGTGGCATCCCAAGTGCTTCAAACTGTCAACAGGTCGGTCCTGATTCATAAATTGATAGATGGTTGGGACTCCCAAAGACGAAAAAAAAAAAAAAAACTAAAAAAAAAAAACAGAGAAATGACAGACAATAAGCAGAAAATACCAGAAGCCCATATACTCTCTATTTACTTGTACACCATCTGCCTGAGACACATAGCTTCACTGTGGGTCCCGAAACACAGCATGCTACAATTACGAGCGGGTGGGAACCTCGAGTCGAAGCAGAGGTCGAAGCAAGTACGAAAGACTACACGATCTACGCTAGAGAAAATATAAACCTCAGGCCGATTCTTAATTTTATAGTGCTTAAACACATCTAAATAGTTAGTATATGGGACAGACGAATAGTCACGCAGAAGGATGAGAGACTCCATTCCATTCATTCACCAGTTGAAACTCAACCGGGTGAATGAATCATCAGATAGGTGTCAAGGGTTGTATTCATTGAGCTGAAAAGCTCTAACATTAGAGATGCCAGAAAAAACATATATTGAAAACAAAACTTCGTCATGATGGAATCAGAAGAATCAAATCCTTCATTGCGTGTGGTTAATTGTTAAACATACTCTTGTGTGTTCGTTGAAGAAGAAGTAGAGAAAAGTTTTTTTAAAAGAAAAAAAAAACTCCATCGAATTTATACAATTTTTTCATTTGGCGGGTGACCGGTGCACGACTACGTTTTAGGGTTAAATTGGCTGTGAAAAACATGTATATTCATTTATTCATAAATCGTGAGTAGGCAATTATTGGAAGGAAAAGAAATGGGTTTCACTTTTGGAGGAGCTGATACCTCTGAAGCTTTCGTCGTCATTTATACTATCATCAGTATAATATTGAGCCAGAGAAGTTCGATTTGAATCAATTTCATCGGCTGGGGTCCCCGATTCTAACAAGTATATAATTTCTTTTAAACCAATTAGCTTGGTGTGAAGTTTGGCAATGTCTGCATTCAATTCATCTTGCTTTTCAATTAACGCCTTTTTCCATTCTTTGAACCGATTTTCTTGTTTAGACACCACGATTGCAAAAACATCTTTTAATTGTTTTTGTTTTAAATCTAAAATTGGATCAATTTCATTAATTTTCCGTTGATAACTTTGATAATTTAACTGATGATATTTCAAATATTGGTGTAGGCCATCTTCATTTTCATTAATTGGTAAATTTAAAATTTTCAATCGATTATTAAAACAATTCGAACGATGGGATTCATAATAATACTCGGTTGATTCAATAAAATCCAACATATTCTCAGTAATTAAAAGATTACGAAGTGAAGCGAAATCACAATGATCTGAGTTTTCAATTTCAATGATTCCATAATCATATTTTCTAATTAATTGATTCTTCTCGTTTGAATTAATAATGGCATATGGAATTTGAGAAGTTAATTTAGATTTGAGCGATTGATCCAAGATGAATTTACCAATTTCAATATTATTTTCAATCAATTGGTTTTTAATAATTTTTTTAAAATTATTCAACTCTTCATATGTTAAACAATCACTTTTACCAATGACTGGTATTAAATTGATTTTCTCATTCAATTCCTTCATACTTATTATATCAAGAGGCAGTAATGCATGATTTGAAGGATAAATCACATAAATACAAACATGAACTCTTGAATCAACCAACTGGTTTCGTTCTGGTTGTTCTTCTTGGAAAGCATAAAAATTAAATTGTTGTTCTATATAATTAATAAGTGGAATCCAAGAACATTGATTATCGATTGATTCTCCAAAGCCAGGAGTTTCAATAACATTTAATTCCAATGGAACTCCGTCCTCGATTAATTCAATATTCAGAATTTTTAATGAAGTTAAAGGATTGGTTAAACCCAAAGACGAATCGTCATTTGAATTAATGCTGGATAACGATTCAACTGGAGCCAAATCGGAATTAAACAAAGTGTTAATAAAACTAGTTTTACCACAATTAAACGCACCAGTAACCATTAAAGAAAAATGACCACCATTACGATGAATAAACTTTTCACGTTGTGGGGCAAGATATGAAAGACCAACATTTTTAGTTGATTGTTCAAACAGAAAACAACAAGGACGATGAGGTGATGAAGAATCCAGTGTTGCTAAAGCATCGTTATTTTCTAAGCACATGGCCAGTTTTTGTAAATCATTGTTATACCTGGTTTCACTAGCAGTTAATTTTTCCAAAGCATTCACAAGATGACCCGAGTCAATATCTTGTTGTTTCTCGAAGGAATACTCAAACTCAAATTCATCGTAGGTCCTCTCAACGTCATTGTACTCATCAGGGCCAAAATCCTCAGTTTCTTCAATTGCCTTATCCCATTGGTAGTTTAAGGTTGGGCCGTTAGAAACTACTTTGGAGGCTGGGGGGAGGGCTGCAGACTCCATTGAAGAGCAATGTTCAAGGAGGTGGCTAATCCTGTCGGGGTATAATAAGAGTTTGCAGATACTTTCACTTGTATTCAACTATAAGAGACAATAGGTATATTCTCTAACAAAAACCAACACCTATTGCTACCAGCTCATACAAATTGTTAGACAATTGGCTCTCTTGGGACAATCGACTTGTATCTCGCTCTGGTACGTCTCTTGTATGCTCCTCTTGTGAAAGGTCTTAGAATTGGTATAGTAAATCCACAAACCAAAGACCCTGAAGGAAAGATTGCAAAAAGACCAAAAAAAAAACGGTAGTGCAACCGGCCAAATCAGTCGCAAAAGCTCATCATTAAACCATGTATTACTGCTATCGGTAATGCTAACTTAAACTTAATCAAAGCATATGGCGATGAACTAAAGGCTTATTGTTGCCGGCGTCACCACAGCGTGACAACAATACAATGAAGTCATCCCTCTGTGTATTGTTAGAGGATGGAGGCCCGCAGGGCCCTCGAGGCTCGAGACCCAAAGCAGAACCAGGGCATTGTTGGTTTGATTAGATGGTAATTAAGGAATCTCATTGTGATTTTGATTTGCTTATTATTGATACCAACTGATCCAATTAGCCAGCAAAGGGTCTTGGTTACCCATCCACGTTGTACTAACGTATCGAACGAAACAGTAGTGTTTTTTCCTACCTACTTTTACTACTTGACATAGTTGACTTGCCATATGCCCAGTCGTACACTTGTCTTGTCATAGATTCAACTTGTCATATACTTGACATGTCGTATACTTGACATCCCATGCTTACACCTTATTTCCTAAAAGCATTAAGGTATACCCATTGGGACTGGTTGTAAACAATAATGTCTTAGTTCAAACACTAACAAAACAAAAAAAAAAAAAGAAATTGAGTGAAAAATTGCAATTTACCATTTTTGGATCAAACAAAAACACCAAATCTCGATGCAATACTCTCTTTATTGAACTTTGTCTATCAACAGAATTAAGGATTGTTGATCGAAAGGCTGGACCTTCGTCCAGGGTGTGGAATGGTCTAGAGGTGGAGTGGAAGATGGGTTGTAGTCAACTTGGGTAATCTCATTGGCCACTAGAAGCCGAGTAAGTACAGTAAAGCTAGCAAGATTTCAAGTAGAGCTTGTCTCGTAGTTCATCCCTATGTCATTTCATTGTAGTTAGTTGGTTTTGTTCCCATCTGTGCCCTTGTTTACCGCCTCCATTATTTCCTATTTTTAATATTAATTAGTCTTTCTTTCTTTTCTTTTCTTTTTTTACAATTTTTTTTTAATTCTTCAATTACTTTTCCTTTCATTTTGAAGAAATTGACCTGGTTTGATTGTTCTATCTTATTCTTCCCGTGGTGTTAGTTGCTCGAGGTTTCTCTGTCTATTATCTTCCAACTGTTGGTTTAACCAGGTGCTTGTGTTGCATAAAGTAATTGACGTCTATTAATTCCTTCTTGTCTGGTGGTTAACTTTGTTCCTTTTTACTTATTTGCTAAAGACAAAGAATTTCTGCAAAACAAAGGTGAACAATCCTATTTCCAAACTTCCAGCATTACAACCTATTATAAGAAATTAAACAAATAAAAAGAAGATGGATTCTTCTAAATTAATAAAATCTTTTGATGATCTTTCATTAGAAAATCATCTTCCATATCCAATTGAAAGAAGAGCACGATCATCCTCCCCAGTTAAAAACCGTCGTCCATTGCCTCTAACTGACCCTAACTTCTTTGATATGAGAATTCCTTCGGTACCTTTTGCAAGTCTGGACGACATTCATCTGTTGGCAACGAATAACTCGGGGGTTTCATTTTCTCAACTGCAAATTAAATCATTATCAAATTCTCCAATTTCGAAAAGATTACATATAAATAGTCATTCAAAGGATTATGTCATTCCAATTCCTTTCACTTTACAATTACCTCCTAAATTAAGCCCAAAAAATAAACCAATTGCTTCTTCTACAGTTGCTACTCCTCAAGGTTCGCCTACTCCTTCAAGATCAGGTGGTTCAAAATCTTTAGGTGCTACTCCTAACAATCAAAACAAAATTAGCAAAGGTTCAAGATTGGTTTATACTGGTAATGGTTATGAAAAAATTGATCTGTCTGATGAAGAAGATTTAGAAATTGATGATTTCCCTCCAATTCAAAATGCAAATCGTAAACCTCCTCCAGTAACTAAAAATAAGAGAAAATCTTCAAAACTCAATATACAAAAACAATTCATGTCACACGATGAATTAAGTATCATTGAAGAGGCTTCTAATAGTGGTAGTTCAAGAGCTTCGAGTATTAAATCAAAACTAGAAAAAGAATTACCTCCAGATCCATCTTTAAATAAAAATTCGCACCTTATTTCAAAATCATTAAATACTGCAAATATTAATATTTCAAAAATTAACTTACCAACAGACGAAAGTTTCGTAAAAGAAGTTCCTAGGTTAAATGTGGAATCTCATCATCCCCCTCATTGTTATCCTTCAGGAAACTTGTCGCTGTCATCTCAACCTAACATTAAACAACCGATTTCAAATCAATTAAAGAAACTGTCTTTACAACTGTCACAAGAACAAGAAGAACAACAACAACAACGAAAAAATAAACAAAAACATGTTAAACCAGCCTCCCCCCCTAGACCTGTTAACGTCAATTTTATTGCACCACTGCCTCATAGAAATGATACTGAAAAAACTCATGAAGCTCATCCTTTAATCTTAAATCCAAATATTACCAAATCAAAAGTTCCAAGACCAACGGCTAATTTACTTAGTAAATCAGATTTGCCAAATAATTTGATTATGAATCAACGTTTTCCTCCAAATCAAAATAAAGCAAATCATGCTATTCAATATGGCCAAATTCCAAATCAAAGTAAAGATAATGTATTAAAAATATATAAAAGAAGTTTCAGTGATGAATCTCATGTTTCATCAGTAAGTTCTTTCAGTTCAGTTGGTGATTTCATGAACTTTAGTAATAATCCTTCTTTAAGAAGTACTAAGAATATAAATACAAATATCCCAATGGTATCAACCACTATTACAAATATCGAATCTCCTTCAGTGAAGAATACTGATAAAACTTCACAAGAGAAACCAAAAATTGAAGAATTAAATAGAAATAACTCTAAAGCTTCAGCTAAGTCTACTCTGTCATCTTCTACTGAAAGCTCTTGGAACTCTCTTCAAAAAAGTATCGATATCAGTATTGAAGATTCTCTTAATTCTCCAGCAACTGGTGAATTCGATTTTGCATCCAAAATTAATTCAAAAGAATTGCCTCCTTTGCCCGAATTGAATACTGAAATTGAAAAAGTTGAAACTGCTCCATTAAGAATATCAAGAAATGCTACTAGAGAACCTTCCAGAGAAGTATCTCCAGCAAAATCAAGAAAAAATCGCCCTACTCCTCCTCCTCTTCAAGATGAAATCGAACAATCATTAGCCAAATTATCAAATAAAAGTAAATCATTAAATGAGAAATCTAATACTCCTCCTTTTAAAGAAAAAGATAATAATGGTGCAGGTAAACGCTTTAGTTTCCCTAATAATAGTCAAAATATAACAAATAGTAGGGAAATGAGAAGCAGACAATTATCAAGTAATTCAATGAAAAGTCATAGATCAAGATTTAGTCATATGTCCCAATCAACTGGTCAAATTGAAATTCCTGATTTATCTAATAAATCAGTGGCAGATTCATACTCTACAAGAAGATCTACTTCATCTTTCAATGGTACAACATTCGACGATTTACCTTCTGAATCTGGATTTTCCTCGGAAACTTCAGCATCTATAGGTAGTCAAATGTCAAACGGTAAATTAGAACCAATTGGTGTTCCTACTAGAGCCTCTCAAGAAATTATAAAAGAGCAATTTAAAATGATGCATGGTGATGATGTTACTGATAGTGATAGCGATGATATCTTTATCCCTGCCATGAAATCAAAGTCATCACCAAATATTAAACAGTTGAATGAAGCCTTTGATAAGGATCCTATTGATTATTCAAATAGACGAATTCTGGAGCCACCATCTCAAGTCAATGAAAAAGGTAATAGGCCAAGATCTTCTTCTTCTTCTCCAGTTAGACACAGAAGAAACAAATCAATGTATGGAATTGACTTCCAAAATAATGATTTACCAGTATCACCAACTAGAATACATTCTAGATCGAAATCCACTTCTCTGGTTAAATCAAAACCTGGTATACAGAAACAAACTCGTAAACAATCGAGCAAAGAACAGATTAAGGATTTACCCTCTAACATGGACATTGTAATTAATGAACCTCCTAGACCAGTCAGTTATGAAGTCGATTTCATAGAAGCAAAATCACAGGTTGATGACTTCCCAGACAATGTGTCAAACACTCCAACTGTCAATGAGATATACAAAACACCAAATGTTACTTTTGAAAACCTTCCAAACTCGAAAGATATTTCAAATGAAATAAACAGACAAAAACAACTGAAAGCTAAGCCTAATCAAATTCAATTTAAAGGATTGAAAAAGAAATCAGGTTCAGTCTATTCAAAAAGTAGCAGTCAGAGTACTAACTCGGAAGTGGATAGTATTACTATTGATCTAACTGAAGAAAACGTTGATGTTTGTATGATTCAAAGAAATGATTCTAAACTCTCATACAGGTCAATCACTGAGAAGAAGGATGGTAAAGACGTTGAGGTGGTCTTGGTAGAAGAAAACGAATCAGAAAATTCATCTAGAGACGACTTGTCTAGTATTTATTCAAAATATCAAACAGACTGGGTATCTAGATCAAATTCCATGTTGTCAACTTCTTCATCGGGTTCATATGCAAGTGCAGCATCATTCGAAAGTGGAGTGTCATCAGAAGCTCAATTACAACTTAAAGAAAGACCCAATACGATCGAAATATACAAACAGATGCAAGCCATTAGGGGAATGGGAAGATCGCCAATAGAAAATTTGAGTCAAGCGAGAAAAGGGCAATCGATTAACTCACATACTTCTGGTAGATCTAATAACAGTGTCAACTATCATTCAAAAAGAATTCAACCTCCAAAACCAACCAAGAATGTTAATTTTACTAATTCAAAAAGTCAACCAAATTTATATTCAAACTTGAATATATTCAATTCACCTCAAAATTCACGAGAATCAAACTATTTTGATTATACTACATCTGAAAATTATGATTTCAATACTTTCATGAAACAAAGAGCAGTGTCAAAGCCTACCTAATCCTTTGCAATATTTAATACTTTTGTTTTTAATTCATCTTCCTTTAATTCTTTCGTTCTCATACATTCACTTTTTCTGTCAAAATGTTTTTTCGCTTTTTAATTTTTTCTTCTTCATTTACTTTGTATTTTTACAACTTTTAAGGTCAAATTTACCAAAAATATATAGATAATTAATGTATAAAAAATCAGACTTTTTGAATTACAGACTTTTTGAATAACAATCATATAATACAAAGTATACTTCAAGTTTATTTTAAACGAGGACTATCAGTTTCGGTAATAGTTCCTAAATTTCTAAGATTTATATCTCCATTCATTGAAGACGAAGGAGTTGATTTGAAAGATGGTAAAGTCTTAGTGTCGTCGTCTTCATCTTCGGAGTCTTCTTCATTCAATGATCCAAATGAAAGAAGTGACCTACCAGAAGGAGCACGGCTTATGCTTCTTGAGCTGTTTAACTCATTATTGGATTTTGTACTATTACTTCTGTAAAAAGTAACGGTTTTATTTAAAGTTTCAATTTTATTTGTGGAAAAATTATTCATATCAATGACTGCCTTCATTGGTTTATTCTTGTATGATTTTGACCTATAGAATCCACCCAAGTTTTGTTGCTGTTCTCTTTCGTGTTGTAAATTCTCATGTTCTTCAAAATCAAAATCCTCCGGCATTTGATTAACTTCATCTAATAAGTCTTGATCAAAATGATAATTTTCTGGTTCTTCATTATCGGAGGAAGAGCTTTTTACTGAATTTGAGTCTAAAGTCTTGAAAGTTAATTTTTCATCATTGCTAAACCAGGAATATCTTTTTGAATTATTTTTATTATTTTCATTTAATTTAGTTAAAAGCGTTTTCTTTTTAGGTTTATCATTAAGACAGTTTAATTCATTATCTTGATCGATTTTTGATAATGTATTCATCATATTTGTAATTGATTTTCGTTTTGTATTTGAGTCCACATTTGAATTCTCGAGTAATGATAAGCTATTCATCATATCAATAATTGATTTTCTGTTTTGTTTAACTTTTTTTTCATCATGATCATTTTTTTCAATATTCGATTCCATATTTGATAAGAAATCCATCATACCAATAACCGAAGATCTTTTGGTTTTGTTTCTTTCTTTATTATTGTCTTTTGGGTTATCAAAATTTTCATCTATTTCGTTATTCAATTCTAATGATCCCAATAGATCCATCATTTCATTGATTGACAGTCTAGCCGTCACTTTATCAAAGGTCGTATCTGATGAAATGGTTGAATTTGTAATTGACGATTCGACTGATTTCTCATTTGACAGAGAAATACCCAATCCAATATCATTGCTAGGCTCATTCAATTTAAAGTCAAAATTTTCCATATTTGAAATTTTGTTTGGGATTTCAGTGTTTAAGTTTTCGTCTAAGGAACTATGGAAGCTTTTCAAGATTCTTTTGGACATGATTTCCTTATCGTTTATATTTAGAACATCATCGCGAGGATTTTGATTAGATTTAGGAGTGTATCTCATTGTCGAACCGAATGTCAAACCACTAATTATTGGAGAATTTAGATCATATAATTGTAAATTATTATTTTGGTCATTATTCAAATCTGGAGTTTCGAAATTTGATTGAGATAACGAAGGAGAATTACTGAATTCCAAATAATTTTCCAAGATGTCCACCTCATTAACTTCTGAATTAGATGAAGATTGAGGTTCCTCCTTTACAGGGTTTAAATCTTGGATTGATAAATGATATGAGTGATGGTAAGGTTGATAATTTTTCAATTGTTCTTTTACATCTGGATCCAATTCGAATTTTGGTTGAATCAATGTTTCTTCTTGTTCTTCATTATAATCATCGTCTATGATTTCATCTTCAAAAGTATCCTGTTTATACTCGTTATTTGCATTTAAGTCATCATAAGCATTTTCATTTAAGTCATCATAAGCATTTTCATTCAAGTCATCATAAGCATTTTCATTCAAGTCATCATAAGCATTATCATAATCACTTATTTCATTGAGTTGATCATACTCATCTTGCTCATCATAATCCAACCCATTGTCATCATAGTCATTTAGACCATTGTCGTAGTCATCATCATTATTGTTAAAGACGAAATCATCTTTGCCCGATGATACATCATCATTTAGATTGTTAACATTTTCAAAGCTATTATCATTGTTAAAGATGGAATCGTCTTTTCCCGAGGATACATCATCATTTATATTATTAACATTTTCAAAGCTATTATCATCATCAAAAATATTTTTTTCGAAATTTTGATCTTCAAAATCGTCAAAATCATCCAACCCATTATTTTCATAATCATAATTACTAAATTCATCAATTTCATAACCCAAATCGTGTTCATTGAAATCATTTTTTGATTTTTTCGTTTTATAATATTTTACCGAAGTATTTCTACCTCCTCTTCGATCTTTGATAAAAGAGAATTGAGAATCATCTGAATCGGATTCATAGTACTCATAATCAGACTCGGTCAGATTTTGTGTATCATCAGCTTGGGGTTGTTCTTGTAGATTTGATGGTTGTGCTTCTAAAGACTGTTGAGGTGGCGGTGGAGGTGGGTTTGACGGAGGTTGCAGGATGTCAGGTTTCCCTTTGAAAGAGACTTGTTTTTCATCTTTGGAGCTTTCTTTAAATGAAACTTGTTTTTTAATCAGAGAATTCAAGGATACTTGTTTAGGAAGTTGAATGGGTATTATTGGAGAAGAAGAGCTTCTCGGCTGTTTACTCATGAAAACAGGCGGAGGTGCTAATGCATTTTTACTAGCTATTGAAGTATTCAATTTAACCAATGGGGTTTTCCCAGCATCATTTGTCAAGTCAGAGATGTTTGATATCGAATGGTTTTCTCGTTTATGGCCAAACTTATTTGTCGAAGATGTCCCTGGCTTACCATGGCTATTGGAAAACAAATTCTTAATGGGGGTCAATAGTTTTTTGGGACTACTGATTGAAGATGAATAAGTTTGTGGAGGAGTTAATTGAGATGACTGATTAATAACTGGCGATTGGATGGGAGTATTACTGTCAAACGGGTATCCGTAATCACTCAAGCTTTCCTGCGATGTTAAAGACTCATTTTTCCGGTGACTCTTGATGAAAGACCGCATTCTATCTGCTTGGTAAGTATGATATTGCTCGATACTTCTCGATACTTATACCTTCAATCAAAGCTGGATTATGGGGGGATGTTTAAAAATATTTGGTGCACGGGTGTTTACTTTTTTTGGTGCACGGACCCATAAACCCACAAATCACGTGCGTAAATTATAAAAAAATTTTTTTAACTTAAATCTTCTTCTCGAATGGTGTACGGGAGAGAATAACGTCAATTAATTAAATGCCTTAAGCTGTTGTTACAACGCAGAACGCCAAACCCAGCCAATGACACATGAAGTAACGTCATGTCATTTCTGGCGAAAGGAAAATAGTCCAATTGCAAACCCCGAGCAACAGGGCATTCGTAACTGATGCCGTATTCGGTTTTACAATTGGATTCCCCAAAAGCTCATTTGGTGATGCGATACGAGACAGAAAAATTATCTGATGCATCTAAAAAAATTTTTTCTCCTTTGTGCCCTTATTTTTTCTTTTTTTCGGTTTATTTTAAGGCAAATTTCAGTTAAAGCTATACTTTTCTTTTGTCAAGCTAGTATATCCCCAGGAATATATTTAAACCAGTCCAATTCCCGATTATTTTCAGCAGTGTCCTTTTGGCAGCAGGACTTACATTCTTTTTTTCAATTTGAATTAGCAGGATGTCTTCAGAAAATAAGACCGCATCTATTGCTAGTAATGATAAATTAGCAGCTAGTGAAAAGGACTTTAGTGAACAGCATTACTCAGACGATGAGACTTTGATTGAAACCAAATCCATTGGGGTTGAAAAAGCCGAAATATTGGCTAAGCAATATGAAGCATGGTATTACAAGGTCATCTTATTAATAAGTGCCTTTTTAGTTGGTTATGCTTATGGGTTAGATGGTCAAGTTCGAGGAGTCTTAACTGGGTATGCTACGGATTCGTATCTGGCGCATTCTTTATTATCAACCATTAGTGTTATTACTGCTTTTGTTGGTGCTGGATTCCAACCGGTTTATGCTAGGTTAGCTGATTTATTTGGGAGATTGGAGCTTTTCATTGTTTCAATTCTCTTTTATGTCGTTGGTACCATTATTGAATGTCAAGCAGTTGATGTTCAAAAATATGCTGCAGGGTCTATTTTTTACCAAATTGGATACACTGGGGCAATTATAGTTGTTCTTTTCATTGTATCTGATTTCTCTAGTTTGAAATGGAGATTATTCTATTCATTTGTACCGGCCTTCCCATTCATTATTAATACATGGATTTCCGGTAATGTGGTTAGTGCAGTTGGAATGAATTGGAAATGGGGGATTGGGATGTGGGCTTTTATTTACCCCTTAGCTTGTATTCCTTTGGTTTGTTGTATGATTCATATGAGAATTAAAGCTGGGAAAACTGAAGAATGGAAGGCTTTCAAACAACGTAAAACTAAATTTCAAGAATTGGGATTTAAAGGTTTTGCTAAATATATTTTTTGGAATTTAGATATCATTGGTTTACTTTTATTTTTAGTTGGTATTGGTTGTCTTTTAATTCCTTTCACTTTAGCTTCTTCTGTCACCACTGCCGGTCAACTTCACTCAAAGTGGAAAAGTGGTTCTATTCTTGCTCCAATTGTAGTTGGTGTTTTCTTACTCCCCGTTTTCCTTATTTGGGAAGGTAGATTTGCTAAAAATCCATTAATCCCAGTGTTTTTATTAAAAGATCGTGGTATTTGGTCTGCTTCTATCATTGCTTTCCTTCTCAATTGTATTAGTTCAATCGAATCAAATTTCATTTATGCAGTTTTACTTATTGCTATTAATGAAAGTAGCACTTCTGCTACTAGAATCTCTAGTTTAGCTTCTTTTGTTTCAACCCTTGCTGGTATATTTGTTGGTCTTTTCATGGTTTATTTCCGTAGATTGAAAGGCTTGATTATAACCGGGTGTTGTCTTTGGTTGGTGGCTTTTGGTCTCTTATACCATTTCAGGGCTGGTGAAAGTTCTCATTCCGGTATTATTGGTGGGTTTGTTGTGTTGGGGTTGGGTACTGTTTGTTTCACCTATCCAATTGTTGTTAGTGTTCAAACATGTGTAAGCCATGAACATATGGCCATTGCAGTTTCATTTATTTATACTTTATACCGTATTGGTGCTTCCTTTGGTTCTGCCATTGCTGGTGCTATTTGGACCCAAACTTTATTCAAAGAAATTGTCAAACATGGAGTTTCTTTATCTACTGCAACCTTTGCATATCAACAACCTTATCAATTCGTTGCGCAAAATCCTTGGGGTACTAAAACAAGAGAAGGGGTTGTAGCTGGTTATAAATACGTTCAAAGAATCTTCATGATTGTTTGTTTAGTGTTATGTGTTCCAATGATTTTAGCCACTTTCTTATTAAGAGATCATAAATTAACTAATGATCAATCTCTTGAACAAGTCGAAGAAGAACAACAACACGAATCTCTTTCTGACTTCATCAGAAATGCTTTGAAAGGTGGTAAACCCAAAGAAGCGAAAAATAAAGAATCCACCCAAGTTTCTAACGTTTAATCTTTTAATATCTCTTTAATTCTTGTATATTCAATTCTGTATACTTTTTAATACTATTTTGCAACCGTATGTGCATTCCACTAAGTCCGCCGCTTTTCATTTGACCGCTCGTCCACCGTCAACTTCATAGCATCTACAATGCATCCTGCCAATATACTATCAGACTACATCCCGTCACATACCATAATTGCAGTAATAACCATAATCAAACCAATAGACTGGTACACGCACACACCCGTCTCATAAAAGAAATGCAACCGGTTTCGTTTTCATTAGGGCTGCTGCCCTCGCGCACCGCTCTCCGCACGTGATCCTTTTTTTTCTCCCATCCACTCTTCAAGAGAATGCGAGCGCATCCCACTCTTAACTATGGTGCACCACCAAAAACCCACTGAAAAAGTTTTATGGAAAAACTTGGGAGTGGAAAAAAAAAAAAAAAAGGAAAAAAATTCACTTACTCTGGTTTTTGAAAGTTATTGTATATACTTAAATTCTCCTTTTTGAATACCTTTACATACAAAGTATAGTTCAGTATCCATCATGTTGATTCCAAGAGAAGAAAGAAAAAAGATCCACCAATACCTCTTCCAAGGTATGTACCGTTGAGTCTGGAAGAATCATTTTTCGACAAGTGATGATTGATGATGAAAATTTTTGAATAAGAGATGAATAGGATGAAGACGTTGATATTTGATGTAAGAAGCAGTCCGAGGCAGTCGCCAGTGACCCCAGCTACAAGCAAATGAAGACTAGATGTGATAATATCGTATCATCACTTGGAGGAAATGAAAAATATAAAACCTATATACTAACGCATTCTATAGAAGGTGTTGTTGTCGCCAAAAAAGATTACGATCAACCAAAACACGATGAAATTGACACCAAAAACTTGTTTGTCATCAAAGCTTTACAATCCTTAACTTCTAAAGGTTACGTTAAAACTCAATTTTCATGGCAATATTACTACTACACCTTAACTGATGAAGGTGTTGAATACTTAAGAAATGAATTAAGTATCCCAGAAGGTATCTTACCAGTCACCAGATTAATGGGTGCTCCAGCTGAAAGACCAAGATTCCAAAGAGGTCCAAGAAGAAACGATGGTGGTTACAGAAGAAGAGCTCGTGATTAAATTAATTAGCTAAAAGGAAGATAATCTATCATTATGAAAAGAAAGACTTGTTTTTATTATAAAATATGTTTCATTATTAGTTTCTTTTGTTAATTTATGAGTTTTCCCCCCTATAGGTCTTTTTTTTTCTACCAATTAATTTAATTATTGTGCTTTATATATAAAATAAAAAATATTACTATTATACTAGTTGTAGATGGTTGTAAGTCCGCCCGTGCACCAGCGCAGCAAAGCTAAAATGGACAGACTGATTGCGGAGTCTGGGAGTTTGGAAGAACCAAGCATGAATGAAGAACATCCAGACGATGATCCGTTTGAGCTTAAAGAGTTGGCTGTCAACTATGATTATCTAATCTATAAAATCAATGACACTATAGCCACGCTATCTGAAAAAACGTTTCAATCGATAAATAATAAGAATAAATTGATAAATGAAAGTTATTTAAATGATCAATTACAACTAAATGAAGAATTACAAGATATAGATAAACTAATTACTCAATCAAAAGATCTTGAAATGACGTTCATGAAACTAGATCAATTGAATCTCTTTGTTGAAGATTTCAAATCAAGAATAAGCTATTTAGAAGATGAATTCGATAAACTTTGAACGAAAAATTATACTACTTGACCTTCATTCTCAGATCTAGGCGGTAGATCAGGTTTATTCTTTTTGGTATGCGTCTCCTTCTCATAGGTTTGCTTCAATTCTCTTTCGGCTAAGTTTTGGGCTTCTCCCAGTTTAATCTTTATCCCTAGCTTCTTACTATATTTCTCCATTAGATATTTTTCTAGCAATATAAAATTTCTCGAGTTACATTTAAAGGCAATATTACAAAAATCACCAACTATTGGTATTAAACCAATTCCAAAATCAAATGCAACATTCATCATCATTTTCAGTCTAATCGAGGCCGGTAATCCTCCGTCAATTTGTTCAGCTTTTTTAATCAATTGTAATGCAAATGCAACTGCAATCAAATCCCCAATTCCGGGTATTAACCCAATAATACCGGCCCATCCTAATCGAAATCCACATATACTCAATTGTAAATCTAATCTATATGCTTTTCTCTTTACACTTTCTAAAATTTTCAAATCTTTAGAATCAATAAAATCAGGTAATCTTCTCTTTCTTCTAGCTCCCTTTCTTTGATAGAAATGTAACTCATTTTCCGGTATCTCTTCAAAATATGGATCGTCCTCGGGTCCTACTTGAACCACATGATCTAAGTTGGTCTATACTCGTTAGTTATCAATCCCCAAATACATTGGTTGCGTAAATACATTGGTTGCGTCTCAACATACTTTTTTCAAAAAATACTGGTACAATAACTGTGACATATTACTCGATAATGATCTTTTATTCTCCAGTCCTTCGTCTTTCAATCCTATCGGATAACCGAGATCTTATAAGAAGAAGTCATTCCTACAATTCCAGCCAAATTCCCTTGCTGTTTTGAAATTTGGTGTACTTTCGTTTTTTTTTTTTTTGCTTTGTTAGCGTGGTTTGTTTGTTTGTCTCACTGTTGAAATTGCTCGATGGAGTCACTGATTTAGACGGCTGAGGCTCTGTCAAACAAGATCATCTACAAAATGGCAAGTACATTATATTCGTTAAAAGTATTATATCATGACGTTATTGCATTGCTCGTTACCGACAGACATTAAATTTTTTTAGCCCTTTTCAATTTTTCAAAGTACTCTTTACGTAAGTTTCTTAAATCTGGGGGTTTTTCAATTCCCATTTCTTTCCTGAATTCGTTTATATCTTTGGTTAAGATATTTTCCCAGTAAACATTGATCAAAGGTTTGGAGTTCAATCCGCTCTTGAATGCCCAGGGATAGTATATGTTATATAATCTTTCCTTTTGGCTTTTTTTCAATCTTAAGGGTGCAAATAAAGCACCTAATCCCGACATGGGGATTCCTATGTTCATGAATTCTAAAACTTTAACGGCAATTTCTCCTTCAATTATGATTGGTAATCCGGTGATTGCATGGTAGAAATCATGGCATTCTCTATAACGTTGATAAACGTAGGCTAATTCTTCGTCATCAATGTATTTAACTGGAACTCTAGTATCGGGACTCACTCCTTCTCGGTCAAGCCATTTGATATATGAATTTCCAATTGTATTCTCTGGTAGCGATCTAAGATAATCCAAGTCTAATGATGTCGAAGTGATACGAGGTCTCTCTTTCAAAATCTTTCTACCAGTTGGATCTGATAACATTTGATGTTGTAAGCTGCGTAAAACCGGAGTTATCGCGGTGGATTCTCCCAATCCAACAATGAACTCGTTACGTTCTGGATGGAAATATGCTCCCGCCGAGGATCCCAAGATCATTAATAGTTTTTCAAAATTGTAAAGAGGTACATGTCCTGGATAATTGGGTTCTTTTCTCTTGAAGTATCTGTTATCCTCATTGCTACCTTGATTGAAAACAGAATTGGGATCCTTATAATGTAATTGACCACTCTCCATCTTATCTGCCAATCGATTGTTTTCACTAAATATAATGGGGCCAAATAAGGTCGCTAATGACGTGAGAAAAAACTGACGCGATTGGATATGCCCTCCACTTCGGAAGGCTTGAACACCTTTACCTCCAGCCCTTAACCTGCCCAAAGATAGCATCCTGAACTTGTAATGTGTAGATAGCTCTGGAATAAAATGTAGTTGGTAAAGCGGTATATATCACACCATTTTTTCACTTCTTCTCAATGATTTCTTACATTTTTTTTTTGGTCAATTTTTTTTTTGCGTTTTGACTATAAAGTGGTTTAGTTATAAGCACATTTACTGCTACTATTTATTTATATATAAAATGCAACATAAAAATACAAAGATTAATTAGAACATAAAAGCCATTGGTGTATAAAGTAAGAAAAATCTGTAAGGTATTAAGGAATTTTGCAGAATAAGTATTAGTGTAATAAAAAAACGTTAACCAGTCATTCGTTGATATAAGAACCCAATTAAAACCACAGAGAGCCCCATGAATACCATACTTTTATTGTTTGTAGAGAGCATTTGTAATTCTTGTATTTGTCTTATAGAAGGCTTTGAATTGAATTGTGTTTGCTTTTCATCACGACTGTTCTTCTCGTCTGAGTCTGGTGTTATCAGAGAAGAATCTTTGACATCTTCTGTATTAAATACTAGGTCGTCATCATGCACTTTGTTATTAGAAGTAGATTCGTCATCGGAACTTGGAGGAGTTAACTCAGACTGTTGAACGTCGTTATCATTGAATCTTGATGTATTTCTATTGGAGCCCAATGTATTTGCTGTAACTGAATTAGACTGGTCATGGGATTGGTCGGCTCTCGTTAAAACTTCTAAAAGACTATCCATGCTATTTTCTTTTCCATTAAGTTCTTTAGAATGAGATCCATCTTGTGAATGATTAAACCCATTTTTATTAGCGTTCAAAATACGCGGTTTATTATATTCTCGTTTGTTTTTATTTGGATTGATGATTTTGTTTGAAGAGTTTTGAATATCATTGTTAATGACTTCGATGTTATTGATATCAGAAGTAGGAGGTTTACGCGACACTCCCTTCTTAACTTTATTATTAGTAGTGTCAATGCTATTAGGTAAAGCATTAATGGATTCCTTTTGATTATCATTATTATTTTTAGTAGAATTATTAGAGTTGTTAGGAGATTGGATGCCATTAGTTATATCATTAGATTCGTTAGTGGTATGAGAATTATTATTAGGATCTATGAAGTTTTGATCATTAAAGTTTGTAGTGAAATTATTACTGTTATTATTATTATATGTTCCGTTATCACCAGAAGCAGTACCATTGGAGCCATTACTCTTCGATGCCGTAGCATGAATATTGGAAGTAGATGTGGTAGAAGGTGAAGTTATAGGTGGCTCAGTAAATCTTCTTGATACAGAGCGATTTGAATCAGAGTGTTGTTTCGCTGCATCAAGACCTGTATCACCGGAATCCACAATTATTTTTTTATCATTAATTGGATCAGTATTATGAAGTTCTGATGCTTTCGCTTTAGCCAATTCTTCTGCTTTAGCCAATTCATCAGCCAATGATTTTCTCAATTTTTCATTTTCTTCATTCAATTTTTCAAGTTGAATCTTATGCTTTTCAGAATGAGCAGTATGGGTTTTCTCTAACTCTTCATTTTTATACCGTAATTTATTTGAAATCATTTTTTCAGATTCAACTTGTTCTCTCACTTTTGAAATTCTACGGTCAACTTCTTTAGATATATAACTTGAATTAAGTTCATTTAATTTTGATTGGTAGTTCTTAATAAATTGATCTAATGTTTTCAAAGTTGTATTTTGTTGTTTAACCTTTGACAAATTCAGGATTAATAGACCAAAAATTGAATCTAAATTTGTAGGATTAGTAATTTGAGAATTATTGAATATTCCAGTACTGCCTCTATTACTAAGCCCCAATAATGTTTCTTCAACATTTGGATTTATATCACTGAATAACGCACTATCAAAGGATAGTTGATCATTTATACCATCAATCGGCTTCTTATTTTTCCGTTTAGTAGACCTTAACCCTTTTTGTTTCTTCTTCGGGCTAGCATCTTGATTAGGAAAAGCCGACTGATCTGGAAGATGAGTGAAAATATCTTGAATGAAGTTTAAATGTCTGAAATCATAGGATTCTGAATTTTGTAGTTTATCGAGAGCAGAAAGGGCACCATTTATTTTTGCTGATCCATTAGAATGTTTATTGATACCCTTATTATTCGAACTAGTACCATTTGTAGTTTTCAAAAAATTAGCCATTATGCTAATGTTTTTAACTTTTGCACTGATTTGTTTATGATTACTTTCTTGCTGTATGTAAAACCCCAAGTTAATCGTGTCACCTTCTTCAACTGACACTGGTTCAGTTCCTAATTTTTCATCATTAACAAAAGTACCATTAGAAGAATTTAAATCTTTAATCATGATTTTATCTAAAGCTGGATCATAATACATGGAAGCATGTTTTCGACTTAGAACACGAGAATCGAAATATCCATTGGTCACATCTGGTTTAACTTTACTTCCTGTAGGTCTTCCTAATTCCAAATGTTCAGGGCTATGAGGTATATGTAATCTTTTTTCGATAAAAGTATCATTCAAAGGAGTTAAAGTGATGATATATTCATTCAAAGATCGTTTATTCAAGTAGCTCGTGTCTGAATCTCTAAGAGAATATTTATTTGATTTTGATGTATTAGTTCTTGTTGTTGAAGGTTGAGAAACAACTTGGGATTGAGAATTGGATCTTTTTCTATTAGCATGATCCCTTGGACGAGGATTTAAAGATGAGGATGAAGTGGATGAAGATGAAGATGGAAAAGCTGATAGTGAAGGCTTATAATTAGTCTCTTCTAAATCTAAACGAATATCGGGAACACTCATTATGGAATCATTGAAATCTAGATGGAGTTGAATGACCGCAAACAAACGTCGGATCTATGGGCAGAGAAGAATTGAAAGGAACCTGATATGACCAATAAGGAACTGGATAGAGAGAAGAACGAAGAAAAAAAAAAAAAAGTATGAAAGATAGAGAAATTTTCTTTTTAAAATGGAAACGGCTTTACCACGTAACCAAGTGTCAAGAGAAGATCACTTCAAGAAACCTGAACCAAATCTATGAATGACCGTTCCAGCAGTAACAAGAAAGATGAGATGATAAGATATTTTGATGAAACCTAGAATCACGCACACCAAAATTAGCACTAAACAAAGATCTAGATCAGAATCACACCCAGTTGATTCTACGCTTCAAATATGAGATCTGATTATGGATTAATGAATGTAACGGTAATCGCAACGAAGTTATTTCAATCCCTGGGGATTACCTAAGCAGCCTTGACAATAGTTGGACTTCAAACTGGAATTGAAACTAGAACTGCAATTGAAATGGAAACCGCTATCTCAACTAGTTTTGAATCACAAATACACACCCGAAACCAATGGATGCTTTAGAATGACTGTATGAACCGAAAGACGAACTGGGAAAACAATTTACGGGTAGAGTAGGGCTACCGCCGTTGTATGGATAGAGCAATGGTTGTCGATGAAATGTTTTGTGTAGTTGTTAAGTTAAAGACAGATTTTTTTTTTTAAAAAAAACAAATTGTTGTCCCTTCCCATGATTTTTTTTTTTTTTTTTTTTGTATTAATCTTTTTTTTTTTATGATAAAAACGCACCAAAAAACAAATAAATAAACAATTTATATGACGAATATAAGGTTATTGATATAGAGATCAGGATGGCCGCAGCTTCATATGGGAAGAATGAGACACTAGAGAGCTGTGTGGAGTCGCTTAAAGGGTCGGTGGAGTTTCTTGAGGTGTCGTTGAAAAGATTGGATGAGGTTACTAGAGATGTACCCCGATTGAAGAGAGTATTAACCACCGATAAAGTATTTGGATTAGTACCAGAGCTGGATTTAGAGAATGCTAAGAAAAAGCTACAACACGAGACGCATCCCCAAATCAATATAATGGTTGAAAAAATTGAACGAGAAATCAGTCGATTGACTCGAAGAAAGAACAATTTAACCGGGAAGATTGAATTACAAAGAATACGGATTGATGGGGCCAGAAAGAATACTTCGAACGATATGGAAATTGGAAGAGTTGTTAAAGGAGACATCAATGAACACAAGCTGACTAGATTGAAACTATTACAGAATAAAAAGGAACGATTAAAGTATAGTTTATCGAGATTGAACTTACAGGATAAGAAAAATCGATTAAGTATGATTCCATCGTTACCACCTCAATAACTTTCCAGTAATCTAAAATACTATGTATAATATGTAAACTATAATTTAAGATCTTCACCACTCATGTGTTCCACAGTTGTGATGTTTAGTAGTTGAGCCAACTCTTTTGCATATTGATTACCAACTTCCTTGACGTCCGGCTTAGATTCAGGTGAAATACGTGATATCGAGGTAGCTTCGGCTTCTGGTAACCCACACATGGTATAAGTATTCAAGTATTTCAAGTCGGGGTTAACATTAAGTGCAATACCAAAAGAAGTGATCGCGTGTTGGATATTACATCCAATCGACGATATCTTATGGTTACTTTCACTCATCCATACCCCGGGGTTTTCATTGAGATAGCTGCTCAATCCATAGTTTTTCTTCAAAAGATTTTGAACCGATTTCAATAACACGGAATCAACAAAACATTTGGGGGTAAGATTCTTAAATTGTTTTAAATCTAATATGGTATATGCCACTAATTGTCCTTCTCCATGCCATGTAACCTGTCCGCCCCTTTCCAACTGATGGTATTCGCAACCCATCTTTCTATAATCTTCAATCTTTTCATCTAACTGGGGGTCTTGTTTCATTTGTTTCCCTCCAGCGTAAACATTCTCAAATTCAAAAGTTAATACGGTTGGCAATGGTTTCATTTCCATGATTTTGGCAAGGAGCCCGTCTTCGTACTCCGTTAGTCTGTAACCCTTGGATGCTATATCTTTCTGCAGTCTGATTATCTTATTTGAAATCTTCTTGAAATCAATGTTAGCATTTACCATTGCTTGCTGAATCTTAAGCCCATCTTCAAACTTGGTTCTTCCGGGGAAATGAATATGGCGCAAGGTCTTATACTGTTCAATGACAGGAGTGAACTTGGTGCTGCAGCTATTGAACCGCTTGCCCACCACTTGTAAGCATTTGGTCATCCTGTTTGTTCACGGTTGTTATACTATAAGTTGTTGCACTAGTGATTTTTCACTTTTGATCTGTTGATGTATGAGAGTGCAGATACTCCCATTTTTTTTCAGTTTAGATGTTGTTTTTTTTTTGGTCTGTTATAGCATCTACTTATCTGATCTAGTCATTGAACAAGCAAAGTATCCTATCCAGTTGGCTTGCTTGGGTTATTGTGATTATTGGTTACGGCATCTTGTACCTGCTAGTAATGGGCACAGATACAACCAAGAAACTGAGCCTACGGTTCCGTCCAAGAGTAACCAAGGGCTATTCAACTCCTAATGTGTCTTTAAGTAGTTCCAGGAAAAGCAATTCGTCTAGTTTGAAAACAAGCAGTAAGGTGATGCTGGCATCATCGACCTCGATTGAGTTATTTCCAAGAACCACCCAGGCTTCAACGTTAATGTCACCAGCATCAGTATCTACAGAAACAATACCAGATACACCAACTCTATCATCAAGAGGAGCTAGATTGAATGAGATGATAACCCCTAAAACTGAAAAGTTAAAGACTAGCAAGTTTACTATATCGAACGAATCCAAAAATAAGGCCAGATTGAAGAAGACTCAGCATCATAGGGAGAAGAATGATTTGAAGGTTGAATCCCCCGAGTTCCAATTGTTAGTCAAATTGTTTATGCCTTCCAAATTTTTGATAAGAAACGATAAGTTAAGTGTGAGGCAAGTTTCAAATAATCTTCCTGTATTAATCAAGGAATCTTATCCTAAGTTAAATTTTGAGATTCATTTATTTCTAAGTACTATTGTGACAAAGTATATCACGTCTTGGTACTTGACTAAATTGAACACTGACGATTTTGAGTTCATTCACAATGTTTACCAGATGTTATGTGATTTTATTAAAAATTGTGCTAAAAGAATCAGCAGAATAATGGAGCTGCCTTCTAAACTACTTAATTTAATTGATGATTTGACCTTTATTCTTGATAATCACTTGAAGGAACTAGTCAGTGATGATCCCAACCTGAATTCAATAAAAGTAGTTGATGATTACTTCCGTCAAGCAAGAACAGACAACACTGTGAATAAATTTTCTAATGCAACTGCTTCAGAAACCTTACTGGGATATTTAGCAAACCGACATGTACTTTTCGATCATTCTGCTTGTAATAGGGCAGGCTATAGCAAATTTGAATTTTTTGATGATTCAAACTCAATGGGTCTGTATCAATCGGAAGAGAAAAGCAATGATGCAAATCATCCTCATTTAATTTACTTTAGAATTTTAGTTAAAGAAATCATTCAAGCAACGTTTCGAGATGATGATTCGTTTGTTTCTGGTCCTGGAAATAGTGGACCAACGTCATCGGTCATTACTATGAATTTAATTATCTTGATAGTATCTGATTTGATACTTAATAAGATATTTACAAATTTATCATCGCCCGAATTTTGTTTAGGTTTGATTGATCAAATTATCGACTCACTAATTCAGGCAATTGAAAAACCCAAGAAGAAATCAAGTTTCCCTACTAGCACTGTAATAGAACAGAATATAATAGGGTTTTTCAATAAAGCTTACACTTCAATCAACTCTTTTATGGGGACAAGCTCCTCTGCTGATAATAATGATGGTAACCCTATTGGGTCGGGGTCTACTCATATATTCAACTTTTCTGTATTTTCGTTGATCGATACCATTACCAATATTTCTAATAGAAGACCCTCTCTTTATCATTCTATAGGTCTTGTTAGTTCTTGGATACTACTGAGTCCATCACTAGCAACCAAACTCGATAACATGATAAAGTCTTTTATTTCATCCAAAATCTTAGGAGCAGGCTTTCTCAAAGATGATTTTATTGCTCAAGTAGTTAATCAATTGAAAGAGAATTTATTCGGAGAAAAGGCTAATTCCAATGAAAAAGAAGAAGAAAAGAACGAAGAAGAAAACAAGGTTTCAGTTGAATCATTAACTGAAAAAACTTACGATTTACTTCAAAATAAAATACCTTCTTTAATCCCCGGTGGAGCACTGATATTTGGTAACTTTTTCGGATGCCAAGGTGAAAATGAAGCAGAGTTGAAGAAAAGCATAGGTAAATTTTTCACGATATTCAATTACGACGCAGAGAAGTCAAGTAATTACAATTCGCTTAACGAGAATTGTGAATTGAACAAGCTTTTGATGGTGAAATGGCTTGATTGCCTTATAGGAGAGTTATATCCTGAATTACTTAGTAAATAGTGAGGTACCTACAAATAATCAATAAATGTGGATGAATATATTTGTAATGATATGAAAGATTAACGTAATTTCAAAAAGAGAATCGAATAAAAAAATCAAATAAATAAGTTAAGAAATTTAAGCTTTGAAAAGTTTAGAAATGATAGTGGTGACACCACCTTCTCTCTTTTCAATGTCATAAACACCGTAACCGGCAACACCAGTTCCAAAAAGTAATAAGTACATGGCATAATTGTGATATTTACCATAAACTCTCGTAGGAATATAATCAATAATACAAGATTGGAAACCAGTGTAACAGTGATAAAGTAATAAAGCAGACATAGTAGAGTCCCAAATAGTAGATACACCAGTGAAGAATGGGGCAAAAGTTAATGGGAGCAAACCAACAGCAACTAATCTTTCACTAGCCCAATGACGACTACCGTGTAATTTATCAGCAGCTGGATGAACATAAGCATCATTAACGGTACCAACAATGAATCCCGGAGGTTGGGGGATAGTCTTGAGACCACGAATTAACGCTGGTTTCATCAACATGGATGGTTTGGCGGATGCTAATCCGATACGAGAAGATAATGCAAACATATTAAAGATCTGATGTGACTTATCGATGATTAGGTAAATGAATCAGTTGTTTTAGTTTATACTACTTTTTTTTTCCCTCTTTGCTTGACCTTTTCCCTCCCCGGACTATCTTGGTGGTGTATGGGTCTCTTTCTGGCTTACTTTGGCCTTTGTTACTATTGGCTAGTTTTTTTTTTTTTTTTGGTTCGGTTTAGCCGAGGGATTTTGAGGTGTACGGGTGCATCTATTAAGTTGCAAAAAGCTTTTGCTTAAATAAATACATTGCAAAGCTATACACAAGTCTATTTACAGGACTACTCTACATCTTCATCTTCGAACTCTTCTAGTTCTGGTAGTCTTCTGGGGGCACCGAATCTCTCGAGGAGAGGTTTTTCGATGACTCCCAAGGGGCCTCTGTTGTAAACAATTTTACAAACCCGATTTATAAAGCCATCATACCAGGATTTGTTTTCAGCTTCAAATACGGTGACGTCCAGTAGAAGGTCTTGACATCTGTTTTTGGCTCTGATATTTTTGGATTTGTCATACATGATGATCAAGTTTTTGAAAACATTGATTAAAATGGGGGAAGCTTTCAAATAGGTGTTTCTTTGGAAATAAATATCATCAATGACTTCTTCACCCCACAGAATAGCATTTTTCTTGTAGCCTTTGGCCCACATGACTTCGCTTATGTGGGCCTTTATTTCGGCCAAAGTTATAGCCAAATTTTCTTCATCGCAGTTGAATAAAGGATAAGAAGCTTGAGATTTTTCACCAGATTTGATTTTTTCATTCATTTCATTCAAGATTTTTAAATTGGCAAGATAGATATTGAGAGACTTAGATAAGTAATCTTCTCTATCGTGTTTACTATATTTTCTATTGGAGGATTGTTTTGCCATTACTGTAGCTAAATTATTTAAACAAATGATTAATTCATCGGTTATTCTTGAACCGTCTTGTAGTAAATAATTGTCATCCATTTTAATTGAAGCAAAAGTCATTTCTAACATATCCAAAGAACGAAGTAAATATTGGACTTTATCTTGAGGTTCACTCGAAACACGAGTTAATAACCTACAACACTGGGATAATCTCTCCGCGTCCCCCAATTTGAAAAAAATTTCATCGTTATCAACAATTGATTTCAATATGTGAATGGAACTACTCAAATTTCCTTTTGCTAATAAAGCTTTTGCATATCTTAATACAAAATCAATATAAAAATTAGCAAAATCATTTGATTTTTCATAAACTAAAACATTTGCATCAATAATTGGAATATCATACCAATCTTCTTCGCTCAATTTTGACTCATCGAATTCTAAATTGGAATCGGACTCTTTGGCAATATTAATTAAAACTCGTCTATAATGTTTAACGGCGTATCTTGGACTTTTGAAAACATCATCTTTATCTATAGCTTTAACTGAGTCTAGTATATCGTTAAAGCTTAATTCAAATGGAATATGCTGCCTATTATTAGCATCAGAATAAATTAAATATAAAGACCCTCCGCAGACTAATAAACCTCCAAAGTATGCTCCGGCAATAATATTTACAATAGTCCCCCAACCTCGAAGGGCACCTCTTTGACCACTAGACAACGTTAACTGCCTTCTTTGAATCCCTCTACTATAGAATGATGTTAAGGGATTGGAGTATGGAGTGAATTTCGTGTACGATTGAGACAATCTTTGCTTCGGTAAACACCTCAAGGATCGGCTAAACATGGTGATTTCGCTAAGTTGAATCGACTAGTCTAACAGAGCCTGACTCATTAACTGATTCCTGTAAACAAACGTAAGCTGGTAATCGTCACTAGTCCTCAAGTAGTTTTTCTGGATAAAGCCATCGAATCCTCACAATTTTTGAAAAGGAAGAAAAAAAAATATAGAATAAGCGAATATACTGTTATCTTTGCTTTAAGCTATTCGATTTATCAGCAAAAGATATTTCTATTTGGAATTTTTTATTTTATGCAATATCTGTTTCTCATGCTTTGTCATATAATAAGATTCCTTTAGCCATAAGTTATCATGAGTACGATTATACTGGAGCCAACTCGGGTTCAAGAGTCGGAGCAGTATCTGACAAATCCACAAAATGATCTTAATTCAGAAAACTTGCCAACTTTAAATATGGTTGAAGAGGAGACCGAAGTAAAGAAGCTCTCTTGGTTTCACTGGTTTGTTACCAACTGGCTAATTATGGATCCTGAGCTTATCAAACAGGATGATAAAAAGGTTGCTAAAAAAAATTATCAAGTACAAAATCATGATGGTATGAAATATATATACTTATTTGGTGGTAGACTTAGAAGTATTAAACAAAAACCAATCAACTTGGCTACCGGGATAATAATCTTGATTCCAGGAATATTGTTTTGGATTTTTGAAGCACCCTGGCTTTGGCATAATATCAATCCTTCAGTAGTAATACTTTTCAGTTATTGTTGGGCTTTATGCTTAAATTTTTTCATTAGAGCGACCACTAGTGACCCTGGTATATTGCCCCGCAATATTCACGTCCCTCTTACTTTAAACACTTTGAAGTTTAATCCTCTGGGGGCTCCTGACGAGTATTTCAATACTATTTCTCTTCCTTATCATACTGATTCAACTAATTATGGTGTTTCTGTTAAATATTGTCCTACCTGTCATATATGGCGTCCTCCAAGAACAAGCCATTGTGGAACATGCAACTCATGCATCACAACTCATGATCATCATTGTATATTTTTGAATAACTGTGTTGGTTCCCGTAACTATAAGTACTTTCTTTGGTTTTTATCATCCGGTATCATCACTTCAAGTTTTTTGGTCATTTTATCTTTCATTCATCTTTTCCATTATAAAATTTCAAAGTCCTCGAGCATACATCATTTTTCGTCTTCCCTTAGTACTACTCCATTGAGTCTTGTCCTCGTCATTTATGGAATCTTAGTTGGAGTATATCCTTTCCTTTTACTCGGTTTCCATATATTTCTCACTTCATTCAATATGACTACAAGAGAATACCTCAACTACGTCCGCGAGAATTACAAACGTGATATGGATGATCGCTATATCAATGTTTTTGATACCTTATCTGTTTTCAAAAATATCTACATAAATTGGTTTGGTACCCCTAAGGGTATTTCTAGCTTTAGTCTTAAAGAAGTATATGATCCCGGTGATACTCGCTTTCAGAGGTTCAATCCTTTACGATCATTCGAAAACTAGCATCTCCCTGTATTATAGTTAATGTATTATACTTAATGTATTATAATTAATGTATTCTAGTGTATTATCTCAGTATATAGAAAAACGCGTAATAACCAAAAAAAAAAAAAAAAGAAGAGAATTAAAAAAGACTTAAAAAAGAGAAGTCAGCGGTTAATTTGATCTAATATCAAGCTCCAATATCTTTCTTCTTGAGTTCTTAATTCAAATAAAAACAAGTCTTCAGTAACTGAAAACTGGAGAGAGTAAACTGAGTGAAAAATGGCATCGCCATCTTCGTCTCCCTCTCTAGGGAATTCACAACAATGTCATCCGGTTGATCTAAGAGAAGCTTTGAGCGTAACTCCACTAATGCATTTGATTCCAAAACAAGATATTGCTCCTCTCCTATCGTCGGCAAATATAGAGCCAGTTTCATCAGAAGCTGAAGATTTTTCTCATGTTGGCACTGGCTCTGAAGTATCCAAGCTCAGAAGTGCAATGAATAAAAATCCAGAACAGTATGAAAAGATGATGAATTTACTTGTTGAAGATTTCAATCTGTTTGAGCACCCTGAACTAGCCGATATTACTTTCAAAAGACCAATCATTGCTGGCGAAACGTCTCGTACGGTGAATGGCGATGAGTTGAATTTGCCGCCATTAGAGAAACGATTATTTGATACAATGGCACCAATTGAAGATGACTCTTTGAGGGACTTCAACCTTGAGTTGGATTCTCAACTATTCAAAGAGCATAATTCCAAACTAAACCTCCATATTGGTAAGGACTTTAATGATATCGTAAAACTGGAGAAGCACGTTAAGAAATTCAATAAGAAGTTTGATAGGGCTTTCTCCGAATCAAGAACAAACTTTTCTCGAGAATCATCTCCACAACCCCAGTCCACTTCTCCGGAAACTAACCAGCAAGTTTTTAGCCAGCCTAAACAATCATCTAAGCGACCAATAGAGTCTGTTGATGATGGGCTGGCTACTCCAGACCCAAAAAGATTGCCCAAACCATCTTCTTATGTCGATTCAGGTGAGTTGGTGAAGCAAACATTGGATAACTTAATAGGTTTGGTGGATGATATTAACCAATCTGAATCCGATGATGTCGTATCAAAGTATTTTTGGTCCACTAAGTCAGGTCCTGCGATTTTAAAGAATAATGTTTTCGTGTCTATTTTAGATAATCTTCTCAGACTCTATATGGATCCAATCATTGATCAATTGGACATTGATTATTTAACTAGAATAGAAAAATTATGCATTGAATCTCTTGATGTTGCTCATGATACAGCATGGAATGAGATAACGGATGTCATTAACTATAACAATCAAGATGATTTTTATTATCTTATGGCATCCACTACAAATCATATTTTGGCTTCTAAGATTATTATTCTCATTTTAAACGGTAGAAGAACAGATAAGGTTCTTCATTTGGATAACTATTTGAAATCAATGATTAATTTTTTAGCAAATATAATTCAAGATGCCATTCTTCCGTTATCAGTTAAATTTGAAGCTTCTAATGAACAACTTTTTCACCCAGGCAAGAGCATTTCTATAGTTGTTTCAGATTTGAGCTATATTCTCAGCTCCATGTGCTTCACCTTGAATGGTAACGAGATAGATGAAGAGGTTCTCACTCGTCTTGAATATTTGTGTATTCTGATTGTGTTTTCTGAAGGTAATTTCAACTCTAAAGGACCAGTTTCTCTTCAAAACTTAAGCATTTGGGCAACTCAGGTTCTCATACAAATACATAAGGAATACCCAGATCAGCGTCAATTCATCCTCAATGAAGTATTAACTAACTTTGACAAGCTACCCCATCAAAAATCGATTGCCAGGCAAGTGAGATTACCTAGAGGAGGTAATGTTCAACTTTTCACAGTACTCTTGATCAAATTGATACAAAGTTTTGAAGTTAAGGAACTAGCTGATCTTGCAAAAGAATTCACCAACGTAAAAAATTCCAACAAGGCAGTACAAAATACTCTGATTAAAAAGCAAAACTTAATTGAGCAGTCGGATCAATTATATAATGAAGCTGTTGATGTTTCTAATGAAATTGCCAATTTCTTTATCAAAAAGCTAAATAATAACCCAGATCAAAACTATAAGGCAACATTTCTATTATTTTTGGATGATGTATCAAGCATGCTTACTTTTCCTGAATGGCCTGGTCTGGAGACTCTATTATGTTCTATTATGAAATCCTTTTTGATTGTCATTCAGAGTGGTTCTTATCCTGCTGTTATGGAAACATTCGCCTTAGAAATGGCCGGCAAAATTGGCACAAAGTTGCTCGAGCTCAAAATGGCACATCCTAATGTAAACTTGTTGAATTTTGATAGCTCTGCAGAGGAATTCAATCTCTTGAAAAACAATTTTTTGGATACATTACAGTTCGTGAAATTGTATTCTAACAAATCAAAAGAGTTCGTTTCGGCTTTGAAAATTTTAGTCTTGAAATATATTTGCATGTTAAGACCTTTCTTAATGAACGTGAACAACGAGAAAGAAAATCAGATCGCCGCTCTCAATTCCGATAATGACGTATCTCACCAAGGGCTGCAAAATACGGCCATCATCAATAGTATCCTCGAAAATTTGTTGCAATTTCTCTCTGAAGACACAATTGTCATGAACCAGGCATTAAATGCGGATAAGGACTCTCTGTCTATTACTTCATACACCCAGGTTATATTATCCCAGGAGTTAGTTTCCCTTTATGACAGTTTTACGAATGTTATCGTACGCTCGTTGGATAGTAGCAAAATTAAAGCGAAAACGAGAGCGGTCAAGATTCTCTCATCACTCATTGATCAAGATGCAAGAATATTACTTACACCCAAAATCCAGGAATCTGTATCTAAAAGCTTACTTGATGGCTCTCCTCTTGTTAGAGATGCTGTCATTGACTTAATCAGTAGATACATGCTGCTGAAGCCAGAACTTATTGTTCAATTCCATAAAAGACTATGTGATAGACTAAATGATGATAGTATCTCCGTTAGAAGACGTGTTATGAAGCTATCCCGAGAAATGTATGTCAATACTAGTGATCGCAATGTGCGTGGTCATATAGCAATGCAAATGTTAAAGAGATTAGATGATGAAGAGGACTCAATTTCTGCAATGACGAAACAGTTTTTGTTGGAGTTATGGTTTGGGCCGGTAAGCGAAAAAAATGATTTTAACTTATATCTGTCAATCATCTCTCGAGTTAATATAATGATGGATATTGCAAGCGTGGGCGGAAAGAGCTCCAAATATTTTCTGATGTTCCTCGTTGAGAATGTTATGGAGACTAAAGAATCTCAAATCAAAATTGTTGTCAGTGAAATAGTAAATGCAACTTTGGATTACATCTTGAATCTGATTGATACTAAAATCCAATCAGAAATAGAGAAAGCCTTGGTATTATTAGCATGTTTTGTTCGTTGCAATGGAAGTCTTATATCCCAAGACCAATTGGTATTGCTTCAACCTTACTTAGCTGGCGAAAGAAACTCGTCTGTTTGTTTTTACTGTTTGCAAATTTTGAAAAATGTTCTTCCCAAAGTGAACGCTTTGAGACCCGAATTCGTTGAATCTACACAGGCATTTTTATTACGTAACTTGACAAAGTTCGATGTTAGAGAACTTAATCAAGCAATGCCATCAGTATGGTTGCTTTGTAAGATGCAAAACAATCCTATAAAACTAGCAAATGCGTCTGTTTCTTGTATGAGATTGATCAAGCCTTTTATGGATGAAGTGAAGACTGGTGTTTCCCCGAAAGCTGACTTGAAATTGTTCAAATTGCTACACTTATTGGGATGTTTTGGAAGTTATTGTGATTTTGAAAAGATCAGAGAGGTTTATATTAAGGCAAACGTTGGAATTAAAGGAAATGAGACTGTTACAAGCTTAATCACCAAGTTCCTTCTTTTTTTTTGCAATGGTGATTTTGAACCGCAAGTTAGAAATGTTGCAATTAAAAATATTATTCACGTTTGCACTTATCATCCAAAATTGTTCATGTCGAATCCCATTCTCAATGTGCTAGATAGAGAGTTTTCTGGTGAATGTATAGAAATCAAGCACACCATTATTCAAGGTATTATTTCATTTTTGAACAAGGAAGATACAGACTCCCAGAAAAGAAATGGTGCCGAAGAAAAGTCATCAAAGGAGATCAAATTGGACGTAGCTGTCTTTCACGGTGATTCTCAATCGTATGTAAATGACGGAATTTGTGCCGGTATTATTCAGCGTTATGTTGATAAGATATTGTTGTTATGTATAAGCGACTCAGGCAAGTTTTCCCTACTTCCTGTACAATTTTTACAACTAGTACTGAAATTAGGCTTTGCTAATCCTAAGGTATGCATTGCCACAATCATAGCATTAGAGTCGTCACCGAACGGTTATATCAGGAATATAGCGAAACAGCTACATCAGGAGCTCTATGAGAAGCATGAATCTTTGACAGACTCAAGTTATATTGAAGGGCTACGTTTGGCAGTTAAGTATCAACAAAATGTTGCTACTGGTCTGGTATTTCAGCAAACTTCCCATCTTTCATCTATATATAAAATTGTTTGTCGAAGTTATTCCTCTAGGAAGAAGTTTATATTTGCTCTTTCCAAAGTGTTTAAATTTCAAATTGGTAGGAATAATGTGGAAGAAGCTATTGAACAGAGAAATCTAGTAATTTATACCATCACTAACCTACTGGAGATTTTATTTTCTTCTATTGAAGAGGTATTAATATTAATTTATCATATGGATAAGGCAATATCCAGAGAAGGAATGGACCAAGCTGAAATTATAACTAAACAAAAAGAATTGAGGCCGGAAGCGATCAAGACATCGCTTATTAATTCACAGGCTTTATTGGCGATGCTAAACTTCAGAAGTCATTTAACAAATTATTACAGCATTACACTTTCTCAAATTGAGAACTACAGGCCAAATAGAGCAGATATTGAAACAAGACAAGCTCCAAAAGTCATCACGGTTGTCCCCTTTCAAATTAATGATTTAGATCTTGATATAAACTTGGAAAAATTGGAACAATTTGGTGGTCTTTTTGCCAAGTTCGTACAAGCGATCAAAGATTATACTTAATGATTAACGAATAAAATTATATGCTATTTATACATGAAAGTACTGAAATTTAATTAGCAAAAATAGAAATACATATTTTAATAAATAATTATTGCATAGTTTAATCTCATAAAAATTATAGTACAAGATACCTTTATTATGATTGTCGTATATAATTTGAGAGACTTCAGGTTATTCTTCCCAACTTCTTTCTCAAATCATTCTTTCCAATTTTAGATACCTGTTTCAAATCAAATCTCCAGCATAGAGGTAGAGATCGTTCGAAATCGTTTTCTGTTATTTTGGGGAATGCATAACCAAAAGCAACATCTTCATGCTTGTCAGAGACGATTCTAAGACTTTGAGGATTAAGACGCACCAAGCATGGCAGTGAGACCTTGGGTCTTCCTCTCCTCTTTGGAATAGGTTTTAAAAATTCGGTGAATATAAGGGGGTCACCCTCCGAGGAGCCATCATCCTGGTTTGGTATTTCATCATCAAGGTCTGACATGTCAGGGAGAGGCTGACTATCTAGCTCGAAAGCCTTTTCTTCATGTTCTGATACATTTCGTGATGTGTTGTCTAAAGTTGTTCGATGGTACTTTCTTTTTGTCAAAGGTTTTCGTTCTAGATGATCACTTGAGCTTTTTCTTTTTAGCCTCCTCTTACTTGAGTGATCATGGGAATTGGTTAATTCATTATGCTGCTCCTTTTTAACTGGATCGATTTTCTTTGGGTTGTGGCCGCAAGATACGTCGGTGCCAGCTAGTACAATTTTGGGGATGGCATACGGACTCATGAGTATTTCGTACCCATTGTGTAAAGCTAGTCTTATAATAGGGCCATTCCTCAAAACTCGCTCTTTCTCTCTTTTCTCTTGTAAGGTCGACATAGGAATGGATAAAATGGATTCATCATCATCGTCAGAATCAATACCCTGATCATATTTCTTTATATCATTCAATAAAACCTCTTGTCTTCTCCTCCAATCATCGTGCTTCTTCAAAAGACGGCCGATTTCATCAATAGTGAGTTGACGCTTTCGCAGAAGTTCCTCATAATCCCGAATATCTCTGATATAAGTGATTTTGGGAAGATGCCTAACCCAGTCATACTGCTTCATCAAAGAAAGCTGAGAACGTAAGTTATCGACCTCAGACATAATCTTGAGCCTTTCCGAATTCATCATAATCTTCTCCTCTTTTTTCATCTTCTTATGAAAGGCCTCATAGTTTGAGTCAGCGAGTGGGTCCGGTTTTGACTTATTCCTTCGGGGTAATAATCTATCAATCACCTTCAAATTAATTAACTTGCTAGTTTTATGAGATGCTGGGAAATTAACATCCTCAAAAGAACTGTATAAATCATCATAGCTGTTCCCTTCATTAACTTTTATTTCCTCGTTCCTGAACAAGAGTGGACTTATATTATCGAAATTAAACGTTTGTTGAACTGGTTTATTAGTCTCATCTTTGGACCGTAGTCTTCTTTCCCTTCCGTTAGACATACTAGTGGGTAAAGCTCAGATGCACATTTCAATATGCCAATCTTCACCTATGAGAATCTTGTGGTTCCACTTATCTGAAGCACTAGTTCTATCTATTCAAAGTATTACTTTGCAGAGTCAGCTGCATCAGGAGTTAGTGTTGATGTTTTTTTTTAAGCGTCTTTTTCCACTAACAAAACAAAAAAAAAATTCAGAGAAACGAACAAAGCGAAAAATTCAATCGATTAAATACGATCTTCAAGTCTTCAGCTATGATTAAGACGATAAGTTTACAGGCTATCGCACAAATAAGCAGAAGATAAGGATAATGAATTATCGAAGAAAGGAGAAAACAGAGGACGCGTTGCCTTTACCAATTGGGGCTAAGCAGGAGAAGTTCAAGCCAAAAGTACAGTTCAAGACCAATATGACCATCAACCTCGACAGCGTTTTAGAAAGCGTTAAGAAGATCCAATGGAAGTTGATTGTATACTTTGTTATACTATGGATAATGGTGGTACACTTTTTCGAACGTACCGTGCCTAAAAATGTATTTAAAAGATGTGAATGGAATAATTGGGAAGGTTGGAATGAAAAATCTAAATCAGCAGTTCCTCATAGAGTTGCTTTGATAGCAGACCCTCAAATAGTAGATGAACACACTTATGAAGACAGGCCCCTGATAGTCACTTATTTCATTAAGAAGATAAGTGATAACTATTTGTACAGAAATCATATATACTTGAATCATTACCTCGACCCGGACAGTATGATATTCTTGGGAGATTTGTTTGATGGAGGAAGAGAGTGGGATGATAGTATATGGATGAAGGAATTCAAGAGGTTCAATAAAATATTTCCCAAGAAAGTTAATAGAAATTGCATCCAGTCACTTCCTGGAAATCACGATATTGGTTTTCAAAAGGTTGATTATGAAGTATCGAAAAGATTTAATGCGTTCTTCGGTGAACCTAATGATTTCTATGAACTAGGAAATCATTCTATAGTACTTTTGGATTCTATATCTTTGTCTTATGCCAATCCTAAGATTCAAAGAGAACCGATGGAGTTTTTAAATACTTTAAATGATAAACTCAATCCACAATTCCCAAGAATCTTATTGACACATGTTCCACTTTATAGATTCAATGATAAACAATTATGTGGCCCCTTAAGAGAATCACACAAGAAATTTCCTGTCAGAAAGGGCCATCAGTATCAAACTGTCATCGATTATGAGATTTCTCAACAGGTTCTTAAAACAGTTCGCCCTGAAATTGTTTTCAGTGGTGATGATCATGACTACTGCGATATTCAACATTCATATTATGAAAACGGTAAAGAAAGTCTTTCGAGGGAAATAACCGTGAAAACCGCCTCTATGACAAATGGAATTAAGTATCCAGCCATCCAATTATTATCGTTGAATAATCCATATGATCCAAAACCGAAAAAGAAGACTGTTGATGAGGACGATTTGGATCATGAAGAAAGAGTAAAACATACGTTCTCCACGCATATGTGTTACCTACCAAGTCCATATGCTGCTTTGAACTCTTACATATTTACCCTCATTCTAAGCATTGGTTTCTTATTTATATACTTTGTCTGTCCCAGGACCTTATTGACGCTTATAAAATTCAAAAATTCCATCCTTCAAAAAGATACTGTATTACCACTGTTTGACCTGGGCAAGTGGAAACCAGTCAAGTCCAATGATCAAATACTTTTCCTTGAAGCAGAAAGAAATATTAATGGGTTTTTAAGTCATACAACTGTTTTAATACTTTTCATCTACTTAGTGTTCTCCATATATTATAGATTTATTTGAGTACAATATAGAATTTTAATAGAACTTTTTTCTTTTTCATTATGAAGTCATGTAAATCGTATTAAGTATCGTCAATTACTTAAAACTGAAAAATCTTTCTATATAGCTTGGATTAAAATCACTTCTTTTTGACACATACTGTCTGACCGCATAAGGTTTCAAATTGGCCAATTGACCTTCAGTAACAAGTGAATTGATCAAATTTGGATGAACAGTAAACAAGTTTGCAATTTCTTTCAATAATTGGAATTTATCAGAAAGCTCAGGAATACCCCACTGGTCGATAACTGATTGATAGCGAATGACATCCTTAGTCAAAGTAACCCCACCAGTCGACGTCACAGTATATTTTTTATAATGCTCTAGTAATTGATTTAAAAAATTCATCCCGATTTTTATGAGTACGTTAGTAAGATTTGAGTTACTCAAATGGGAGCAAAGGTTTTCATGAACCACCGAAATGAATTCTGAAGTGTCTTCACAAGATTCAGTATCATAGTCATTGACTGTATCGCTTAGGAAATCTTTCTTTTTTTGTTTACTCAAGTAATAAGTGATTCTAGCAGAGGTCATAGCGATTGTATCATCTAAAATTCTGTTCAAAGACTTTTCACAAGAGGAAATGTAAACATTAGTTAAACTGATCATTCTATTTCTAATGTTTGGATTATTCACAGCACATGGCAAAACTATTTTTTTGATACAAGCAGAAACAAGGTACAAAATATCGCTTGTCAAATTTGCAGTACTCAAGTAGTCGAAGTTGAAAGGCTGGTTAGAGTTCACTTTACTTGAAGATTTTTCTTGAACTAGTTGGTCATAAGCCACAACGAGACCACCAGTGAGATATAGCTTACCGAAGTCAAATAGTAATATTTCTAAAATTTCTAGCGAATATTCTGGGGATTTGTTAGGAGCCAATTCTAAAACTCTGGCGATCGATTCGATAGCTGATTTCGTTATCACTTCAACCTTTGTTATATTTAATCTTGCAAATTCCTTATAGTCCCTGTTGTATTCGTATTGATCAACTGAGTTTCTGTTGGTGGTTCTATCTGCCAAATGAGAGCTCATGAAATTCTTGAATTGTTGTAATCTTTTCTTTTCGTGGAACTGAGAATTTTCTTGACCACCAAGCTTATTAGAATTATCTGTTTCTGACTCTTCGAGTCTTTTCTTCAAGTAATTGTTGGATAATGCCTTTTCATTGAAAGTATTAAACTTGTGAACGATGTTATAGATGATCTCTTCTAGATTTTTCTTTTCCCAATTAAAGTAATTATTCTCAAAAAGGTATTCAATGAATAAGTCATAGAAAGATTGATCTAAAATAGCACTTAATTCGTTTTCATGATCAAAATCATTTGTAGTTAAAAACTCTTTCACATCTTTTGTAAAATCCCCAACTAAAATGTAAAGCGCATGTAATATTCTGACATGTGCCAAAGAGCTTACTGACATGGAGTACTGTAATAATGTTGTGACCTTATTTTGGATCATCTGAGCATATATTCTTTGAATAAAAATCTTGAGAACTGGTATTGGATCTTCGAAAACTTGTTGAACAATTCTCGCTTGAGACTTTATTCCCACTCTCAATCGAGTTAGTAATAATTCAGTTGCATCGTCCTTGAGAATGTCAGTCCCTGCATAATTTGGATCCGATAGACTAACCCAGACCGCTTCATTATCTAATAAGGATTTAGTATTTTCATCTTCATCTTGTCTTTCAGCCTCTAGTAATAAATCATTTTGGCTAACAAAGGCTTGAACCACGTTGCCACCGCCATTGAATTCGAATAAAATTTGGGCTATTCCTTTCATTATGTCAAATTCATTTTCTTCCGATGCAACTTCAAATTTATTAAGTAGATTTCTCTCCATTAATTCACTAAATTTCTCTATTGACTTGACACATTTTGAAGTCTTGGGTATATTTTCTGAACTTGCTTCGATTTTTTTGGCCAAAGTAAGAAGATTCAGTACAGTTTTAGCACATTTAAGCTTATCATCATGTTTCGTACTAGTTCTTAAGTTTTCCAAAGGATCATATTTTTCTTTTGTATAAAAACCATGATATGCACGAATCAAAAAGATCGTTTCAGTGGAGCGGTCTCGAGAATTAGTGATCTTGTTCAATTGTTGACCAAGTGGATCGATTTTCTTGGAGATTTTAGATATTTTAGAGTCAAGTCCATCAAATTTGGATTCTATATTGTCGATTTTGGATGATAACAGAAGAACATTGTTACTATGTTTTAATTCATATTCGTCAACGTCTTTTTCGGCAATCTCTTTTCTTTGGGAAGCCTCGACACTCAATTGTTTCAACTCTCTCAATGTAGATTCGAATGTTCTTATGTATGGTTTAGGATCAAGATACTCCAATTTATTAACCTCAGCACCTTTCAAAAAATGATCCTTACTCAATTCTTCGATAAAATCATTCACCGTCAATCCATGAAGAAAGTTATCAAGATTAAGAAGCTTCCTTATATCATCGTCCAAATCATAAATCGAGAAGTTCATGATTATCTTCAAGGATCTTGATAATTATATCTAACTCGAAGTACCCTTTGGATTAGAATAACAACACTAGCAAAAAAATGAAAATCAAATTGCGAGATCCGACTTTTGGTCATGTGACATATCCCGTAACTCCATACTAGGTGTTTGGATGTATTGTATTTGCTTTACTTAGAGTTATATAGATAAGTTATCGGTTCTTGTATTAAGGTGTATTTGTAGTATAGAGGATCTCCTTTGATGAAACTGATTTCATTCGTTCAATCGGAGATTTTGTTCAAGAACAAAAGTGAAATGCAACAATAAACTGAATTTATTGAAAAAAGCTGCAAAATTGAAACAATTGCAAAAATTGTTTATTTTAATATTTGTCTACAAAGACTAATGCTTTTATTAGTATCAAAAACAAGGAAATCATATATTACACCTCAATAACTTTCAAGAAGATCTTTGTAAGATACACATTTTAACTCCTGGGTTATTCTATACCTATCACCGTCAAAGTAAAACCATCTAGAATGACCCCTAAAAGGACTTGGTCCCCAGGTAGGAACAAGACAGACTGAATCTATACCGCAAGATTGAGAACATCTGGTGAATAGTGACCAACGTAAATCTGAAAGGAATTTTTGCAAAGTCTTCTTGGAATGCAATAGATTGCCCTTATGCATTGAGAGGTTTTCAGATGAGCCTTCAACATAGATATCTACCAAAATATTTCTACTCAATTCGAAAATGTCAAATATTGTATTATAAACTTCCGTGAAAATCTTGTGAATTGAAGAGTATACCAACATTTCCGATTCTGTTTTGATGGGGTGTGTTAAGTAAACATAATCGTCTAATGCTGCAGAGAAGCCGTTTTTCCTTTTTAAATCCCAATTCTCAATATTGTTATCAGAATATCTTCTCACAAAGTTATAAGTAAATGTAGTTAAGTTTGAAGCTATCAGACCGATTGATTCTAACGTAATATCATTCTCGCTGGAATGAAAGAAGCTGAGTGAGTTATTCAAGCTGACAAGTAAGGGCCCAAATTTTTTCTCTATACGATTTGTTATCTTCTGCCAGTCCGTTCCAAACTCTGAAGGATCGATGGAGGCTGATAAGGCACTTTCAAGTCCTGAAATAATATACTTTTTCAAATCATCCAGTAAGTTGTTTATTCTTCTGGTATAAGGGTCAGGGGTGATATAAGTTTTATTCAAGGGTGTAACCATACGAGAAAAATCAACTAGGATCCTATCTTCACCAAGATCAGTTAGCTCACCTGCTTGAATATGCTCAAAGCCCATTTTTGCCTCTAAATTATCTAAGATAGAGCTTCTATTAGCAGCAAACGGAGATGTATCATTTTTCTTTTCGAAAGGGAAATTAATTAGCTCTGTGACATTATTCAATGTGGTATTATATACTAGATCGACGTCATTAATGAAATCGCAAATAATCACTTCAAAGCCAATCTCCATCCTTATTACACCATGTAATCCAAACGGTTTACCCCATTTACAAATAGTATTTGCAGTTTCTCTTTCATTTACCCAGTGGTTCGAATCTTTTTGCTGACCAAGAACTAACTGTTGATCCATTGTTCCATCATTAGTTTTAGCTGCTGAGGCACCTTCCAAGAAGATTAACTTATCCAAAGGTTTTGCAGTTTTAAAGGTGTATAGAAAAGCGTCTGACCGGCGGAAAAATTTGAATTTATTTTTATTTTTCCTGATATCTTCAGGAACTTGACGAGGACCATAACTAGGAGGGCCATTTTCAGTATGGCTGTGGCTATCAGGTGGACCGTGACCAGGACCACCAGGACCACCAGGACCACCAGGACCACCAGGACCACCAGGACCACCAGGAGGACCAGGAGGACCAGGAGGACCATGTCCCCATCTATTCAAAGCCCTTGGAAATCCAGCAAAAGCTACACTAAATTCATAATCCATTGCAATCCATTCGGGAGTCGTGGGGATATTTGGATCACTAGTTGAATGAAAGAGCGGAGTATTAGCTGGAATGTAAGCAGGAATAAAAGAAACTCCGTTTGGAAATAGATTAGCATCTTTTTGTTTGAGGGCCCCTTGAACGGTATTGAAAATAGAAGTGGCATTATCGAAATCAATGGGATAGTCTTTCAAATCATACGAATTCTTTTTAACAGAGGCTTCTGATAAACCAAGCAGAAATTTTTCAGCGTCATTTTCAAGATGTTTATAGAGATAGATACAACTTATCAAGAAAATCGCCAGAAATGACGCCCATTTCAGTAATGGATATTGAAACAACAGCATCATCACTGGAAACCAAACAGTTATGGGATTTTTTGTTGAATCACCAATTTAATTAGACAATCTTATCTAAATTTAACGGTTTTGGTTTAACAGGGGAACGGCCGAATCGGCGTGGTTCCGGACTCTACCTACAAGGCTTATTTCAAATCCCGAAACTTAACAATCCCGAAACGCGTTTCGAAAGCTGATAGGACATAACATATCAGATCATTTATACAAATGAATATTCAGATGAGTTATCAAGTTGGCTGCCAAGTTCAACTCCACTTCCTTATCTTATCAGTTTGATCGTCATAGGTACGGATTCCAACATCTGATGTACGGGTGTATACAGAATTTAGATATTTTGGCCAATAACTTCGGGAAAAAGTTATTAAAAAATTCTAGTAAGACATGCTGGACTGCCCGATGATAACGGTTCATCCTATACTATTAGCATCCCCAATTGTTTTGGACTTAGTTGTAATTTTTCATAAACACTCAATTGATTTCGACTTTTGAAAGTTTGATTTTTTCACTGAACCACACCCGTGCACCGTATAATAGAGACTACAATTAAAATTACTAAACTAAACATCCAATTTAACTATACAATCATATAAGATAAGTTATACAACCACACAGAAAACCAAACTTAACAAACTCAACTAAAGGACTTAGTTGGATTTGTAAGTTAAGTGACATTTACCACAGTATTGTCTGTCACCCATGTTAGCCATGAAGATACCAGAACCACAGGTTGGAGCTGGACATTCTCTTCTCAATCTTTCAACGTTACCTTCGTTATCAACTTTGTAGTAAGTTAAGACAGCTAACTTGTGTTTTCTGTGTTTATGTTTAATTTTTTTTGGGGTGGTGTAGACCTTCTTCTTTCTCTTTTTACCACCACCTCTTAATCTTAAGACCAAGTGCAAGGTGGATTCCTTTTGGATGTTGTAGTCAGATAAGGTTCTACCATCTTCTAATTGTTTACCAGCAAAGATTAATCTTTGTTGATCTGGTGGAATACCTTCTTTATCTTGAATCTTGGATTTGACATTGTCAATGGTGTCGGAGGATTCGACTTCCAAGGTAATGGTCTTACCGGTTAAAGTTTTGACGAAAATTTGCATCTTGGCTTGTCTGCAACTAATGCTTCTTTCTTACCAATAAGTATGAAGAATCAAAACTATATATAAAAAAGTCAGAAAGAAACTAGTTGAAATATTATCCTCATCGTACCCGTAGGATTGTCCTACCAAACGAAAATTTTTCGGTGCGCACAGAAAAAAAAAAAAAAAAAAAAAAAAAAAAAAAAAAAAAAAAAAAAAAAAAAAAAAAAAAAAAAAAAAAAAAAAAAAAAAAGAAAAAAAAAAAAAGGCAAAAAAGACTAAGAAAAAGAACAGTCACTCCAGGTCTCCAGCCCTAGTATAAAGCACCACACACGTGACTCGGAAACAAATTAACACTCCGAAAAAGGTATCACCAGGACGAAGTGGTATTTGCAACAAACGTAATACCCCAATCTTGGATATTTACAACCATAAGAGCAACAGAGACGACAAGACAAACAATCAGAGAAACAACAAAAGGATATCAGAATATCATAAGCTTGCGTATTTGATGCTCCTCGGTTTGTAAAGTGACCGTTTATATAAAACGTTGAAGTGAGAATTAGCGGTTAAAGGTTAATTATATAAATGATTATGATTGGTGATAAAGTATTACAGAATAGAAGTAGGCTTTATCAATCTATGAATGACGGGACTTCTGAAAAAGAGTCTCCCGAGCATATCACATATATCCCGCCTAAAGTGAATCAAACGTTCATGATAAGATTGAAAAAAATACTCGATACGATTTTATGCAAGAATTGAATATATTAATACACTATAGATCTAAATCATCGTCAGAATCTTGATCAACCGGTTTAATTGATCCCCTGATAGAACCATAATTAATGGTTCTTCTATTGATGACGTTTCTCAAAAGAAGAAAGTTTTCTAAATCTTCTATATTAAAATTATTAGGATCATTTCCTAATTTTTCAAAACCAACAAGTCTATCTAATTCTTTACCGTTTTTATAAATCACCACAAACGGTAAGATTTTTATCCCTAATTTTGTTACAAGAAATGGAGCATCTTTGGCTTTAATAATTATTACTTTAAGTGCCAAATGTTTTTCGGCTATTATACTCAATTTATCATTCATTTTTTTACATTTATCAAATTCTGGTTGATAGAAGTGAACAAGGGTGTATTCATTTGAAGTGACAGTTTCCATTAACTGTTTTTCATCTTCAATTGTAATCATATTTCCATATTGTTCTCCAGCAGTGGCATTATCAATGCGATTGAATTCTTTTTTCAACTCTTGTATTCTTTCATCTCTATATTTTGCCAAGGTATCATCCTGTTCCAATAATTCTAATAGTTCATCATCGTCACTATTGACTTCTTCATCGTCCTGATCCAACTGTTTCTGAAGCTTGGCCTCCTGGTACTGTTCAACCAACTTAGACTGCTGTTGATCCATCCTATACTCTCTATAAAGAAAGATTTGTTATTTCAGAATCAAAAGAGAGCGTAAAAAAATTGTCGTTTAACGCGTATTCAAATGTCGCGTTTATCTTTTTTTTTTTTTCTTTCTTTCGTTAACTTCGTTCTTTATTATCTACTTCACAAACTGTCTAACGTCTCTAGGATATTAGAGATGGTAGCAGTATTTCTTTTAATCATATCAATAAAGTTTATATCAATTTGTTGTTTTTCTGTACCAGTCAACCTTGCCCGTGCTCTGTTTTGCTGCTCGAGGTCTACCGACACGGTATTCTGTAATAGTTCAATTGATCGTATTAAGTTGGTATCGATTTGTTTAACTGTAGAAAGTATGATTTCAAGTTCAAGAAGTAGTGCTTCCTGTTGTTGCTGTTCGGTGGCAGATGTCTTTGGTGGCTCGTGGTTCTTGTCACTCATTTCGTCAAGTCAAAGCTGAGGGTCCAGCACTCGGGTGAATCGCTTTGGTCTAAATAGAAAGAAGTTGGAAGAAAAAGGAAAAACTCAACCAAAAAACCCAAAAGAAAAAAAAAAAAGCGGGAGCAAAAAACGCGTGGAAAAATAGCCCAAAACACTGCATATAAGGCACTACTGCAAAAAAAAGACAGAAAACCGTTAAATGAATGCAAATTATTAAAAAAGACTCTATGAACTAGTGTATAAACGTGAAATGAAAAAAAAAAAAAAGACAAAAAGACTAACTAAATACAGAAGTATTATTAAAAATGCAAAGCTTGAAGAAGGCACCCGGAACAAAAGATATATAGTAACAAACAAAAGGAACAACACACTGAAAATAATATAGACCTCACCAAAAGAAACGCAACAGAAAAAAAGAAAGAAGGATGGAGTATCATGAACGGGAAGAAGCCGATCTCTTTCTAGACTTGCTTTCGTTCAAATACTCGGACTCCAGTTTGATTTCCGGAGTATTATAAGATTGTAATTTTTTATAAGATTTTCTTTCTAATTCACGTTTTGTTATGATATCCATTAATAAACTTTTCAACTCGTTATTTTCGTTTATGAGCTCTATTTTGATTCGTTCATTATCGTTAAATTTACCCAATAAGTAATTGAACTCTTTACAAAGTTTAAGATATGTTGTTTTCAAAGTGGTGAACGTTGACATCAATTTACTAGTATTCATCATTGAATTTTTAATACTAGTAATAGTTGACATATTAACCGACGAAGAAGAATTTTTTTCTTCTTGAGTTGCATTTTTTGAATTTTTATATTTTTTATTAGTTTCATCTTCTTGAGAAGATACACTGCTGGTAACTGTATCCGGAGAATCAAAAGGAGATAAATTCGAAGGAGATGCTGAAGATGAGAGTGCTGATAACTCATTATTCGAATTATGGCTACTATGAATTGGAATGCTAGCGTTTTGTTCTCCTCCATAAGAATGCACTAGTGAACTATATGCATGATTGGAAGGATTATGACTATTTGGTATTTGATTGGATACCATGACTAAATTTTTAGGTAACTCTTTTGAAGAGTTTGATGCAGTGTTGGAATCATTAAATTCATTCAAGTTTAATAAAACTCGATTGATTTCATCATTAAGAAGATCTTCCGAATTAGGATTATTTAAAAGTTGTTGATTGGTATTAATTGATCCATTGGGATAAGTATATTGCTTATTGAATGCATTTATAGTAGCACGATTAACATTAGTATAATGTTGAATTGGCTGATTCACTCTTTGATTATATTGATTATGAGGTTGTTGTGGTGGTGGTGTGGGATAACTTAAATTATTTGAAGGTTGTTGTAAATGGTTTTGGTTTTGTAGTTCCATCATTAATCGATTAAATGCAGCATCTTCCTCCACATCCACGTACTCATTATATCTTACCCTTTTCAAGGCAGGTTCCAAATTCTCCACCTTTATGGATGTTGATGCTGGCATTGTTTTTTTTTTTTTTCCTTTTTTTCGAGTTTTTACTTTTCTATTCCGAGTTATTGCAGAACCAAAAGAATCAATTTAAACAAGACAATTAGATCAAACCTTTTTAAATACTTTGAGATGAGATGAGGTTTTTCGTACTAATTTTTTTTAGCAGTTTTTTTGTGGAACACTAAAGTTTTCGCAGACACAAAATATCAACAAGTTCAATTCAATACTTTGAAAAGGTAATGGATTGGATGTGGAATGGTCAGGAAATGTTCAATGTAGTAGTAAGGCGAAAGTAGTTATACTTAAGTTTTCCTTTATTACTTTTGTTTTTTTATTTTTTATTTTTTGATTCTTTGACAAGATATTTAGACGTATTTATGTAAGAAGATAACCCCGAAATCCAAGGTATTTAAATGAAGCAAGATCAAATTCGGATTTGAAATCAAAGCCTGTAACCGTTTCTCCTATTTGGGAACACTTAAAAGTGATTGGAGAGTTAGCTTAATACCCATTGAACAGCAAAGCAAAACAAACCGAATAAGAAAGAAAAAAGCTAGCCACAATCCAACAAAGGACGAATCAACAACCAAAGGTTAATACTAGTAGCTCTCGGAATAGACTATCGATAAAGGGTAATTTACACCCTTCCAAAAAAAGTCCAGATCAAGGAATTGCCTTCTTCCCTTTCCTACCGTAATTCTTGTTTTGGGACTTAAGACTAAGTTATGCATGAAAAACATAAAAATTAATGTATTGTTTCTATAACCGTTGAAACATCCCGTCAAAAAGTCTATTACGAAGAATAACAAAGTAAGCGAGCAATAAAGATGTTAGACGGATAACAGAATGATGATCTATTAAAGTTTTGTTAAACTTTCTTTTTGCTGTATTTAATTTCTCGAGTGAATTAATTGGTTACTTGAACTAAGCAACCGTTTGGATCAAAATCAAGAATTTTTGAAATCCTCATTCCAACTCTCGACTTCAATTTTAATTTTGCAAAAGAAACTACATTGCACAATAGTAGTTAATTGAGCTATGCCATAATAATAATAAATATATCGGTAATGATCAGAATTGAAAAAAAAAATTATATACAAAAATAACAATGATTTGAATAAAAAGAATAATTATTCAACCGTTCAAATAATGCAATAAAAATATCTGGGTAAATAAAGAAAACTTAGAACTAAAAACACAATGCAATTTGTAAAAGACATGAATATGGTAATGATTGGGATTCTTGACATAAAATAAAATGCATAGAAAATCATCTGGGTACTAAGATACCCGCTTATTTGAAAACATTTTTCAATTTTGAAACTTCATCCAAGATATCACTGGTTTTTTCGCTAACATCATTAATATCTTTCATGATTGAGTTACTAACTCCATTAACGAAAACGCCCGATTCATCCCATTTTTCCGTTAAAACTTTCAAAACACTTTCAAACCCCATTTTACCCTTTAAAGCATTTTGGCCAAATCTCTCCACTGACCATTCTTCAATTTTATCACAAATTTTAGATAATGATGCAAAAGCAGTGAATTCGGCTTCTTGATGGAAATTAGTCTTATTTTTGGGTAATTGGAAATCTGGAGAATAAATAACGGTTTCTTTACATAATAAAAGATGATTCATCGTCAAATTGGATGATTTCATAATCAATTTTTTACTAGTTAAATCGACTTCACTGATTTCTCGAACATAACTATATTCTTCTCCACCAACTAAGTATCCCAACCATCTGGGAATCGGTTGTTTACAGGCAATTAATCTCTCAGACCTTAATACATTCTTTTCATAATCAATTTCACGACTTAAAGTATCAACAGAAACAACGTGGGTCGATATTTCATTAGGATATTTCTGCCAATTGGCCGCTGTAACTTGCTCCCATGAATAATTGAAGAAATGGTTCGAACTGAATAACCTCATTATTGATTTAGGTCTTTGTATGTAAATTAACTTGGTATACTTTTGATTTTCAATTATTTGTTTTTCTTTTATTGAACTTTACGATACTTTTCTTTGTCTAATACGTGCCTAGCAACTCTCTATATGCCCTCTAACACCGATATCTTCAAATCAATAAGAAGAAAGAGTAGTTTCTATTTCTTTTTAAACGTCCTGTGACAGTTATAGACCTTTTTTTTTTTTTTTTTTTTTTTTTT